TTATATCTTTTTAAAACAAGATCATTTTGCTTTTTCCCATTGTTCAATCTTGTTTAATGCGCTCAAATTAAGATACATTTAACCAAATTTGAGCAATCTTTACTTATTTTTTGCTTTTTGCAGTGTAGCCAAACAGATCAGCTTTCAACCTGGATTTTAACACTGTCAAAGCTGAAGCCTGTCTTACATTTTCAGGAAGACTTTTAGCTGCATGAATCTGAAATGGCTGAGAAAGTTAGACATAGCTATAGCAACCATGACTGGATTGTAAATGTTTTAACAGCCTGTGAAGATATTTTATAATATCATTTCAATATTTCAGATTTGTCTTGCGAGCTTCGTTGTGTGAGAGAGTCTATTTAATGGTATTTTATATTACCATTTACCGTTTCATCATTCACCAAACCTAATTTCTTCATGTCCTTGTATCCATTAAACGTAATAAACTGTCTGAACACGGGAAGAAGCAGGCGGACCGGTGCTTACTCCTTTTGACAAGTTAAACGTGAACGGCCCCTGATCATATCTCCTCACGTTTACTATAAAGGAATGGCCTCTCCATCATTGAGGCACACTCCATCACGGGCTGAGACTTCAGAGCTGCCATTTAAACACAAGACGGAGAGAAGCCGGTATCTGAGCAGGAGCGAGACACAGGACTGCACTCCATCATCATACTCACATATTTGTTGTCACCTCCTCGCTGTTTACTGGCTTTGTCAACAACATTATTCTTATAATGACTTTAATGAGCCAGAAATGCATTCTTGTCTTGTACATAGAAATGGCTTTTGTGAGAGATGCTGCATTATCTGATTTGCTGTCATTGGCTGTTATAGACGAGGGACGCGTACTGTAAACCCTGACAAGTAAAGTTTACTTGAAAAAACCATGGAAATAAATTGCGTATTAACTTCACTTGAATTCCTCGAGTGCATCCTTTACTTGATATTACCAAGTAAACTCGAGTGATTGCAATAAAGTTTAAATTTCTACTTATGCTCCGACTGGGATTCGTACTCAGAACCCTGTAGTTGAGAGGCAATGGTGCTACCCACTCAGCCACCAGGACCCCCTGCCATTGTCACACCTGCCTCATTAAAGAGTCTACACGTCAAAATGTCAAAAGTGAGGCTTACTTGAACAGAAACAGTTCAATTCAAAGAAAACCCTGAGTGACATAGGCAAGCTTTAAATAAACTAACAATAAATGAGTAATATCTACTTACTGGGAAAAATCTATTCAAAATAACTTGATATCTGAAGTAGGATTGAAGTTAGGGTTTACAGTAGAGCAGTTTCATAGCTGTGAACATTTGAACCCAAGACTCACTTCCTGAATATTCTTGCATTATTGTACAGATTTATCTACAGATGGAGATAACATTGTGCGTGACAAATAAATCATCGATACTGCACTAGAGCGGTGTTTCCCAAACCCTTTTTAGTCGTGTCACCCCTTTTTCATTTAAAGAAATCTCACGGCACACCGCCAGCTAAAACTGATGTCTGCAGCCTTTATTAAGAAAGCAAGGAAATTCTCAAAGTGTGTCATATAGAAAATCAAACAAGCGCATCATTTATTCTAATCTTCTCAAACTGTTTTCTTTTCACATTATTGGGACCATTTAGAGTAGACGATAATGGATAATTTCCAAAGCACTAGAGTATACAGTTCTTTATACTATGTGTCTTTATTAAGCTAAATATAGATATTTTATGTTATTTTATTTCTAAAGCATCGAGTTGTGATATTGTTTTCTCTTGTGTTGTGTGCTCCTCATTCTTGTTGTTCAACTTCAGTGAAATTTCCGCACTGTTGGACAAATAAAGGATCTCTTAAGATTAATTTGAATACTGGTTGGTCTGGTTTACTTTAAAGAGACCAGGTCTGGTTCACTTGCAGCAAAAAATGCTTCACAGATCTGTCAAAAGATGCAGGCAAGGCAAGGTTGATTGTATAGCACAATTCATTCATAAAAAGAGTGAAGATAAAATCCCTGAGTTGTGGGCACAGCTTGCACCAAGTTGGTTCTTATGGCGCTAACATGTCTCGGATGTACTTTGGTGCGAGGACATGGAGAGACTTGTAACAAACAGAGCTGCTTTAAAGTCCATTCTCTGAGCCACAGGAAGCCAGCGCAGAGACCTGAGAGCTGGACTGACGTGATTGTACTTTCTGGTTTTAGTCAGGACTCAGGCTGCAGCATTTTGATTTTACTGCAGCTGTTATAAACTGTGGACACATATGTTTTAAACAGCTAACATATTGGACGCACATGTTCAATAATTTAGTGATTTTGGATCCAGAAACAAAGCATAAGTGAACCAGACCATCAAGAGGGAACATTCACAAACATCCACGTTCAGAAAGAGAAAGAGTCAGGGGAAAACATGCTTCTCTTGAGGATGAGAATGGAGACGAATGATCCACTTAAAGTCACAACAGTAAGTTCTTTTCTTTTGAATCAGATTTGTGACTGTTGCATTTCTTCCACTTGACTATTATCTTGAGCGCACCCATTATCAGAGCCCTTCCATGGAAAACTCATTCTAGCCGTGCAGTGACAGTTTTGCGCCATCTGAGCCAGAAAATCTGATGTTGTTTAGATTGTACTTTTGATGTTGAAATTGTTTCATTATAGCCTGTTATGGAGCATCTGTGGAATGAGGTAGTGTTCATTAATTAAAACAGGCATAAATAGCCCAGAAAATGAACTCTTCATGAATGTCATTTAAATGGCATGTAAGACATTGGATCACACATGTAACAAATTTTAACAGCCAGACGCGCAATAAAAAGCAAATTAGCGGCAACCACTCATGCCGTGATGGTTGTAATAATCATGAGTCACAGAGCACATTTTTATGCAAATGGTGTCAAACCATGGCAGATGGCAGGTGCGGAGAGGAGCAGGGCAATGCTGGTGCCATTACTGAATTGATTAAATGCATGACACAGGTACAGCCCTGGTCAGAGTGGGTCGCGGTAATTATGGTGAGAGTTGAGCCTTCGTCAGGGAGGAGGACCCTGTCGCTGTGAGCTCAGAGCTGCTGTTCAGCTGCGGTAATGAAGGTGCCGTGGCTCGCCGGAGCTCTGGTGTGTACTGTCTTGTCCGTCTGGTGCACACTGGGGTAGTCTTGCACAGTTTTTCCAATGTGGTTTTACTGCAAATGGAAAATAAATGATTCTGAATCTGAATCTGAAGGACCCAGATCAGAGGAAAGTCTTAAAATACTATTGAATTCAACTAGATTTGTGCTGCTGGGAGTTAGAAAGAGAAGGGCCAACTGCAAGTCATTTTCATATCGGCATGGTTTGGATTTTTATGATGAACTTTGATTGATTGAGTTACCTCATCTGTTGTCTTTTTTAGTTCTCCTTCTTGTCCCATTGCATGTTTGCCCTAATGAGACTCGCCTGTGTCTCCCTTTGTAATTACACCTTGCACTTTTCCCCTCTTGTCTTTCGTTCATTGTCTATTCCACATTTGTTCACGGCTTGTTTGTACTTCTGGATTTGTGTTGTTTCCCTGGATTTGGTTTTATTGAATTAAATTACACTTTATTTTCAGTCATGCACTTTGGGTTCCTTTTTTCATTTCACCTCGAGACACATATTGAGTCATGCTTATTTTTCATGCCCCCAGGTGTGATTATAATTTATTCCAAGAAATAAGTAAAGGTAATTCTTCTTTTGACCAGGAGTGATTCAGCGAAGTTTCATGAGCACATATACATTTTCAGGTGCAAACATTTGGTCGGTTACAAACTAAATTAAGATGAAGAGATCTCTTATTGATCCCACAATTTTCAGTGTTGCATCAGCAGTTACAGAACAGTAGGAATGAAGAGCACACAGCACAATATTACTGAACAATAAATCGGGGCGACAGTAGCTCAGTTGGTAGAGCATTGGCCTTAGAGCCTGAAGGTCGTGAGTTCGAACCCACCACAAGACCTACTTCACGGCTCCCACTGATGTCTGCTGTTGTTGTGTCCTTGGGCAAGACAATTAATCCCACTTTGCCTGAAGCCCCTGCTGAATAATCAAGACTCCTGTGGACTCACCAGCTGCAGGAGGATCAGTGAGGGGCTGGTGCTCTGTGTACTGGGTGCAGCTCTGACTGCCACCCCTCCGACCCAGAAATAGATTAAGGGGAAGAAATTGGATGGATGGATGGATGTACAGCTAAATTGAAATAAAATCTATAACTTAATAAAGCAATACAATACTGTACATTCTAGTGCAATCCGCACACGTTAGCAGCATGTGTTATTTAAAATGACAATGTCAGAATGTGCAAAATGGAACCACATGTTTCCACTTTCACCTTTCTTATCTGTGGAAGGTGACAGTGGTGACAGTGGTTTCATGTGCATAGTTACAAAAAATATGACAGTGGCTCAGTTGGTAGAGCCTGGTGGTCGTGGGTTCAATCCCCCACGAGACTCCCTCCATCTGCTCCCACCGAAGTCTGCTGTTGTTGTGTCTCTGGGCAAGATACTTAACCCCATTTTGCCTGGAACCAAGGTAGTCGTTGCTGAAGGAGGAGCCATGATGGTTGCTGCTATGAAGATTGTAAGACGGCTTGGATTTCCACCCCCTTGACCCAGACATGGTTTAATAAAGGAGAAGAAAATGAATAAATGAATTAATTTACAAAAAATCCTGCCTTGTTTTGCCGCTATTGAAAATGTTTAGAATGTACTTATTGATTACCCATGAAAAGCAAATCAATCCTATAAAAATGACAAGCAATAACTAAATGTTGTTTTTTATGTGTGTGCAAATTTCCACCTGTTTGACTCAACTATTTATCAGAGGTGCTTTCCAACCACACCAAACATTATCATGAAAACATAGTGTTATGCATTTTGAACATTTCGCCAGATTAAGAGATTTCCTTCTCTTAGAAAAAGCTGAGGATAATCATCTCTGGGGCCAAGTAAAGTCAAGAGAGTGTGCAAAGTAACAGGCAGAAAACCCTTCTTACAGATCACAGCGGGGCTTCTGGTTTCACGATGGTAACTAACTGGGAAGGTTCACACAGTTATTTAGCAACGCATGACATGCAGAGGAGGGTATTTGATAATGGCTTTGGGAGGGGTAAAGGGAGTAGGTCGTCAAGTATGACTCCAAAAGTGTAATGCAAATTATAGGGTTCGATATAGTTTATTTTCAAATAACTTCTTGGTTGAGACGGTAAACAAAGGAGTAAAACTGTCACATACAAACAGATGCCAAACTTTATAATGAAATTATAATTAGATTAGGTTGTTAAAGTAGCAATATGTAAGATTTACGTGTCAAGTACACATTAAATGGCCCTAATCTGTCAAAAGGTATTAATAAAACAGGCTCTTTTTGAATACTTCTTTAACTGATAACAGTAGTTCAGCCGAGATATTTGGATTTCAAAAATAGTTTTACAGCCCCTAAATCTTGTTATTGTTTTCATTGTCCCACCCTCCACCGTTTTACCAATCAGAAAGTAAGTGATCCGGGTTGCCAGAACTAACTGCACCGGACTAATCTCACTGGTAAAGTAAATGTGGCTGCAGGACTAAAGTAGGTCAGTTATGATTCTCAAATCATTAATGACAAGGAAAAAACTCTTGTCTATTCAGATATTATGGTCCCAGCTGGACTTGTCTGCATATCTGGCAATCTGAGTCAGGGAGAGTGGGAGAGGTTGCAGTACCACTTTTGGCTATTTGTTTACATACTGCTCCTTTAAAGCTTGAATGAAAAGGATTTTTTGTTGCCTATTTTGGTAAGCCAAAACATGCACAAACATATCAATATAATGGGCATTGTGATAGTAATTTAGTTGTGGTCATTAATCGTAAAAAACATTTTATATTTATTTGTTTATTTTTGCTTTACAACTATTCTAGTGGTCCATGGTATACTTACACAATACCATAGAATACTATTTATATATCATCTGGACTCAAATCTCAAAGAGAGCACAACACAACATGGTTCACAAAACACATTACTTTTAACTCTACAGCTACAAAAGATAAAAATAAAAATGGTGAGTTACTGTTTGTGATGTCTTTTAGAACGGCATGTGTTGGGTTATATCTGTTATATCTGAGTTATATAAGTTATATCTGAGTTTCTCTGTTGGAAGGCGGACAACTGCAGCTCCCCTGTCAATCATGGATGTATCGTAGTGTGTGCTGTGGTCCAACGATGTTAGTCAGAAACCTATTTATGTTTTGTAAAAGGATTGGAGAAGATAGTCTAATCCATGTCAAAGTTCGAATATTTGTAAATGCATTGGTGCGATGGACTTGTTATGAAGGTGAGTTTTTCTGGTCCATGTTGAAGACAGAGACAAAACAACAATTTATACTCACTGCCAAATGAACGTTTAGGGAATCATTTGTGCCAATCGTCACAGTCACATATTGAGTTTCACCTCTGGCAGTGAAGGGACTCCATCTGACTCCAGGGGGACAGGAGGAGAGCACTGCTGCGACCAAACATCATAGTATTGGTTAATTATCTGATCTGATTAGAGATCTCTGAGGGGCATTGAAATAACCATTATGTCATTGAGGGACACACAGGGAATTATTTTATGCTGAAAGAAATCCCTGTTATTAATCTGGTCCTTTCAAACTAAGTAATTATGTATTGTACATCTACTGACATTATTAACATGTTTTGTTTTTGTATTTCTTTATTGTACTGAATTTTGAAGTCCTAATTTAATACTATGGCCTGAGGGAGATTCTGAAGGAAATTAATTAATGAGGAAGTGCAGTTCAATGATTAAAAACAAATGTATGTTAACTGTGTCTGGATGTGTCACGTTGATAAGATGTCAGGGTCGACCATACATCCATGGGGTCGACTGAAAACTATCACTATCTCGATTGTATGAGACGGACGTTATTGATGCAGTAGTCCGCGAGCGCCCCCTTGTGGACAGATCACACTTGTACAAATTAAACTTAGAGATAGAATACTTTTTTCACATAACAGGTGAACCGTATTGTTTATTATTTTACTGAAGAGTCGAGAAGAGAATCCCAGATGTGAGCTGCTCACTGTATAATGCATGTTCTTCAAGGTTTGTCATCTGTTTGGAGATAAACATGAAATATCATTGCATTGAATTAATGCAAATTAGATTTGATAGAGGAAATCTGGTGGTGCATAGCATGTCTAATACACAGAAAATATTACATACACTGTGAAAAAAGACATACTGTATGAAGTAAAATCATGTATTAACTTAATCAAATTTGTATTCCAAATTTATGGCCAACAGTTCACCCAACTATTCCAAAGACAGTGATATGATGACTGGACATTCCCATGATTCCCATTATTTTTATTTGAGGAAATCAATTTGAACAGATGCAAGTCGCCCCTTTAAACATTTGGAGATTGTCCCAAGAAAGAGCCAGACATGTGGAGTTCTACAAGTGGCTTACCATGTAGCCTTAAAATACACATTTAGCATTTTGTGTTATGAAATTATTTAAACTTCCCCACATTGGGTAATTATTTTTGTGTGTAAAAGTAAATAATTCTGTGAATGTTTACATCCTAAAACCGTTTTCCAATTGTGTGTTGAAAGTTATTTCATAGCGATTTGTCATATAGTCCCAGTTATATATTGGATTATTTACTTTTTAGACATCATTACATAATAATACTAATAATAAAAAACATACATGTAAAAAAAGAAACAGCTGGATTACAAACAGTGCCTGAATAGTTTACAGTGTTCAACAATATTTTGTATATAATATTTGTCATAAAGTTACAGAGTTCTTTATGAAATGTGCAACTATCTCATCTAAATCCTAAACATAACTATAACTGTAATAAAACCCTTGCAAATTGTGACATAGATCCTTCACATGAGACGTCTGGATGGATCCTCTGACATTTGATGCATGATTTTTCTTTGTCACTTATCTGATTGTTGATAGTCTCATGTTTATTTCCTTGAAGAGAAAAAGACAATTACACAAGATTCATTGGAGCTTTTTCAACATGTTTTCTCACCTCATGAAAGTCCACAAATAAAAGCTCACGCCAACAGAAACTCCTGCAAGCACCATACATGCTATAACGATCCCAGCAACGGCACCATCAGAGAGACAAGGATCTGCACCCAAACAATGACACACTGAGTTCCCTTCTAGATAAACTGAAGTATAGTTCACAGCAGGTGGTCCTTACCTCCCACTGACAGGCTGTGCTCCACAGACAGGGATCTGCCAGTGACTGCGTTTGATGCCACACATGTATATTTACCGCTGTCAGACTCAACAATGTTAGTTTTTACCACCATTTCTGTTCTTTTGACCAGTGGGTCATCATTAAACTTCCAGGAGTAAGTGGCTACAGGCACAGACTCAGCAGAGCACAACATGGCGAAAGACTGCCCTGCTTCAAGTTTGTTTGGACACGTGACTGTCACTTCATACGGCCCATCTAGAAACAAACACCATTAGTGACTTACTTTATATGCATAACACAGGCGGTGGGTCATCAGAGCCAATAGAGCCAATCAATGTCATAAGAAATTCATGTCCCAGAAATTCCAGCTACATTTAAGTATTCCATCATCATTTCAACAATGTGTTTCACTTATATACAATTTAGTCTAGTCTAGTTAGATTTGGTTTATCTCTTGGGGAATTGTCAGACAGAGCAAGATTGTGTTTCACATTCTTTTACTGAATAAACAAGTGGGTGAATGGTTAGTGTTTTATCCATTAACCAGAGCCAGACACTGAGGCTCTGGTGTGAAAGATGAATGAGCTCCATAATCAATACTGTTCACTGGTTAACTCACAGACTATGGGCAGGTAGATGTATTCACTGGTGCCATTACTGACTGTGTTAGACACCTGGCACCTGAACGGGCCCTGGTCATAGCGCCACACAGTGGTTATAGTGAGCTTTGCGCCTTCTTCAGTGAGCTGCACTCTGCCACTGGAGGATACTTCAGAACTTCCATTGAACCAGAGGAAAGAGGGAGAGGAGCCAGAGGCCGAGCAGGAGAGCGTCACCGAGCTCTGGAACTCCACTAAGTTTGTGCTGTTGATGGAGACGGTCACATTGGACACAGCGTCTGCGGAAAACAGGACATGTTACTAACATAGGCTATAGTCTTCATTTTAGTCTTTACTTTAGTCCTTACTTTAGTCCTTAAAAACACGCATTAATATCTATATTAACAATGGCACTGATATAAAGTCTGGGTATGTTTCTATAAGGAAAATATTAGTATTTTGATTTGAACTAAACGATATATAGTAATTCAAGTATTTATTAATAATAAAAACAGCAACAATGTATTTAATTACATTTAAAAGGGGACGTACACATTTTCACAAATGTAAATATCCTAGATTATAGTTTATTGGTTTTTGACATCACTTCAGCAGATTGAATCAAATCCAAAAGGGTCCGTCGCTATAGAATGTTGCAATGTATTATTTTATTTTTCAATTTTGAGTTGAAAGACCCACATAGTTGATCTGAGGCTCTGTACAGCCTTGATCTTAATGAGAGTCACAGGATTGTGAAAAGTTTGATTTATCATATTGTTATTGATCAGTAGCGGGATATGTTTTAAGACGTTCATAAAACATCTCTTAGAGTTTCATGGCTGAAGGAGTCTGTGCTGTGTGTTTGAAGAACCAAGTGAATCTTGAGGTAGTATCTGGACTGCTGAAGGATGAGCCTCGGATGGATGTTAAGTCATGTAAAACCACACACTCTTACGCACATTACCCTAATATTGAATTTCACTGGGAAAAGTAATGAAAATAAGAAGTAATCTTGCTTAATTTGAGCACATTCTTACTGCCTTAAACTAAGATTTGACACAAAATGATCTTGTTTAAAAAGATACAAGAAATGTCTCCTTTGGAATAAGAAAATAAAATTGAAATAAAACTAAATGTCTTTGTCCCATTGGCGATTCATGTTTTAAGAATCTCATTCTTTATCACTTTTTTCAGTGTGTACGCCTCCGTTACATAAAAACACCTTTGTACATACGTTCATTCAAAAACACACATTGGACACTTGCCTTGCACAGAGAGAGTCGCGGTGCCGAACATCTGAGGGCCTGTTGATGGTATCACAGTCACTCTGTAAGTCCCAGCATCTTCAAGGACCACGTTCCTGAGCTCCAGAGATCCAGTGGAGATGAACAGAGTGATCCGGTCTTCATACTCCGGAGCAGTGAAGTTATCGGTGTTGGAAGTGATAATATTTTTGGTGCCTGTTTGCCATGTTATAGAAATGAAAGGTGTTTGTGTTGGAGCCAGTGATGTGGAGAACATGGCAGTGCCTCCCACAGCTGCTTCTACAGAGTCAAGTATACCAGCTCCGGAGGCCAGACCTAATGAAAATAACAGTTTAAACACATCATTGCAATTTGTTGTGCCACAGTATACATTATTAATAACACTGGAAAAACATGTCTTACCCATTAGACCTGCGAGGATTATGGCTTGTATAGGTCCCATTGTCTTTTGTGCGTCTTGGTTTGGATGAAGAGGTCATGTAGTGAGGTACAGAAAGCACAAGGCCAGTGCTGTGAGGGGCTTCTCACCCCCCTCTGTGTAATCTGAAGGAGCATGAGGACCTCAGTTAATTATTACCAGTGTGCGCTCTGGAAATTACCATATTAAACAAATATTGTAATCTTCTCCTTGAAGAACAAAGCTTGCATGTTTCCTCTCTCTTGTCCTGTATTTTAAATGACAAGAAAAGATTATTCTTGATTCGTCTCACAGTGGAGAAATGTCAGTGTCATCTTTATGCACATTACATCAGAGAAAGAAGGAAATAAGAGCACTCAGATTGCACAAATCAAACAGAGTCTATTATTTAAGATAATAGAGAATATGATTAAAATAAGAAAAGATGGTAAAATAAATTAAAATAAAATCTCTGGAGCTGTAATTGCACTTGGTTCAGAAGTATTTACAGATGCCTATGATGTACTTTAGCAGTGAAGAATATGAGCAGAATAAACAGTAATAATATCAGCAGGTAAAGTGACTAGTGAGTGGCAGAAGTATCAGATGGATATGTAATAATGCAATAATACTAATAACAGGTAAATAAAAGCAAGTAAGTGGGAGTAGTAGTATTTGATGATCAGGATTTAATTTAGATTGCATTGTGGTGCTTCCTCCATGTCAAAGCCTGATTCTAACACACCTCAGAATTTTAAGCAGGGCAGGGCCTAATTCTTACTGTGATGTGAGACCTCTGGGAGTTGCAGGTGACACAGTGGAACGGCTGTAAAGTGCCAAACCGCCTTGAGCAAGACACCTGACCCACGTTGGCTGGTGTGAGTCTGGTGTGTGAGTGATTGATTATAGAGATGAAGAGATACTTTATTCGTCCCACAGTGGGGTAATGTCAGTCTCGCATCAGAGGTTACAGAATAGTAGGAATGAGGAGTACACAAACTTCATACAAGTTCATTTTAAATAGCACAACTCCACACTGGAAATATAAAGTTAAATCTTTAGCTTCTTAAAAAAAGTATAACAGGTATAAACACATATAGTATGAACATGTATACTCAAGTGCAAAGAAATATATATACTTTTAAGTAAATATTCTATAGATAAATCTGTATTACACTCCATGATGCGTGGTGGTCATATCGCACACGTACTGGTTGATTTGCTTCTGTCAGCGTGTCCCAGGGCAGCTGTGGCTACTGTAGTAGTTTATCACAACCGTGTAAATTATTAATGTCACGTGAGGCGTCTTTGAGTCTCAGAAAAAGTGCCAAATTAAACGAATGCGGTACAATTATTATTTGTGTTTGTAGTCAATCAAGGATATCACAAATAGTCAATAAACTACATAAAAGCATTACTCATGGTGTAAAAATGCAAAGACATACATGTTGAATATATTCTCTGGTAAAATGAAATAACAGTTTTAAAATCACAAAACTCGATCATAAATATTCAGATCGTTTTCATAAACATTGTTTTGAACCGTGTTTAAGTTGTCACTGTGTGTGTTCTCATAGACCGGCTGCTCCTTCAGACCTGTTTAAGAGGAGCCGTTAAGACCAATTGATAATGATGATACATTGATACATCTTAAACTACAATGTTACTTACTCTTTTTGCTTGATTTCATGCTTCTTCTGAAATTGAATTATTATTAAAAGAATTATTACGTCATAGAACATGCACAGTAAAATAAATAACTTTTAACTCACTGATTTTTATAGAGAAAGAACCCTCCTGCAGCAGCAGCAGCCACCAGCACTAACGCTGCAATAGTTATCCCTGCGACGGCTCCACTTGAGAGACCCTCTGTAAAAGACAGAGGAACACAGCGCCGTTTAGTGGCCACTCACTGTTACTGCAGATTTGTGCATTGCCTCAAAAAAAATAAAAAAATAAAACTTTCCAAATTGTGGTAAAGAAGTTTAAATATCAAATATGCCTAATAAGCTTTTATTATCTGTTTATTTGGGACAGTGTGTGTTACCCTAACCCTAACCCAGAGTTGTCAATACACCGGGTTGTGGTCATGGCCTGGTCCTTCTGTTGTCACTCAAACACACTCATTCTCTTTCTCCCTGAACTATTGATCGCGTTTTTAGTGGGAGGGAAAACCCACATAGATACAGGGATAACATGCAACACTTTTTTATAGAAGCAGTAGATCGCTGAAACCAATCTGCCCATATACTGTCGTCATAGAAGAGCCATCAGAAGAAAAGCTCTCCTGCATCCTCAGTTTGTCAATGAACATTTACACAAGTCTAATGCATTTTGGAACTCAATCCAGGTGCAAAGATTTACACTTTTTTTTGTCTGGAATTAGAAAAAAGAGTGAAGAAACTTCATAATGAAATGTATATCCGTCTAATTGTTTCGTGTTGCAGAATCTGTCACCGGGAACTGTCACGAGGTGGGAAGGAGGAGGACTCAAAATGCGAGAAATAATGATTTAACAAAATAAATTCTAAGGTAAAAACAAAACTCAAAATCCAAAATACGGAACCAGGAGCACAAAATCAGGAACAGGACGAAACAGAAGTAGACAATACAATGGACCAGCAACAAGAGGAGAGAAGCACAGGGTACATATAGACACAGACACAGGTGAAACACATCAGGGCAGGGCAGACAATCAAGACAGGGGAAAACAGGACAGCCAAACTAAAAACAAACCACAGAGAACAGATGTCAAAATAAAACCAAAGTCCAAAGTAACAAAATCCACACCATGACAGTACCCCCCCTCCAAGGGACAGCTCCCAGATGTCCCAAGAATAAAAGCGAGCCAGGGAGGGCGGAGGGGTTCAGAGGCCAGAACATGTCAGGGGCAGGAGCTGAAGCCCAGTGGTGACCTTCCACACGGAACTGACTCACCCCGGGCGGAGACAAATGCCCGGAGGTGACGACAGACAGGAACAAACCCACCCCAGACGGAACTCATGTCTGGCGGTGGCAACAGGCGAAGGGAAGGAGAGGTCATCAAAGGGTATCAGGCGGACACAGGTGGGGAAATCCAGGCAGACGGGAACAATCATACCAGGGCTCCACTGGGTACCTCTCTCATGGGACAGGGGGAGGAAACAGGACCACCCCGGACGGAGATCAATGCCCGGCGGTGGTGCATGGACAAAAAACCACCCCAGACGAAATTCTTGCCTGGCGGTGGCTCGAGGTAGCAGGTAGAGGCAGGCAGTGAAGATGGCAGAGAAAAAAACCAAATAGAAACCTGGTGGCAAACTGGGAGCAGGTGTGGGTGGAAAAAAATAAAGCATTCCGCTGAGTCCAAATGTGGCTGGTCCATTCTGTCACGAGGTGCAAGGAGGAGGACTCAAATTGCGAGAATGCCAAAATAATGATTTAATAAAATAAAGTCCAAGGTAAAACCAAAACTCAAAATCCAAAATACGGAACCAGGAGCACAAAATCAGGAACAGGACGAAGCAGAAGTAGACAATACAATGGACCAGCAACAAGAGGAGCACAGGGTAATATAGACAGAGACACAGGTGAAAAACATCAGGACGGGCAGACAATCAAGACAGGGGAAAACAGGACAGTCAAACTAAAACCAAACCACAGAGAACAGATGTCAAAATTAAACCAAAGTCCAAAGTAACAAAATCCACACCATGACAGGAACATGTCACTGGAAGAATGAAGAATGGGTTCAATTAAATTCAAACAAACTGTGGACACTTAACAAAGCTTGAACAAAAAAGAGGAAGACTTCTACAAAGAATAAACACACGTCAAAATCTGTCTCTGGACTCTGAAATCTAAAACATGTGTGAGTTAAACTAACAAAAAAGTAAGACAACCCAGATCTCGATGAATTGGGTAATGTTGTTGAGGAAGAATGGGCAAAAATCAGCTAAACTTTAATAGAGAGCATTATACTGTCAACATATTTAATAAGAGGTTTTGGTAATTTTCTAAAGTGGGGCTAAAGAGCAATCAATTTCACGTCATTATAGAAATCTCTCAGAAAACAATGGAGAAATGTTAGAAAGTAATAAATTGACAAAAAAACTCATGTTCCTACAATTGCATTAGTAAAAACATTGTCAGAATACCTGGTTCTGTCACCTCCACTCTGAGAGAAGCTTCCAATGTTGTGAGTGTGATTTCATTTGTCGCTCGACAGATGTACTCTCCACTGTCTGATGTGACAGTATTTATTTTAGTATAAATAGATCCAGAAGTGAGAAGTGTCCCATTCTTCATCCAGGTGTAGTTTGCACTTGGCACAGAGACACTGGAGCAGCTCAATTCTAATGTTTTGCCCACGTGAATCTTGTTTTGACCTGAGATTTTAACATCATCTGGTCCATCTGAAAATGACTGAACATGTTTATAATGTTTCCATAATAATTGAAACAGATGTGAATGCACTGAGACTCACATAACACCTCCAGAGTGTAGTTGGCTGTCTCTGTGCTGATGGGGTTGCTGATTTCACAGGTGTATCTCCCACTGTCTTTTCTGTTCAGGGGTTTGAAGGACAACACTCGCTTTTCTTCATAAAACTCAATGTTTTGCGAAGGCTTTACTTCCTGTCCATTTATCAACCACTTCCTGCTGAAGATGGAGCCAGAGGCATCACAGGTGAAGTTTACTGAGCTCCCCTCGATCGGCTCCGTGGACAATTTCACATTCATATTTGCTATTCGTCCTGTGAAAGAAAATTACATTAAAATCTCACCGAATTTCTCACTGAGCGTTGATTTAAGTATGATGTAAAACAAGTCTGCAGATATACAACAACCAGAGTACAAATAAATGCATGTTCTCTTACTTAACACAGAGACAAGAGCAGGCTCAGAAGTTGAGTATCTGAGAGTTTTGCTGTTGAAAGCCTGGCAGCTGTAGTTTCCGCTCTGACTCATCTGGATGTTCATCAGTGGTAACTGTGCCTCAGTAGAAGACAACATCTCTCCATTAAAAAACCATTTGATCTGAGCCACAGGTCTGGAGTCAGCTGAGCAGGACAGAGACACGTCTGAGCCTTCTTCGTAGTGATGGAGAAGGGGGAAGGTCTTCACAGTGGCCGCATCAGGACCATCTAACGAAAAGTGAACATTTGTTGAGTGAAGTTAATTATGGGATTCTTCTTTTTTCTACAGACATCATTGACTCACTGCTGATGGAGAGTTTAGGTTCAGTAAAGGTATCGCTGCTCACAGGGTTAGATGCTGAACATGTGAATGGTCCCTGGTCGTATCTGAGCACCTTCTTTATGGTTAGAACTGCATCTCTGTCACTCAGCTCCACTCTGTCACTGGATGTGACGACAGAACTTCCATTTAACCAGCGGAAAGTGGTCGGGCTCCCATCAGCCGAGCAGGACAGAGTCACAGAACTGTTGAACTCCACTAAGTCTGAGCTGCTGACAGTGACTCTCACATTAGACACTGGCTCTGGGAGAAGACACACATGGGTTGTGAATACACACTCGTTTAAAGCTCAGAAATTACACTCCACAAAATATACACAGTATAATAATTGTAGGGCTGTCAAACGATAATTTTTTTTAATCGAGTTAATTACAGCTTAAAAATTAATTAATCATAATTAATCGCATTTCAAACTATTGGCAAAATTATGCCATATTTTTCTGTAAATTGTTGTTTGAATGGAAAGATAAATGACAGCTTAGTGAACATATGAACTGTTTTTGTTTGTTATAACAATAAATCCATATACAATGGAATTAACATTATTAACATTCTGTCTTTTTGTTTAGACTCAGACTAAAACCATTGTTTGTTACAGATGAGGGACATTTCAAAATCGTCTGAAATGCAGAATGTCATTAAATCTGTTTGATTTGCTCACACCATTACTTTTTTTGGCACAACTAACATGAACTGATGGACGAAAGGAAAATTAGGTACCTCAGGTTTAATTTAGCGAGTGCGCTTCGGGAGAAGACATGGAGGAGACTGAGGCTCCACAGTCCAGCTTCAGCGCTGCACATATTGTGTGCATCGGTTACGCAAAGACACGTACGCACACTAGAGAATAGTTCTGTAATAGTTCTGTGCGTGGTCTTGGATATGATCCCATTACGCAGCGCCGTTCGCCGTGATCACAGCCGCTGGAAGTGGTGCTGCTGTCTAGAGCGCTGTCGCGCCCGCAGCTCATCATGTACAGTTCATACAGGAAACAACAAGTGCCCCGCGTGTATTCTTTAGAAACTTGAATTCCCAGAGGGCCTACCTGCTCTGTCCCCATCTTACACACGCATGTGTCCGCGGCAGTGTTATTATAGGACCCATGGGCATGCGTCAAATGCGTTAATTTTTCTAATGCGATTAATGAAAAAAATTAATTAACGTGCGTTAACGCGATAATTTTGACAGCCCTTAATAATTGCAATGCAAAAATAACAGACACAATAACATAAGATAACAGCAATATATGCATAGTTTGACTCAATTCTTCAGTTTGTGTCTCCTTCGAAGAATATTGATATGAATGCACAACATGTCTAACTATATATAACATTTAATGTATAGTTACCATAAACAGACAGTTGGGTAGTCCCAACCATGGGACTACTGCCCACTTTTAAAATGCTAACTCTGTATTCTCCAGTGTCGCTGAGAGACAGGTTCCTGAGCTCCAGAGATCCAGTGTAGATGAACAGAGTGATCCTGTCCTCATACTCTGAAGAACTGGTGTTAACACCACGAATGTAAGAGGTAACTTCTACAGTAGGAGTACCCGTTTGCCATAATATTGATACAAATGGAGTTTGTGTTGGAGCCAGTGACGTGCTGAACATGACTGTTGCTCCCACAGCTTTATCCACAGAGTCATACGGCAACACACCAGATCCTGAGACTAAACCTGCAGGAGAATCACATTCTATTTTTAAAAACAGTGATAATTAAAACAAATGAGAATTCAATCAATCTAGACATTAATGTATGCATAAAAGTAGTTCTTACCAAACGTTGAACAAAAAACTTGCAGTAGTATAAGCTGTAGACTCATGGTTGATAGTGTGGCTTTCAGGAGCTGTCACTAACACAAGGAAGTACTGCAGTAATCTGTTATGTGCCTGGATAACAAACTTTGTTTAATTATTAATCACTGGACTAATCTCAATATCAAGCTGTCCCAATTACCTTTTAAAGTGGTCGTAAACAAAAACGCTTTCAAAAGATTTGGAGAACTTTCTCAGGAACCACAAACATTCTCGGCAGAAGTCAGTGTTCTACGAGTGCTTTTTTAGATTACATGCTTCAAAAAACACCACTTTCCAGCTCAGGACTACTGAATACTGAAATCATCTAAATTAAAACTCCACAAATGTAGCAGAGAAGTGTTGTCATTGATAAACAGCCGGTACTGTGTAATAATGTTTTATTTTAGGACAGGAGTTATGTATCCCGTGCATTGAGGAGTTTTCAAAGATTGTTTATTTTTTCCTCTTGTACTGTGGAGAGACTCTTCATGTTTTAGTCTGCTACAATTATGTAACACGGTAAAATTAGTTTTTCTGTAAATCCCTCTTTGTTGTTGTTGTTTACCTTATGTTGATATGGTGGAAACAAATACACTGTGGAAGCACACTTAATAAAGCTGAAGTAAAAATGAGGAAGACTAAACATCCCAAACGCACATCACAACCCACAGTAGACTACACTGCACCAAGAAGCACAACAAGCTGACGGGTTTGCAATGGCCATTACTGTCTCTGGACTCAAACATAAGTGAAAATCTGTGGATTATCCTCAAGGAGAAATGCATGCAAGGCAGCCCAGAAATTCAATGTTTTTTTTGTAAATGTACACAATGTGTAGTGATTTTAAGTAAATAAAATTGACCTATTTCCAAATCCATGGATCAAACTGCCAAAAGACACAGCCAAGACTGAAGTTCTCTGTGTTGAACAGTCACATTATCCCCAAAAACCTGCACTGGGAGAGAAACCCTCCCTTTAAAGAAGAACAAGTGTATGTTGTCATGGAAACGTGTTTGAAATCTGAAATGTTCTAAAATCCAACTTAATGCTGCTTTAGAGAAAAATAACAAGAAATCTATAAATGAGAGACACTTGTCTGTCAACAAATGTCATCACTGATGTTTGAATTACCTAAAGCCAGGCCACAAAACATTCAATTTGAAGGTATTATAGTAAAGTCTGACAAAACACTGGAAAAGTTTTACAATAAGTAAAGGAAAGTGATATTTACCGCGTATATTACTATTTTCCTAAAGTTTAATATCCTAAACATTTACATAGACAGTTGGAGAATACAGAGTAGATAATACCTGGTTCTGTCACCTCCACTCTGAGAGATGCTTCCGATGTTGTGAGTGTGATTTCATTTGTCGCTCGACAGATGTACTCTCCACTGTCTGATGTGACAGTATTTGTTTTATTATATTTAGATCCAGAAGTGAGAAGTGTCCCTTTCTTCATCCAGGTGTAGTTTGCTTGTGGCACAGAGACACTAGAGCAGCTCAATTCTAATGTTTTGCCCACGTGAATCTTGTTTTGACCTGAGATTTTAACATCATCTGGTCCATCTGAAAATGACTGAACATGTTTATAATGTTTCCATAATAATTGAAACAGATGTGAATGCACTGAGACTCACATAACACCTCCAGAGTGTAGTTGGCTGTCTCTGTGCTGATGGGGTTGTTGATTTCACAGGTGTATCTCCCACTGTCTTTTCTGTTCAGGGGTTTGAAGGACAACACTCGCTTTTCTTCATAAAACTCAATGTTTTGCGAAGGCTTTACTTCCTGTCCATTTATCAACCACTTCCTGCTGAAGATCGGCTCCGTGGACAATTTCACATTCATATTTGCTATTCGTCCTGTGAAAGAAATTTACATTAAAATCTCACAGAATTTCTCACTGAGCGTTGATTTAAGTATGATGTAAAACAAGTCTGCAGATATACAACAACCAGAGTACAAATAAATGCATGTTCTCTTACTTAACACAGAGACAAGAGCAGGCTCAGAAGTTGAGTATCTGAGAGTTTTGCTGTTGAAAGCCTGGCAGCTGTAGTTTCCGCTCTGACTCATCTGGATGTTCATCAGTGGTAACTGTGCCTCAGAAGAAGACAACATCTCTCCATTAAAATACCATTTGAACTGAGCCACAGGTCTGGAGTCAGCTGAGCAGGACAGAGACACGTCTGAGCCTTCTTCGTAGTGATGGAGAAGGGGGAAGGTCTTCACAGTGGCCGCATCAGGACCATCTAACGAAAAGTGAACATTTGTTGAGTGAAGTTAATTATGGGATTCTTCTTTTTTCTACAGACATCATTGACTCACTGCTGATGGAGAGTTTAGGTGCAGAAAAGGTATCGCTGATCACAGGGTTAGATGCTGAACATGTGAATGATCTCTGGTCGTATCTGAGCATGTTCTTCATGGTTAGAACTGCATCTCTGTCACTCAGCTCCACTCTGTCACTGGATGTGACGACAGAACTTCCATTTAACCAGTGGAAAGTGGTCGGGCTCCCATCAGCCGAGCAGGACAGAGTCACAGAACTGTTGAACTCCACTAAGTCTGAGCTGCTGACAGTGACTCTCACATTAGACACTAGCTCTGGGAGAGGACACACATGGGTTGTGAATACACACTCGTTTAAAGCTCAGAAATTACACTCCACAAAATATACACAGTATAATAATTGTAGGGCTGTCAAACGATACATTTTTTTAATCGAGTTAATTACAGCTTAAAAATTAATTAATCATAATTAATCGCATTTCAAACTATTGGCAAAATTATGCCATATTTTTCTGTAAATGGTTGTTTGAATGGAAAGATAAATGACAGCTTAGTGAACATATGAACTGTTTTTGTTTGTTATAACAATAAATCCATATACAATGGAATTAACATTATTAACATTCTGTCTTTTTGTTTAGACTCAGACTAAAACCATTGTTTGTTACAGATGAGGGACATTTCAAAATCGTCTGAAATGCAGAATGTCATTAAATCGGTTTTATTTGCTCACACCATTACTTTTTTTGGCACAACTAACATGAACTGATGGACGAAAGGAAAATTAGGTACCTCAGCTTTAATTTAGCGAGTGCGCTTCGGGAGAAGACACGGAGGAGACTGAGGCTCCACAGTCCAGCTTCAGCGCTGTACATATTGTGTGCATCGGTTACGCAAAGACACGTACGCACACGAGAGAATAGTTCTGTAATAGTTCTGTGCGTGGTCTTGGATATGATCCCATTACGCAGCGCATTATCCCATTATCACAGCCGCTGGAAGTGGTGCTGCTGTCCAGAGCGCTGTGGCGCCCGCAGCTCATCATGCACAGTTCATACAGGAAACAACAAGTACCCCCGCGTGTATTCTTTAGAAACTTGAATTCCCAGAGGGCCTACCTGCTCTGTCCCCATCTTACACACGCATGTGTCCGCGGCAGTGTTATTATAGGACCCATGGGCATGCGTCAAATGCGTAATTTTTTTTAATGCGATTAATGAAAACATTTTATTAACGTGCGTTAACGCGATAATTTTGACAGCCCTAAATAATTGCAATGCAAAAATAACAGACACAATAACATAATATAGATAACAGCAATATATGCATAGTTTGACTCAATTCTTCAGTTTGTATCTCCTTCGAAGAATATTGATATGAATGCACAACATGTCTAACTATATATAACATTTAATGTATAGTTACCATAAACAGACAGTTGGGTAGTCCCAACCATGGGACTACTGCCCACTTTTAAAATGCTAACTCTGTATTCTCCAGTGTCGCTGAGAGACAGGTTCCTGAGCTCCAGAGATCCAGTGTAGATGAACAGAGTGATCCTGTCCTCATACTCTGAAGAACTGGTGTTAACACCAAGAATGTAAGAGGTAACTTCTACAGTAGGAGTACCCGTTTGCCATAATATTGATACAAATGGAGTTTGTGTTGGAGCCAGTGACGTGCTGAACATGACTGTTGCTCCCACAGCTTTATCCACAGAGTCATACGGCAACACACCAGATCCTGAGACTAAACCTGCAGGAGAAACACATTCTATTTTTGGAAAAACTAGTTACCAACAATTATTTAGCATAATTAATACTATCTAAAATATCTAAATAATTATCTATGGACAAAATGTTGAACAAATAAGTACAAGCTGTAGACTCATTGTGGAAAGTGTGGCTTTCAGCAGCTGTCACCAACACAAGGAAGTACTGCTGTAACCTGCAATGTGCCTGGATAATATAATTTGATTAATTATTAAACACTGGACCAAATTCAATATCTGTCCTAATTCCCTATGCAATATAAAAATGTATAAATCATTATTAATAAAGAGACAATATGTAATATATACTGTTAGTTGTCTAATAAATTCATTTCAATTACAATCCAACAGCAGTTGCCAGAAGTTTGTGACAATTGTGGTCCCTGTGTGCTGGTAATTTAAGTAAACCACCTACTAGAGTGTATAAAAATGATACAAACTATGTGTATTGCACATGACTACTTGTTTGTATCTGTTTTAATTTTACAAAAGTGTAGTGCTAAATTTTGTTTGTGAATGTTTTTGCAGTGCAGTGTAAATCCTTAATCCCCAGTGCACGTCATATTCATATGTCAAATGTATACACTGCAAATAATGATAAAATGTGAGGTAATAATTGCTTGAATTGAGAGTTTTTTCTCTTATTTTGAGTGCATTCTGACTGTCTAAAAACAAGATTTGCCGATGGAACAAAGCCATTTAGTCTTATTTCCAGAACTGTTGCTTTATTTTCTCATTCCATGGGAGACATTTATTGAGTTTTAACAAGATAATATTGCTTTGTCTCATTGGTGAATCTTGCTTTAAGGCTGTTAAAATGTGCTCAAATAACAGTAGGGGGCGTTGCTCTGCTGTGAGTAAAGACTTTTACTGTTTGACATTACCTTCACTCTCATACACACAGAGCACAGGTCCAAACAGCTTTCTGCTCAAACAACATAAATGGGATTACTCACTATATACTGTGGGATTGCTGCTGCTCTTTCAGGTAAAAACGTTTGTCTTCACTAAAAAGAAAAATATATGAAATATGAATTAATTTTTGTGTAGACATTTCCCCCACGGATCTGTGATGTTTTTGTGTTAAATTCATATTTCAGGTTTAGTCTCAGGATCTGGTGTGTTGCCGTATGACTCTGTGGATAAAGCTGTGGGAGCAACAGTCATGTTCAGCACGTCACTGGCTCCAACACAAACTCCATTTGTATCAATATTATGGCAAATGGGTACTCCTACTGTAGAAGTTACCTCTTACATTCTTGGTGTTAACACCAGTTCTTCAGAGTATGAGGACAGGATCACTCTGTTCATCTACACTGGATCTCTGGAGCTCAGGAACCTGTCTCTCAGCGACACTGGAGAATACAGAGTTAGCATTTTAAAAGTGGGCAGTAGTCCCATGGTTGGGACTACCCAACTGTCTGTTTATGGTAACTATACATTAAATGTTATATATAGTTAGACATGTTGTGCATTCATATCAATATTCTTCGAAGGAGATACAAACTGAAGAATTGAGTCAAACTATGCATATATTGCTGTTATCTATATTATGTTATTGTGTTTGTTATTTTTGCATTGCAATTATTATACTGTGTATATTTTGTGGAGTGTAATTTCTGAGCTTTAAACGAGTGTGTATTCACAACCCATGTGTGTCTTCTCCCAGAGCCAGTGTCTAATGTGAGAGTCACTGTCAGCAGCTCAGACTTAGTGGAGTTCAACAGTTCTGTGACTCTGTCCTGCTCGGCTGATGGGAGCCCGACCACTTTCCGCTGGTTAAATGGAAGTTCTGTCGTCACATCCAGTGACAGAGTGGAGCTGAGTGACAGAGATGCAGTTCTAACCATAAAGGAGGTGCTCAAATACGACCAGGGACCATTCAAATGTTCAGCATCTAACCCTGTGAGCAGCGATACCTTTACTGCACCTAAACTCTCCATCAGCTGTGAGTGAATGATGTCTGTAGAAAAAAGAAGAATCCCATAATTAACTTCACTCAACAAATGTTAAATTTTCTGTAGATGGTCCTGATGCTGCCACTGTGGAGATCTTTCCCCTTCTCGATCACTATGAAGAAGGCTCAGACGTGTCTCTGTCCTGCTCAGCTGACTCCAGACCTGTGGCTCAGTTCAAATGGTATTTTAATGGAGAGATGTTGTCTTCTTCTGAGGCACAGTTACCACTGATGAACATCCAGATGAGTCAGAGCGGAAACTACAGCTGCCAGGCTTTCAACAGCAAAACTCTCAGATACTCAACTTCTGAGCCTGCTCTTGTCTCTGTGTTAAGTAAGAGAACATGCATTTATTTGTACTCTGGTTGTTGTATATCTGCAGACTTGTTTTACATCATACTTAAATCAACGCTCAGTGAGAAATTCTGTGAGATTTTAATGTAATTTTCTTTCACAGGACGAATAGCAAATATGAATGTGAAATTGTCCACGGAGCCGATTGAGGGGAGCTCAGTAAACTTCACCTGTGATGCCTCTGGCTCCATCTTCAGCAGGAAGTGGTTGATAAATGAACAGGAAGTAAAGCCTTCGCAAAACATTGAGTTTTATGAAGAAAAGCGAGTGTTATATTTCAAACCCCTGAACAGAAAAGACAGTGGGAGATACACCTGTGAAATCAGCAACCCCATCAGCATAGAGAAAGCCAACTACACTCTGGAGGTGTTATGTGAGTCTCAGTGCATTCACATCTGTTTCAATTATTGTGGAAACATAAACTTGTTCATTCATTTTCAGATGGACCAGATGATGTTAAAATCTCAGGTCCAAACAAGATTCACGTGGACAAAACATTAGATTTGAGCTGCTCTAGTGTCTCTGTGCCAAGTGCAAACTACACCTGGATGAAGAATGGGACACTTCTCACTTCTGGATCTAAGTATACTAAAATAAATTCAGTCACATCAGACAGTGGAGAGTACATCTGTCGAGCGACAAATGAAATCACAAATAGAACATTGGAAGCGTCTCTCAGAGTGGAGGTGACAGAACCAGGTATAGTCCACTCTGTAATCACTGTTGTTGTAATTGTATTGTCATGAGGTCTGTTAATTCCTCATCAGTGCCCCAAACACAAGTTTATAGATAGATTTGTATTTCATATTTTATTCTTGAGCTATTTTGACGGACCCCTGTTGATAATATACTGTAAATGATAGTTTGAAATTGGAAAATAGTTGAAATCAAACCACCAGAACTGCTTGGGAGATTCAATAACAATCTTAAGGTTTGGCAAATGGGTGTTTCAAATGATCAATGACTCTACACTTCTATAGACTCAAGGACATTAAGGTCAAGTGTAGAAGTGGCCATCACAGCCCAGGACCTCAATCCCAATTGGAATTTTTGGGCAAAGATGGAAATACTAGTACCGGAAAGAATGCCAACAAACCCTTCATTTTACATCAGTTTGTCAAGAGGAATGTATTTATCTCCAACCTTTTTACTGTCAGAATCTTGTGGAACGTTACCTAAAAATGTTTGGTCGAAGTTAAACTGTTCAAAAGCAATTCTAAAAAACAAGTTAAGAATTGTGAAAACCTCTTTGAAAAGTTATTTGTTAAGGTGTGTGATGTATGTACACTTCAGGTTAGTCCTTACCTTTGGTCTTTTCACTGTATTGTAGTGTTTTATATATTTTGCTGACCTTGACTTATAAGCTATTGCTGCTTATGTGTTTTTTTCAATTGAGAAGAGTGGGTCAATTAAGTTTAAATGTATTTTATGTATGCACAAACTGTGAAATAGCAAGCTTAACATGTGTTTTCCCCCTCAAGTTGATCCCTGTCCACTTCCCTGCATACTTGGAATAGTCTTCGGGTTAATTGGTCTCGCTTCACTAGTGGCTTTAGCGTACTTTGGAGTGAACAGGTAAGGGGAAAACACCATCACATAGTCTGTATTTTTCTATTCATCTCAAAAACATTATTCCGCCTCCTATAGTTTGTGCAGGATATAATTATGTACCATAAAAAAGTGGCAAAAGCAGTACTAGTTCATTAGTGACTTGAAGTGACATATTGTACAGTCTGACAGCGGTGGGGATAAAGGCCCTGACCCTTAATTATAATTATCACACGTTTGCACCAGGACCTGGACCAATTTGTATGCAATGTTTACGTCGAAGAATAATTGATTCAAAATCTCATAAATCAACTCTAGTCAAGTTCTTTGGGGCTTTGTAAAGAATCACAATAATGGTCCACATGTGTCCACTGTCAGTTTAGTCAGTTACTTTATGCCCAGGGCCTTATGCTGCTACAGTATTATCATAACTGTCAATATATGAACCCACCGAGCTAATGACTTACTACCTCAACTTTCTTAGAGAGTGATCTACAGATGTATCTACAGCTGTATCTACAAATGTATCTACAGATGTATCTACAGATGTATCTACAGATGTTCTGCTTTTCTGAACAGTCACTAGCTTGTCTTGTGTTGTGTGCTCCTCATTCCTACAGTTCTGTAACTTGTGACACAACACTGATATTTACCCATTGTGGAACGAATAACAACCTTATCTCAAACTCAATTGAATTTACATCCAGCCCTGGTGCACAGTCACAGGGCTGGTGCTCTGTGACTGGGTGCAGCTCTGACTGCCACCCCCCCCGACCCAGAAATGGATTAAGGGGAAGAAAATGGATGGATGGATGGATGGATGTATGAGTTAGAACAGCACAAAAGATCATATGAAAATAGAACACAATTGGAGCATTGCTGGTCCTAAAGAATGAGTACAAAAGCACATACTAAACCACTTACTAATGTGTGTGGACTGTGAGAAGCTTCTCTTTTGAATTTCATTTGAGTTTTTGATGTACCCTGATGTTAATTCTCTTCCAGTTATAAAAAACTTGAGAAAGATTCAACCCCTCCAAGAGGTATGAAAATATAATTATGATACAAAACAATGTTGATAGACAAAAGAAAATTTAATCCACGTCTCCTTTTCACTTTCACAGAAATTGGAGAAGATGGAGGGCACGACAACTCTGCATGTACACAAAAACCACCGGTAAAAATCCACTATGTGTGTGTGTCTGTGTATATGTGTGTGTCTGTGTGTCCATGCGTATGTGTTTGTATGTGTGTTGATACAAAAAAACAAAATTCAGAGCAATTTTAGCTTTACAATAACTCCAAAACCTTTGTGGCAGTTTGGGATTTAACCTTTCCTGTTGAAACATGAAGGTAAAACACCAATTTTTATGTTTCAAACAGTATTATACGTTATGTACCTCAAAAAGAATAAAAGTAGACTGTGAACCCAATATCTCAATAACTTCCTGGACTCAATAACCTCCCTCTCCCCCACAATGAAAGACATTGGCACCTTTTAATAAAATTGACCCGTTGCATTTGCCTGTACAAAATATTGGAAAGGAAATTATTCAATAAAAATATTAACAACATTGTTTCAATTTCAATCAAAACTATGCATCGTTTTCAACCCTGGCTTTATTGCATTTCAAGACTTTGAACCAGGAAACAGCAGAACTAATAAAAACCAACACCGTCACATCAGTTTGATTGTTCGTCTTATGTGAACAGTTCATACATTGGACCGATCAAATATCTTCTGTCATATTTATGTTTAACTTACTTCCTATTGCTACGTTGTTGCACATAGAAGTGTTGCTCATCAATTTATTATTATTATTATTATTATTATTATTATTATTATTATTATTATTATTATTATTATTATTATTATCATTATTATTATTACCATATTCATCATTATTATATATTTCAAATAATTCACTATAAGACAAACAAAACAAAAACAAGTAACATAAAAAATTTTAACAAAAAGAAATAAAAAGGCAAAATATAAATGAACAATAATAATAATAACAATAATAATAATAATAATAATATTGATAATAATAATAATAATAATAATACAATACATAATAGTAATAATACAAAAAATGAAATAATGATAATAACAATAATAACAAGATTATAATAATAATAATAACATGATAATAATAAGAATGAAAATAATAACAGGATGAAGAGACTGAACTTGTAGTTGTGTACAGTTGTGTTGTTTGATGGTGTTGGGGGTTCCTTTCTGCAGAGGAAGCTGCTTCATGCATCTTGCTGTAGAGAGAATAATAAAGAAGTAAACAGCTCAGACCTGGGCCTGTCTGACAATATTTACTGTATTCATTCATCATGTTGCTTGTGTACAGGAGGTGACATATGTCGACGTCTTGTTCACAAAGAAAGACGGTGGAGTGGTGCATATGAGTTCACAGAATGAGACAGAATATTCTGAGGTCAAGAAAAAACCTACTCAACCAGGGCCCAGTCTGCCCACGTACGAGGCCCACGTGAAGAGGACCAAACGACCCCCTCCACCGCCCCCCACCGGCTCATAGTATGCCCAGATACAGAGGAAATGACAGCACTGTTTACCTACATCTGGTTGGACTTCAATTTGTGGCATAGTTAATGATTGATAAGAGGCGTTCAGTTTCCCATGCACAATACTGGAGACGCCACACAATCATGAAAATTAGAGTTTTGTAGTTCATTATGTTCAAAGAAGATCACTCCAGTAAAATACTGTGATTATGCTTTTTAATAACTTATTTGAAAGATATAGTATTTTATATAGTAAATACATAATATGATGTTGTTTTGCAAATGATTAAATGCTCTGAAATGTAAATGCAGTGTATGTATGTGTGCATCTATCTCTCTACTTGTTTTTAAATTAGAAATGAAAATATGAAAATAAGGCAAAGGTAAAATGTAGGCATCTGTGTGAGGCTTTACCTTTATCAGAATGCCACACTATATTCCTATAAAAAAAATTATGATTAATTCCCTGAGTGTAAAATACTGACAGATAAGATGTGATGGGGGGTAATTTAAAAGAGGCCATCAGATCAACTTCCATCAAACATTTATTAACCGTAACATTTATTACTACAGTATAGTTTGGATTTATTTAACTTCCTCATAAAGCAACTACAAAGCGATATTTCCATGACTGAGCGAGGGCTGTTGAATAACTTCCCTGAGAGCAAGTCGGTTCAATGAGTTACGGATAAGGCCACTCGGGTGTGGACTTTGGAAGCTGGTTCACCATTTGTACCATATGTAAATCTGCGACATCTGCTGGCCGTACCGATGTCAGCTACACCCATGTTTGGTATGATAATCATTTATTTCAGAGCTCTTGCCACGGCACCATTTTTCTGGTGTCAGCCCAAACACTCTCTGACCAAACACCCACTGCTCACACACCTCTCTCCCATCACTCACTTTGTGCTGGGGGTTAGAAATATGTGTATAAAGTAACAATTAGAGAGCAAGGTCAAGGATGAAATTCTTATTCTTTGTATTTAAGTACAGCATCAGAATCAGCACCTCCAAATCCGAGGCCATGGTGCTCGACCGGAAAAAGGTGCCTTGCCCTCTGCAGGTGGGTGGAGAGGTCCTTCCTCAAGTGGAGGAGTTCAAGTATCTCGGGGTCTTGTTCACGAGTGAGGGAAGAATGGAGCGTGAGATTGACAGGCGGATCGGTGCAGCGTGCGCAGTGATGCGGTCGCTGTATTGGACCGTTGTGGTAAAGAGGGAGCTGAGCCGAAAGGCAAAGCTCTCAATTTACCGGTCAATCTTCGTTCCCTCCCTCACCTATGGTCATGAACTTTGGGTAATGACCGAAAGAACGAGATCGCGGATACAAGCGGTCGAAATGAGCTTCCTCCGCAGAGTGGCTGGGCGCTCCCTTAGAGATAGGGTGAGGAGCTCAGTCACACGGGAGGAGCTCGGAGTAGAGCCGCTGCTTCTCCACGTCGAGAGGAACCAGTTGAGGTGGCTCGGGCATCTGTTCCGGATGCCTCCTGGACGCCTCCCTGGGGAGGTGTTCCGAGCACGTCCCACCGGGAGGAGGCCCCGCGGAAGACCTAGGACATGCTGGAGGGACTATGTCTCTCAGCTGGCCTGGGAACGCCTTGGGGTCCCCCCGGACGAGCTGGAGGAAGTGTGTGTGGATAGGGAAGTCTGGGCGTCTCTGCTTAGACTGCTGCCCCCGCGACCCGACAACGGATAAAGCGGAAGAAAATGGATGGATGGATGGATGGATGGATGTATTTAAGTATAATTATTCCATGGTTGTTTAGATTTACCTTTTTAGACATAATATATAAGAAATAGGAAATAATTAAAATTCAGTTGAAATAATGTTTAAACCATACATTATTACGAAGATTTCTTTGTTTTAGTAACATTTATTATTTAAGTTGCCAAAACAGTCCGTTGTGAGGAAAAAAACGGATTCCCACAGAACTTGAAATACTCAAGAGCACCAAAAGAGGTCAGTGTTCTGTCGACAAAACATATGATATTGATGCATAACAGTCATTTTATGAGTGTGGAGATGATATTTGATCCTTAATTAATAGTTCAAGTTCATTTACCATAAGTTACCATAATCTGTTTTAGCTGAATCATCATCATGTGCCTGCATATGTGTACTTATAGTCTAAATACATACAAAAAAACAATTTTTAAATATAACATTCTGCGCCATACAGAGAGCACTGCACCCACACACGGCAACAAAGGATGAAGAACAAAACAAAAAAAGGTAGAATCTGTACAACATATGTTTATATACAGTCTATATGTATATAAAATAAAGAATTCACAAAGAGAGAGTGAAAATTAGAAAAAAAACAATGATATATATCAGTATTTACAAAATGAGAATGATATGGCATGGTAAGACCAGGCTATGATTTATCAGTCTAAAACGCTATTTATCTGCGAATGTGGATATTTACAAAAGATTCCTGCTCATGATTAGCCTGGCATAGACCAGACCAAATATCCCAAGTGAATATGAATCTGAAATGATTTACAAAGCAGTATTCCTAAGAAAGTCCATGATAAAATTAGATTTTTGTTCATATTGTACACAGTTTTTGTTTAAAATCGTAACAATGGATGTTTCAAAACCCTTAGTGATGTAATGCTAAAGCGGTAGTCTCAATAACAGAACATTTGTCATCATTTGTCATATAGTGTTTGGTCATCGGCACAGCTTCACCCAGCTCAGTAAATAACTTTGTAAAGCTTTCTTTGTGATGCTGAATGAATGACGACCAAACAACGGCGAACACCTGCAGATAAGAAGGTGGGTGCAGTGGCAGTGGGGTGATGGGTGGGGGGGACATAATCTATATATATGTATAATAGAGAGCGGTGGGCAGCTGCACGTTCAGATCGAAAACTCATGAGGATGGAGACACTGACCTGTGCTGTGCTACTGCTGCTATACCAAGGTAGGCTCTGATTTGTGATTGGGTGAAAGTATTAGAACAATACTAGATCAATAATTTTGTGGAACTACAAGCTCTAAAGAGAATAAAATGTATAGTTATATTTTCACCATTATTATTATTATCATTATTGTTTTTATTTTTAAGTCTATGGACATTCATTGTCTCAATTTTGGTGTATTTTTTGCTTGCAAAGACAGACATGGCATCTTCTCCTTTTGCTTGCATACTGCTGCTGTTACTTAATCTGCCTTTATATAAATGTGTAAAAACAATGATTGACAAAGGTTTATCATTCCGTATATGGACAACCTACCTTCAAGCTCAATGTTAGTAAATCTGGATCTTCATGAAAGTGTGAGACAGGCCTCCTCTCTGACAATGTTTAAAACCAGGTTAAAAACAGTTTGGTTTAGCTGTGCATACAACTGAGGGATTTTATTTATTACTATTAATTTTTTTTTAATGTACTGTGATGATTTACGATTTTAATGCTTTCTTGTTTTGTTCAGCCCTTTGAGTTGCCTTGTATGAAATTGTGCTATACAGATAAACTTGCTTGTGATTAATTTGTGTTATTTCTATGCCCACTTACTTGCTCAAAATAAATAAATTTAATTTTAAATATATTTCTCCACTGTGGGACAATTAAAGGATCTCTTAATCTTAATCGAAATAAATAAAAAAATAAAAAAAAACCCAAATGTTTCCCTTAATATTAATTTTAATAAGTGGCTTAAATGTAACCTGGAGTATGCACAATCCAAGTACTCCACTGTCTTTTGAAGTAGATTTTACACATATGTATGGTTTAATAATAATAATAATGTATAGCTCTATATTATCAAACACTTCATTGTCATTATTTCTATTGTCTTCAGTTTTTCATTATTCTTCTCTCCCCAGAGTCCTGTGGTGCTGTGGAGGTCAGACCCTCCGCTAACCCAGCCGTGGTGGGGTCAAGTGTCACCCTGTCCCTCTCCCCTTCCTCTTCCCTGAACAGTGGCAGCTGGGCAGTGGGGGAGTACCTCATCCTTACCTGGAGCAGACTCGGGGACCAGGACCAGGTGGCCGTCTACCCAGACCACTTGGGCCGAGCGTCCATCGATGCAGGCCGAGCGCTGACGTTAACTTCTCTCAGTGTGAACGACTCTGGGCTGTACACCATGAAGAGCACTGACCCTAAGCTCTCTGCATCGCTCAGCCTCACTGTGCTTGGTAAGAGGTCGTCTTCCAGCGGTAAAACAAGATATTAGCTGGTTTAATACAAGGGTATAATAAAAATCAGCTGCTAATTAAACAGATATTATTCCTGATACAAATACATGAATGCATTTCTCTTATCTGTTTGTGCCTCAGTTTGACCTCACTTCATTGTACTACTACTCTCGAATCTGAAATATTTAGTGATTTAAAATAGTGTAGGCCCAGATAATTCATCAGCAAGACATTCTGAGTCAGTTTTAAGTTATTTGGTGTTTGGTGATTTTTGTTAGTGCAAATTCCCACGTGAAAAGGATAAACTCTCCACATTGAAGTTTCAACTGGATTTCACTCAATAAGCAGCCATGGATCTTGATTTTCATGTCAGCCATATATTGGGTTTAGGCGAAAAACCTCAGGAAGAGAACAGAAACATCCAATAATTTTTTCATGTAAATAAACAATGTCTTTTAATCCCTATTTTTATACAATTAATGTCCCAGGCTAGTAAATCAAAGCAATATTTTGTGGCCAATAATAAGTGGCAAAAAAAAATCATCCTATTTATGAATGTCTTAAAGCTGGGCAGTCTACGTTTACTCATAATAACATATTGGTTTGTCTCAATGGAAAGAGGTTATTAAAGTTATTAAGTTGTAAAGACATCAACACATGCAATCTTTATGTTACTATGAAATATGTTATCATTTATATTTGCACAAAAGCGCCCTGTGAGTCACTCTTTGATGCTTTGGGGTGAGTGTGGTCCTCTCTTTTTCACTTTTGAGTCTGAATAAGCTGATTTAGAGCTGTGCAGAGGCCAAAAATGCATGATTGTGAAAACCAGCGGTGAAAAGGATGGATTTTATTACACAATTGTTTTTGTTTTTTCGGAGATTGAAATCTTGCAAAATTGTGCTCTAGGTGGCAGCATTTCACAATTATTTACTGTTCCAGCTATTTTAGTGGGGAAATTAGTCAACACGGTGCATTTCTTTGTTACTTTTTATAGATCAGCCTGAATTCACACCTAAAGCAGGGGTAACTAATTCTCAAAGCAAAACAAATGGAACTAAATTACATGTCACTGGCTAGCTCTAAAACAGTTTCCTTCTACTGTATCACAAGCTGTTTCTTAAGCTCTTAGCCTCTGTCAAATCTTTAGATAAGCTTTTAAGATAAGATAAGATAAGATGTAATCTCACGCAAAAGAAATTTACATGTCATGTTTGGCATGGATAGAATCACTCAAGATTGTGCAAAAAGTAAGAAATGTGCAAACAGGACAGGACATATTATGTACAAAAAGTGGCAATTAGTGGCATTTTGCAGACAGAAAAGTGAAAAACAGAGGACTTCATTCAGCCAATCAGCTCTCAGCCCAAACCGCCAAATAGTGACTCACAGGGCGCTTAAGTATGTTTTCTAATACTAGATACAAGAAGAGCATGTTTATTTATGTCATTCTCTTACAAGACTGTTTCTATTGGACCATAAAATACTAATAAAATAGATAATCATATACAGCAAAAGTAACATACCTCAGCTTTAAACATCTATGGTTTTAATATTAACTAACTCCATAATTTTCCCTCTTCCATGTGTCATAACCACACAGAGCCCATTGTAAACGTGACCACAAATGCCAGCGTCTCTCCTCTGGTGGAACACAGGAGCACGGCTGTTGCATTGTGCTCGGTGTCTTCGGGGTCATCGGTTTCTTTCGCCTGGTTCAACAGCAGCTCTGAGGTCGTGGTCAGTGACAGAGTCCGGCTCACTGAAGGAAACGCCACACTCTCCATCGTCACCATCAGCCGCTATGACCAGGGACCCTTCACCTGCCTGGCCTCCAACCCGGTCAGCAACGCAACTAGTGATCCAGTCGACTTCACCATATACTGTGAGTCAAATATTTCACAAATACACTGCAGAAAGTGATGAAAAATAATCAAAATTAAAGCCGCAAGCGGCGTCGAACGGCCCTCGCCGCACCGCGCGACACCCCGCACCGCTTGTACCACCCCGTGCCAAGCCACCCCGCACCACGCCGCCCCGCACCAAGCCGCAACGCGCCGCTCCACAACGCCCCGCACTACGGCGCACCACACCGTACCAAGCAGCACCGCGCATAGGAGGTGGCACCACCGTGTGATGATTTGTTGGGCGGCACGGTGGCTGAGTGGATAGCACTCTCGCCTCTCAGGAAAAAGGTCCTGGGTTCGAATCCCGGTTGGACCAGGGAGTGGAGTTTGCATGTTCTCCCCGTGTCTGCTCCGGTTTCCTCCGGGTACTCCGGTTTCCCCTACCACTAAAAATATGTACAATAGGTCTGGCATGTGCCTCCTGTACTGGCCCCACTCCCAAAATTAACAATTGTAAACCGCTTTGAGACTCTGATGTGCAGTGAAAAGGCGGTATGTAAATAAAGATTACTTACTACTTACTTCCCGTAGCCATAGAAGGAGTTAGTGAAATTGTAATGAATATGATAAGTAGAGCTGGTTTGGCTCCCCATGTAAACTTTGACTCAGTCTTTAGGGGGCGCTAATGGGCCAATTTCAAATATTTCACTTTCACCTGACCTAAACCCTGGAGTTTTAAAGCGTTTGAGTTTACGCACGCAACCGTCACGTCGGGGGGAGTGACAGGCGCTGACGCGTCCGTCACGCACCGCCACCATTTGTTTTCACCATTGTGAAAGCAATAGGCCCTTACCCCGTTCGAGGCTCGGGCCTAAAAATGCTCAAATTTTGCTAAATGTGAGCAGAGGGACAAGCAAAATAATCTTGTTTTAAAAAGATACAAGAAATGTCTCCCTTGGAATTCGGAAATAAAGGATTAGGAGTAAGAGATTTAGAGATCCTTTATTCTTGCCACAGCGGGGAAATTTCAGTGTTGCATCACAAGTTACAGAACAGTTGGAATGAGGAGCACACAGCAAAAGATAATTGAAAAATAGCTATTCTAATTAAATTGAAAACCAAAAAAATCTAATTCTAGTATCAAAGAACAAGTATAAAATCTCTATCTTTGACATAACAAGCTACACTAAAGAAGTGTACACATTTTTTGACAAAATAAGAGGCAAGTCTAAAGCACTGTGTATTCTGTGCAAGCAATATGTAGTTGTATGTTTACATCTGTACATGTTAGCAGCAGTATGTTTACATCTGTACATGTTAGCAGCAGTATGTTTACATCTGTACATTAGCAGCAGTATGTTTACATCTGTACATTAGCAGCAGTATGTTTACATCTGTACATATTAGCAGCAGTATGTTTACATCTGTACATATTAGCAGCAGTATGTTTACATCTGTACATTAGCAGCAGTATGTTTACATCTGTACATTAGCAGCATATATGTTTACATCTGTACATGTTAGCAGCAGTATGTTTACATCTGTACATTAGCAGCAGTATGTTTACATCTGTACATATTAGCAGCAGTATGTTTACATCTGTACATGTTAGCAGCAGTATGTTTACATCTGTACATTAGCAGCAGTATGTTTACATCTGTACATTAGCAGCAGTATGTTTACATCTGTACATGTTAGCAGCAGTATGTTTACATCTGTACATGTTAGCAGCAGTATGTTTACATCTGTACATGTTAGCAGCAGTATGTTTACATCTGTACATATTAGCAGCAGTATGTTTACATCTGTACATGTTAGCAGCAGTATGTTTACATCTGTACATGTTAGCAGCAGTATGTTTACATCTGTACATGTTAGCAGCAATATGTTTATATCTGTACATTAGCAGCAGTATGTTTACATCTGTACATGTTAGCAGCAGTATGTTTACATCTGTACATGTTAGCAGCAGTATGTTTACATCTGTACATGTTAGCAGCAGTATGTTTACATCTGTACATTAGCAGCAGTATGTTTACATCTGTACATTAGCAGCAGTATGTTTACATCTGTACATGTTAGCAGCAGTATGTTTACATCTGTACATGTTAGCAGCAGTATGTTTACATCTGTACATGTTAGCAGCAGTATGTTTACATCTGTACATTAGCAGCAGTATGTTTACATCTGTACATATTAGCAGCAGTATTTTTACATCTGTACATGTTAGCAGCAGTATTTTTACATCTGTACATTAGCAGCAGTATGTTTACATCTGTACATATTAGCAGCAGTATGTTTACATCTGTACATATTAGCAGCAGTATGTTTACATCTGTACATATTAGCAGCAGTATGTTTACATCTGTACATGTTAGCAGCAGTATGTTTACATCTGTACATGTTAGCAGCAGAATGTTTACATCTGTACATTAGCAGCAGTATGTTTACATCTGTACATTAGCAGCATGTGACACAGTGACTCGGTAAAGTGACACATTTGTGGTTCTATATTGCACTTTCTGATAGTAGTTAAGGATATTGCACCGACACATGACATGACTTAAGGCAACAGTTCTTGAAACAAGTCTACATGGCTTTGACCCACTGGCAAATCTTGCTTTAAGACAGTCAGAATGTGCTCAAATTAAGATAAAATCCACTCCATTCAAGTGTAAGGATTTAAGCAGACAGAGACGGATCGTGGTGTGCCAAACTCTGGAAGTTTATTTAAGTTGCTCTCAAGTTCCACTGGTTTACTCTGTTTCTTTTCCTCAGACAGAATAAAGGCAGTACACAGTTTATATAGTCATTGTCACGTCACACATCGAAAGACATACGTGTCACAAAGAGACAGTCACATCATAGTCATAACATGGAGTCCTTGTAGAGTCCTTGTACAGTCCTGCACGTAGGCCATATTGCTATCTAATACTAATACCCTCCCCTTTGATCACATAATCACATGTGATCACTCAAATCGATCAATCAATAAAGTGGAAAAAGAAAAAAATTCTAAAAAAAAACTTTACAAAATTATTAAAAAACAAAGAAAATGTATGCATTAAACTCATAATCATCAAATCAATATCAGTGGATTTTATCCTCTATCCTGGGAAAAAACAAACAAACAAAAACAAACAAAAACAAATCAAAAATAAAAAACAAACAAAAATAAAAACAAACAAACACTATTGGACACACAAGAACTCAGCAGATTCAGTCAAAACACAGACAAAAACGAGCTGAGTCTCAAATTAGAAGCTAATTTCACTTTTATTACTCTATACTTTTATTCTAATGCTAATTGTTTACACTTCACTTCACTTATTTCACTGTATTATTTTCACTTTTTAATCTTACACTGTGTACTTTACTCTCTATTTACAAATATGTTTGCATATTTGCTTCTATTGAGCCATATTCTTAAACTAATAAATCTCTCTGTGGTTTTACACTCTCATTATCAGTGGCTTATTATCAGTGGGATTTTGTTCCATGTCTATTCTCATTCTCAGGAATAAAACTGAACACAGTAAGGCAAATGGTTAATATGAACATTATTATGGCGGTCAGTTTTCCAAATATTTGTTGAACCAGGAAGTGCTGTCACTTCCTCCTCTCAGGCAGATTGGGATGAATGTACATCTTTAATCAAATTAGAACTATCCTTACAAGAGCTAATCTACTTTAGCAGGTTTGGGGTTGGGGTCAGTTATTCTACAATGGCGTTTGTGCTGGAAACTTCTCAATATCTAAATATCTACTATTGTGTTTTTGTGCTATACACAAATGCATCAAAATGCTTTTAAATGCTTTTGAATCTCTGTTGGTTGTAATCTATCTCATTGATCTAGGCATTAATCTAGGCTACACTCATATGAACTTTTTGTATTGTCAACATTCACTCATGTGTGAACACAAGTGAATTTGGCAGTATCTAATAAAACTGTACATAAACTGTAATTAACTTTATCTACTTTTGAAGTAAATGCTTGTGAAATGGTCCCTTTACCATTTGATATTAGCACTGGCTAAGAATATTCTCTATTTTTGAAAGCATCTATGGTTGATGCATTTATCTAATTCTATTTTTACACTATTGTTACTCTGAAGTTTGGCTGCAGTTTGAGCAAAGGCATATTTCTAGCTTGTGACTTCTGTCACTTTTAATGGCTGTAACATAACTCTGATTCTAATATTTTAGCTGATCTATCAAAAGGATAACATTGTAGGGTACTATTTTAACTCTTACGTGGAAATATGTTTATGAACAACAAAGGAAGTCAAATTCTACTCTTTTACTACTATTTAACATCTACTAAAACGCTACAATACTTATACTTTATCATTTTCAAAGTTTTTAACAGTTGCTCAGTCTACCAGACTAAAAAAGTCAAAGTTTTTGTCTGTCAGATGTCTGAATACTTAACATGTATATTGCATTTGTCACAGTTGTGGTTCTGGTTGTAGCAATAGCATCAGCAATAGACGTTTCATTGGCTGGTTCTTGTTCTGCAAATCGGCTGTGTCCAATAGATCATCAGATGTCCAGAAGCTAGGGACAAACAAAAACAAAAGAAGGAATCATGAGTATCTCTCTCATTTAGCACTCATCAATGTATGATTTCAAAAATATAAACATCACTCCCCAGTTTTCTCTCAGGTCCTCAGGTCCTCAGGGTCCCCTGAGGGTGAGTCTCAGTCGTCATCAGGTCAGGTCATCTTGGACATCAGTAGGGTCCAAGCCATGGTTCTGGTTCTCCAGTTGGACATCAGATCTCCAGATACAGTCTTTTCAGTTGAAGCACATCAGGTCATTTGCGACGCACTTCTGGTCAATGGTGCAGTGTCTCAGTTCCTGTACACAGCTTGTTATGCAATAGTTACTCTCTATGGTTAAGTCACTTTGATTCTACTTTAAAGACAATTTCTATTCATGCTGTTGCTAATGTCTCTCAGACAAAAAGCAAGCGCAGTTTACTTCTCTAATTTGTGTTTTTATCAGATCTAATTCTCATCAATGTAATTACTTCACACAGTACAAAATCAACAAATCAAAAGTGTCAGGACAGAGGTCAATTAAGTCCATGACAATATAGAATTCAAATGAACATTTCTGGTCTCAAAAAATACTGATTCAACTAAAGATTCAAGTGATAGACAATTAAAAATATGTGTTTACATTGGAGTAAACTTTTAAAATGCTTTTTTCTCATGTTCTGCTTTTTCATGTATCTATATGTAAATGTGAATGTGTGAGTGTATGAGTGTGTATGTGTGTGTGTGTGTGTGTGTGTATGAATTTTGGGGTTGTCTCTCCAGACTCCACGAACCACCTGTAGGTCTCAAAGGTCACACTGTGGTGATGTAAACCAACTGGACACACTTTCAACTCCCTCTAGATCTCTACCTGACGCTCCACCCATCACGTCTCCAGATACCTCTCTTTCATGGCCCCGGTCTCTCTCACACCCACTCAGTTCTGCAGTGGCGTGGGGAGGGGCAAGGAGGTGGCATTTTCCTTTGCTCTTTGATCTGTGACCTGTGGCTGGGTGGGCTTTGCGCTGTCCAGTGTCCAGCAGTGACCCCTCCCACAGTGTGCCAGAGTCTGAAAAACAATCTTTGAAACAGCCAATTTAAAAAAACAATAGATATCAGTATGCGAATGAGATTGTTTTTCTCTCTGAAGTCAAAACAATTTGAGCGCTCTGGGTTTTCCCAAGCGCTATGTAAATAAAGATTACTTATTCTCTTACTAATGATGACATTTTAAAACCAGAAACTAAAGAAGTTATCAAAACAACAATTATACTCAAAACAAACAACCTTTTAGACTTTAAAACATGTATTATATACTTTTGTACTGTGTGATTAATTATCTATGCGTCCTTGGGTTTCTTGAAAGACGCCATGAAATGAAATTATGAAAAATCTCTATAAAAATGAACATCAATTTGTAAAAACATTTAAAACAAAACTTGAAATCAAACAAAAGATTTAGCTCCAGCTAAACTGGATTTGGTTCAATAAAACTCAATTGTGCGTCGGAGCTGCCTCCTCATGTCTCTGAGCAGCAGCAAGGTCACGCGTGTAGTTAAAACAAAAACAAAAGTCACCACTTGCATGTGAATTGGGTAGTTTAACTTAATAATATAATACTTTTACAGCCTAATTCCCTCTTTCTTTTTTAGACGAAGTCTACAATCATTAATCACTTTTAACAGATTCTAATTTAAATGTTTGAAAAACGGCTTTTGTAACTAAAATAAAAAATACATGAAAAAATTCTCACTAACAGCTATGAAATATATCAGAGATACAATAATGGACTCACAAAATAAGCAGCATATTTAAAAAGAAAAGCAAAGCTTTTTGTACTAATCTTTGGGTTTCAAAAACATACTAATTCAAAACTTCTATTCCCTAATGGTGTTTAAAAACGTTTAACTGTGTCTAACACAATGTTCAAATGGCAAATTTAGCAAATTTAACGGAATAACTACTATGAAAAGCCAAATTCCTAAAGCAGTAGCTTTGCTTCAGATTCACAGCCAGAGCAGCGAAGGAGGGGGCCGTTTCCCTGACAACGGCAGCAGATAGAGATGTGCACACACAGGCAGAAAGATACAGAAGAATAACTTTCAAGATTACTTTGTTAAGCGAATATAACTGATGTTGTTCTTTATACTTTTGTCATCCAAATCTAGAAGTGATCACTTTCCACACTAGTAACAAAAGGCACTCTTGTCTTTAACGTACGCTTCTATTTTATCGAGGTAGCAAACTAATTTAAACTCAAAATCTCTTTCTAAAAAACAAAAACAACTGTTGGATACAACCCTCTCATAGCTCAACTGTAGATAAAACTCGGTAAAAAAATGTAAATAACTCACGAAAGCTCTCATAGCTCAACTTTAGATAAAACTCTGCATTCTCCGGTGAACTCTGTTCACTCCAAAAACAAAAACTCCCTTTTTCTGTATGTAATTTAAACCGTGATCACTGAAATATTGTTGCTTATGTACTTTTGTCATTTATCAGCCTGAAATTCGTCAATTTCAAAGCTTTTGTAACAAAGGCCTCCTTAACACGTTTCCCTTTTTAAAAATTGCTTTTATTATTACACCATGGTTTCACTTAGGCCTTTTCACTTATGGATCCTATACACTTTATGGCCAACACTTTTTGGATCCTATACACTTTATGGCCTTTTCACTTATGGATCCTTCACTCACTTTATGGCCTTTTCACTTATGGATCCTTCACTCACTTTATGGCCTTTTCACTTATGGATCCTTCACTCACTTTATGGCCTTTTCACTTATGGATCCTTCACTCACTTTATGGCCTTTTCACTTATGGATCCTCACTTATTTGAACACAATTTAGAGAGTTCGACAGACCTCAAAAACACACCCAAATTTAGCTAGTATCCAATTATGCAGACTTTACATATAAAAAGGTGTCTGCTTACCTTATTCTTGTCAAACAGGTGCATGCACGGGCTGTCCGAGAGGTCTGCCAACTCTTTTCCGCGTCGGAATCTTCAATTTAAACACAAAACAGAGAAAGTGAGGGAGCAAGAGCAAGCCCATCCAAAAGCGAGCCCTTTCAGCGTCCACTGGGATTTCTCCCCTTCCAGATAACGTGCTGTTGCTCCCACACGCCGAAAAAAAGAAACAGAGAAAACTCCCTCAAAACAATCCAGAGAATGGCACAAACCGAGCCGCGCATTCTCCACCAAATCTGTTAGGATTTAAGCAGACAGAGACGGATCGTGGTGTGCCAAACTCTGGAAGTTTATTTAAGTTTCTCTCAAGTTCCATTAGTTTACTCTGTTTCTTTCCCTCAGACAGAATAAAGGCAGTACACAGTTTATATAGTCATTGTCACGTCACACATCGAAAGACATACGTGTCACAAAGAGACAGTCACATCATAGTCATAACATGGAGTCATTGTAGAGTCCTTGTACAGTCCTGCACGTAGGCCATATTGCTATCTAATACTAATACAAGTATTTATGAGCTCATATTTTATCATTTTTCGCAGTGTAGGGAAATCCGATGTTCTAAGTTTGCTTTTTCTTTTTGGTAGATGGGCCTGATAATATGAATGTGACTCTTGGATCTCATACAACTGGATCCAATGTCACTGCTGTGTGTACGGCTCAGTCCAACCCTGCAGCTCGAATGCACTGGACTTTTGGAGGAGAGCTTTTGAACAGCTCCGGCTCAGAGTTAGAGTTGTACCACGTCACCAAAGAGCAAAGTGGGCTTTATTCCTGTGTCGCTTTCAACAATGAGACAAAGTTGAGTCACAATGTCACAGGATTCCTCCAAATCAAAGGTAGATTATAAAAAAAAAACATACAATTTATAATGGGAAAATGTAGATATCTAATTTATTCTTTTAAATTCTTTCAATAGATGCCAATTCTGGATCAGATCGTCCCAAAGCTGTGTGGATTCTCCGTCTGCTGTGTCTGGCTGAGCTGATGTTCACATTTTGGGATATATAAAAAATGTACATAGGAATTACTATTTGCGGAATAAATGCAGTATTCTTGCAGTATCTCACCCCATGTTTATAACTTTAATCCTACACATGAATCACAAAATGATTGGTGTTTTGTTGTATTTTCTGTTCTGAAAGGAAATGATGAAAAGGAGCATTAAAAGACACGTTGTTTAGTATAAATGTAATGAAAACAGCTTCAGTGCATTAAAACTTAAGCCTATGTTTCAGTGTTTTTGGGAACATTGATGAAAATGTGTGAAGTTTGGGAAACCATAGAATAATAATAACAATAGAACAATGCCTTTTACATTGCTTTAAGTCAGTGGTCTAAAACTGTGCATGTGTGTGTGTGTTTACGTGTACGTGTGTGTGTGTTTACGTGTACGTGTGTGTGTGTGTGTACATTATATGACCTTTGGAGCAAGCATCTATTGTCCTCTTCACTTGAACCATCCTACATACAGTGTGAAGGATAAATATTTCATTATGTTTCAAACTGAGAGTAAATATTTGTACTCATAAAATAGAAAGAAAAAAACAGGAAAACCAGGAATCAAGTGTTTGTATATAGAGTATTTCTATGAACAAAATGAGTACAGCTGCTTGGATTGAAACCAAACTGGACCAAAGGAAATGAAGGCTCAGTGTTGAAGACTGGGCTGAATAATGTTTTATCACTTTTTGCATTCAGGGTTCAGTGTTGCTGGTGATTTATGTATTTGTTTGAATTTAGGACTGTACATATTAATCAATGTGTTTGCAAAAATATGCTGGAGTTTGCACAATAGCTAAATTGCATCCATTGTCTTGAGGCAGGTAGAAACCATAGACTGTAAATATTAAATTAGAAACATACAGACGCACAGTTAGGTAAAAGTACAAACAATAAGCAAGCACAACAAAGAATTGAAAGAGAAGAGAAAGAGAAAGTGCAAAGAGGAGCAGATCTTCCTCTATGGGAGAATGACTGGTTTGATTTCAACCAATGTTTCAGGACTCCTTTAAATGTTAGGTAGGTCCATAATGTTGTGCCTCTGATGGATGCATGATTTAACCCATTTAATATACATGGTGTGATCGTTTACTTGATAAAATTAGCTTTAAAACGTATATACACTGTACATCCTTCCATATTAGTACAGACTGGGGGCCACACTGACATTAAACATTGACGTCCACTAGGGGGCCACAAAACAATATTATTATAGATCCATTGTGGCAAATGGGCTGCGACCGCTTCCTTTAAGTTGTAGTACTAATGTGGACAATGGAGGCTCCAATAATAAGGCATTGATCCTCTGCATGATTTAACTTTTACCTTTTAAATGTGTATAACGGATGCATATTCTAAACATTCCTCTATTTTATGAAACTGAAACAATAACAATAGGAACAGCCATCTTCCCGTGGACCCACCACCTGCAGGAGGATCAGCGAGGGACTGGTGCTATGTGAATTGGGTGGCAACTCTGACTGCCACCCCCCTGACCCAGAAATTGACAATAAAGGGATGAGAATGAATGAAACAATAACAATTGTGACATTTCTTTCTTTCTTTCACTTTTTGGAGAAACAAGTTTGGACCTGGCCTGTAAAATATAGTACGTTTATAAGTTGCATCATCGGTTGAATGATGAAGAATGAGTACAAACAATCTTTTATGTATAAAAGAAAGCTATTTATTAGATATTATAATATTAGTAAAACATAAAACAACACAGAAAGAGAAAAGTATGGTTCAGATACAGTTGAAATACATGTATGATGCTGTAATATAAAGTATACTTGTATAAAATGTTACAAAAATAAGTAAAATACATTTGACTAAATAATTGACATATAATATTTCTCGTTTAACAATTCAGTCTTTGAAGCAATTCACAATTGTAGTTTCACTTTGGCAAAGAATATGACCATAAACAAAACACACAGTTGTAATTATACACTGCACATAGAAGCAACCCACAATGATTGAAATCACTTAGAAGCATGGCTAACCACTTCAGACCTCTGAGTCCATGTGAAATTGGACACACTTTCTGCTGCAGCTTTGAGGTTCAGACTTGACCGACTGTCTTGTCATAATGTTTAAAAGGTTTTAAAAGTTATGAACCGTTTTTTTAATAGGCAAATGAGAAACAATATTATTGAGTTTAAGAATATTTGAATATTTGAATTTAAGTTTTAAGTCAGGAGTAAAAGTGAAACATATTCCGAAATATAATGACTCAAATACAGTACTGATACCTGACCCTACATTACTTGAGTAAAAATCCTGTCATAAATATGGTCATCAGAAGGGAATAATGGGGACGTGGTTCCTCTGCTGGCATTTCTTCAAGTGTTTCATTTTTTTGCACAATTTTCTGACTTTTGAAGAAAAAAATTCATTGTCAAATACATAGCATTTATGAAATATCAATTATATTAAGTAAATGGTATTCTTACTTTTTCCACGTCTGTTTTTTCGGCGAAGAAACTTAGAACAAGGACACGGGTGCCTTTCCCATCTTCCATTCACTAAAGAAAAATGTCAAATTTAAAACGATTTGTTAATGTATGCCATATAATCCTTACATAATCCATACCTTTACATTTACAAATCCCAGAATGAATCTTTCTGCTCAGATCCAGAGATAGCACAGGGTTCCCGCTATCAGACCCTGTGTGCAATATCCATTTTAGCAATATCCAAGACCAAAAACGTGAAGATAAACTTACCATTTTTGCGTGGCTTCAAAGACGAGTCGTGCATCTTATTGCCTTTATTGAAAACAAATATTAAAACATATTACAAACACAGAATTTGCATATTGTCCATTACCTTGCACTTGCTCCATGTGGTATATCAAAAGTAAGAAGGGAAGCCAAATCCACAGTGATCGCATTGTGTCTACAAGTCCTGAGCAAATGCAGAAGTGTGAAAGGTGTGCCTCTTACCTCTGTATTATAGGTGTATTCATGTCAGTAATTGTAACCGGGGCTTTTCACTGCCTGCCAGAGCTTTGAGACATTTGAGCCAAAAGCTTTGTAGTTTACAAGTGAATAGGCAAAAAGCAAAGTCTTTGCCAGCAAACCTGCACGAACTGTGTGAGACAAACGGCTCATGGAGATGCAAAAGAAAGATAAAGTGGGCATGTTGCATTCCAATATTGAATTGTTTATACAGATCTCACATCTTCCAGAACATTTCCTGCCCTGTTGCCACTTCTCCATAATGAACTGATCGTAATCAGTTATACCAACCAACAAATGTTTTAATTCTCTGCATGATTGAGCTAAAGCAGGGGTCAAGAAGTGTATTTTATACATTCATTCATCTTCTGGAAAGGGGTTGGCTGAAGCAGATGCTTATAAACTTCCACCCCCTCTCAATCACTCAACACCATACGGTCTATGCTCAACACAACTGTTGAAAACAGTAGGAAGGTAACGCAACACATTATCACAAATAGAAGATCCTAGATTCAGGAACATTCACATTTGTGTACTTAAGGTGTGCATCTGAAAATTATCTGAGCCAGTCTCTTACAAGTATGCAATAGTTTGAATGTAAAAAGTGGCATATTTCCATGTTATTCAAAAAATATTACAAACTGCAGCTTTAAGTACTTGCCCACCCAAACGTGAACCAATTAAACAACACAATTTTCTTTCTTGTTAATGTTTAATGCATATATTGGTGAAATATTGAGAAATTGGAAATGCATGATGCCTTACATTTAAGAAAAAAAACTCATTCAGCATTTAGTTTGAGAAATAAGCCAGTAGCATTGTATAACCTTACGTAACCCATGATAACACACATTTCATTCAAATCATAACAAGACCTATGCATATCCAAGTACATCAGAGCATTGGAATAAGTAGTAGATAAAGGATTATCAAAAAGTAAAAAAACATTGTAACATACAAGGGAAAAAAACATGTGAGAAAAATGTTCACAAACCTTTACAGAGGACTGTTATTGAAAATATTGTAGCATAAAATGTGGAATTGACAAGTGTGAAAAATAGGCAAGAACTTTAATGTGCTCACAACAGAAATGATTTCTACAAGACTTTTCAGTGCGCTAAGGGTTTTTCCAGAAGAGACTTGATATGTTCGTGCAGAGGTGCGCACACAGCCTGGTAGCCCTTGGGAGTCAAGTGGAGGTAATCGTACATGTCTTGATGTGAGATGCAGCCATTGTTGGACACAAACCCGGGGTCAAGATTAAGAAAAGAGGCATAAGGAAGAGAAGATACAGCCTCCTGCACCAGCTTGTTGACATTGGCATTTTTCTCACGCAGCGGGTTTGGCATTTTACCTCTAGGTAGCAGACCCTAAAACAACACGAAAAAGAGACATTGAAATGGAATGTTTGAGTTGTGCTTAAGTTACATGTATACATCTGGATAAAAAATTCCAATGGCCTTAATTTTTACAAAATGCAAGCAAGATTTCATCAATATATTTTTATAATCTTTGAGTGTTACAAGTTAAGATAGAATAGATCTTTTTAGTATTGTGTGACACAATCTTTCATGTCTAATAAAGTGACAGATGTATTAATACTATTGGTTAGTACTAGTGTGGATGTAAAGATAACAGTAGAACCTACGAGCACGAGCGTGTGAGCCTGCGGGAGCTTGTTCTTGACGACTTGGACAATGGCCATAATTCCTCCAAATACTTGTTCAGCAGTGTGACCATGGTTGTTTGTCCCGACCCATAGGACTAATACCTTGGGGCAAAATGAACAAATTAAACAATTGTTGATTGATAAACACGGAACACAAACATAAAAAAAAAACATGGAATTTCTGTAAAACACAAAGAGTCAGTTGTGTTCATACATCCAGACCTTGGGGCTGATGTTATCAAGTTCACCATTAGTCAGTCTCCACAGCACGTGTTGTGTTGCATCACCACCAATTCCAAAATTAAGGGAATGTAGAGGAGAAAATAGCTCTCGCCATATCTATAAAACAAAAACAATTTTAAACAATTAAGGAACAGCGTAGATTTTGCCCTGCCTGGTTTATAACATTACTACAAATACAGTCTTATTGGCATGTTTCTACAGCAACAAGCTCTTAACACGAATTGGCTCAATTCCGTATTCTAGTAGTATATCGAGAAGAGAAGCAAAACACAGTATTTGACAAGGTGGCCATTATATCTATTGTTTTAGTAAGGTAAAATGTAAAGATCAGATTCAGCATTAACCTTTTTTATCACAAATGGCAGAAACTAATTTGCACAGATCTTGTATCTAAGGATATAGATGAAATAAGGATGTGTAATTTGAAAAAAAAAAAAAAAAAAACACGCACACTGCATTAAAGTAATTCTCATGAATAAAGTGGAACTAAAGAAAAATAAATCAGTTTTTACCCCAAACTGATGCATCAATTGAACTAGTGAGTCTCCAACAAAAACAACCTCAGGCTCCTTTCCTTTGCCATCAGACACAAAACGTTCATGCTGCAATGACAACATACAGTTAGAACACTGATCAAAAGTAATTAGGGAACAACAGTGTGTTACTATACTTTCACACACCATGGACATCCAGCGCCCATCTCCATGAATGTCTTCACACGCTGTGGGTGTGGCGGCGGGGTTTGCCTCATCCGCACTCATGACTTGGTGTTTGTAGATTTGGTAAAAGCGGCGATTTTGGTATTCTTGGTATCGGCCCGAAATACTCACAAATACATTGCGAAAATACAGCACACGATTCTCTGAGTTAGCTTCCACGGCTAGCTTAGCACTTTAATTGATGTCAGTGACAACGGAGGCTGTGGTCAGACTCCCTTAACTTTGTGCAATGTATTTTTAAAAGTTACCTTACAACTATGTGTTTTTATTCTAATCAAATTCGCGTCTAAAGCTGTAGAAAGTAACAAGATAAAATTATCTGTGATGTCCACAGATTCAGGAAGTGCACGTTTGATCAATGAGGGCTGTACCACATCCTCAAGAATTGGCTTGCAAACCATACTTTTTTAAGTGATGTTTACATACGTCTGTATGGATTGGACTGAAAGCCAATTCACCTAAATCCTGAATACTACGATCCTTAAGAGAACTGGAACGGGTTGCTACCGTAAACCTTTTGAAATGTAATATATCAAACCCCCTCTCTTAGGACATGAATGGACTAATCCAAACCGCTCATGCGCACACCTGCCACGCGATGTTGCCGAGCAACGAGACCTCATCAGGCAAGAAACGACAAGGTGAACTTTAGGTAGGACTTTGAAATGCTTCAAAATGACTAGAAACTCTTTTATCTTGTGTTAGATACTGTTAGTGTAAAATGTATTACCCCATTTAGCAAATCTCCCTCGTCTCGTAGTCTGTCTGAATCTAAATGAAAAGACCACCTGACAAACACCTGTTAAATCAAGTATGGCCCGTAACTAACGCGAGGGTCGGTACATGCTGAAGACCTGCAAAGTCCTGCCTGTTTTGCACCCAAACAATCTGCTGTGTTTTAACCGTATAAAACACAATTTAGCGTTATGGTCACTTGATAAGCTCAAAATACTATCTCACTGTTATAAAGTACACATATAACGCTAACATATTGTTTTTAGTTGAAGGAATCATGCTATAATGTACAATATGTTACAGCTATTTTACACATCTAATTTTGAAATTGTATTATAATATAACTGATGCATTTTGTTTTTCTTGCAGACTGTTTACAAGATGAGTTATGTGTGTGGAAGAATCTCTTCATCTAAAGAAAAAGCTTCTAAAGTTTTTTACAAAAAGATAAAACCAGCCTCTAAAGATGCTTTGCCCTCAGGCAAAGTGGGTGCCGACTGCAAATGTGGAAAGTGCAGTAATTCAGAGAGCCAGCAGAGATTGAAGAGACTGCGCACCCGCAAAGAGAGGGATCATTTACGAGATGGAAGAAAACAAGCCCCAAGAGCCAGATCATGTCTCCATTACCACAGCCATCAAACAAGTAACGATCTCTCCTATGTTCACCAGTGTTGTACAAATACCTCAGATGCCCTGCCTCACGTCGTCCCTGTTACGCATGAGCATAGTGTGATTACGGACAGCCGTCTCATTGGGCATCATGGTCTATTTAACCATGAAGTCAAGTCGTTCGATATTGAACGCCTCCTGAGTGAGCAGAGAAAACTCAACAGAAGCGGAAAACTGAAAGAAAACAGAAATTCAAATGTTTCTGCAATAGAGACTGAATTGTTAATAGATTTTTCTGATAAGGAAACTACCAGCAAAGCTTTGCAGACTCCAGAGATAGAGGTTTCAAAACAGCAAGAGAAGAAAACAATAGAGTCCAATAGTCAGGGGTCAGAGCTCACACCTGGGCAAAGGACAAAGAAAACCTTAATTTCTTCAACGGAAACTACAAAAAACAACTGCAGTGATGTAATTACAGTTAATAAAGAGGCGCTACCTGTTTATGAAAGTAATAGTGATTCACACCAGATTCCACGCAACTTTAGTGAAAACAAAAACATTATACCAGGATCATTGTCATCTTTTATAGAGGTAACTCCAAGAAACACAAATTCAGAATCAACTCCTCCACAGCCCTCTAGTCCTCCCATCGCAAGAGCACCAAGCTGTCTCAAAACTCAGCAGATAGAAGATGACCCGGAGGCTGACTCTGTGGCCATGTCAGTGAAAGCAATCGCTGCCAGTCTCTGTAGTAGCATTTCTTTTTCACTCTTGGGAAGGAAAAGCTTGGTGGCTGAGAGCAGAGAGGGACTAGTAAAAGTCATGCAGAAAAGACATGGGCATCAACTCAGGAGCAACATTCTGAAAGTCCAGAAACAGTTATATTGCTCTGATGACGGAGAAGCACAAGAGGAAGTCCCTGAGCCGAGTTATAGCCCAGTTTTTGATGATAGAAAAAAGGATAAAAAGTCCTTTTCTACAGGTGATGTGGAAATCATATTAACAATTACATTTAATATCATAGTTAATTTATTTTCTGTATCATTCTATGTTGTTTCTCTATTTTCAGCTGAAATTTCAATGCCATCCAAACCCACAATGTTTTCCACATTCTCATTTGAGAAAACAGGAAGACTGCCCTTTGACAGGAACTCATCTGACTGGTCCAACCCGCTGGATCAGGTAAAAAAAATTTCTAAAATAGACAAATGTTTGAGTGTAAATAAAAATCCCCTTTGTCTTTCCTGTGAAGACAGAAGAATGGATGGGGGCTGAGCATCCCATTGTTCAGGACGGTGGCTTCGGCCGTAGAGCCTCTCCACCGTTCTCCTTGGATTTTGACTTTAGGAATTCAGTTTCCAAAGAAAGATCTGTTGATCTGTTTTCAACGCCTTTTGCACCAGCGTGTGCAGCTGGGCCTAGAAGCACTGACCACATGGATCACTTCTTTATCAGCACACAAGACAAAGAAATTGCTTGGCCTGAAACAAGCAATGACATGAGGACTTTTTCAAACATAAGAACAGAGAGACACGGACGGAGCCCTTTCACTAGTTTTGTCAACTATCGTAATGACCCTCTTCACTCAGTGCCCTTCCCTCAGGTACACAGATCATTTGAAACACACAAAGACTCATATGGAACAAGAATATCTGATGAAATTCCTTATTTTCTTCGGGAAGGTTATTTTGAGTGTTCCAACTTCATTTCTACTTCCCCTGCTCTCAGACCACAGGACATGGCACACTACCCTCCCTCCTACATGCTTGAACGGGACCCTATTCAATCTACTGGTCCCACTTTCCCAAGCCCTGAGTACTGGTCTTTTCCTCCTATGAGACTTTACTGAGTTGCAAATAAGCCCTGATTTGACCTGGGGCTTTTCTTTTTTTCAATTTATCACGGTATCTCACAGCATACACTACTTTGACACAGTTGTCAATAAAAAAAGAAACAAATTATGGATGTTCTTATATTTTTAATAACAATTTCATTGCTTAAAAGGCCTGTGATGTAAGCTTATAGGCAAGCATTTTAGAAAGCATTGTCTGTATGATTGCAGTAGCTTCATGTAAACCATTGGAAATAATTTGAATATGTTAAGAAAAAAGGCTCTGATTTTGTTTTCATTTGTATCACAGTTGTAATTACATGCTTATTGATTTGAATAAATGTGCAGTGTACAATTTAAGGTAGCAAATATTGTGCGTCATCTGTCATTTCACATTCAGACTGTTGTGGTTTATTGTTGTGGAAGCTGTTCCCGTTACTCGAGTTACTTTCCCGTTGCCCGGTCTCCTTCATGGCTCTGCGCAGCTGTGTCCAGAACAGCTTTTGGGCTTGTGCCGGGTCTGAGCAGTCTGCCCCTGGCCACTGCAGATAGGTCTTCTTCAGCATTACTTTCCTCATACGGTGGTAGGATGATATCTGCCGCTCTGAAATGGTCTCCAGAAAAACCAGAAGCAGAACGTCCCTGTGCTCATCAAAGAGGCGATAACTGGCCAGTTGGATTTCCAATGAGCACCACTCACTTCTCAGAAAGTTTTGGCTAACCACACAGATGGTTTTACGGCTGCTGTATACTGCAGACACAATGTTATCCACAATGTTGCGCCCGACCTCAAAGTCTCTGTGATGCAGACAGAGTTTGAATGAGGATCCATTTCCTTCCAGATTAGGAACTAACTGCTCCATGACCCATTGTTCATCAGAGAAATTGTATGAGATAAATGCATCAAAGGCACAGTTTTCTTCTTCGTCTCCTAGTCGCCGCCACTGCTCACTGAACCAGGCGCGAAACACAAAGAAGCTGTACTTAAATGTCCAGTAGAGCTTCATGTTAATTATCGGAATTGTCGTGAAAAGGAAAATGACAGCTGCAGTACTGAAAAAGAGGTATTGTCCTATATCTGCAAAGCACACCTTGGTATCAAAATTATAGAATCTATGTTTGCTACTTTCTTGACAGGGATAGTGCTGCAGGAATGCCACCTGAACGTTGGAATTATTCACAGTCCAGTTTTGCAGCTCTGAGTTTTCACAGGTGCAGCTCAGAGAAACGTTGCGTATGTCCATGTACTGCAGGTTTGAAAGGCTGTTGAGGGCATCCACATCAATAGTATGCAATATGTTACGGTTAAGTTGCAATGATTGCAGTTTTGTGAGGTTTCCAAAAACTTCTTTTGAGAAATTCTGAAGTCCCATGTTTTCCATCGAGAGTCTTGTTAGATTACTTAGATTTTTGAACACCTCTGAATGGAATTGAAAACCACCCACACAGCAATTGTCTAAATATAAATAGTCTAGCTCTGTCAGATCGTTAAAAGCGTCTGGCACCAGATGAGAGATATAATTGTTACCCAGGAACAAGGATTTTAAGGATCTGAGGCCCCGGAAGAATTGACGAGGTACAACAATGAGTCCATTAGGTTGTTGTCTGGATAAATCCAACACATTGAGCTGACTTAGTTTTAAAAACGGTGTGGTAACAGTTGTAGACCAAAATTTGATTCGATTGCTTTGAAGATGCAGTTCTTTGAGTTGATGAGAAAATGGATCATATGTTGAAGTATCAATTATGTTGAGACGGTTGTCATTTAAAATCAGAGTGGACAACTTTTTAAGTCCATAAAAACCTTGTTTTCTAATCTGAGTGATTTTGTTTCCCCCAAGGTCCAGTGTTTTCAGTTTTCCTAAATTCCAAAAAACCTTTTTGAAAATGACAGAAATTCTGTTTGAGTTTAAGTTGAGAGTTTCGAGGTTAACTTGATCTTGAAAAGTTGCATTAAACAAATCTGTTATTAGATTATTTTCCAGCCGCAGCTCTTTAAGTTTGACAAGACCCTTAAGGGCTTTGCTGCCAAACCAAGCAATTGAGTTGAAATTGAGATTAAGAGTCACCAAATGTGGTGTGTTATAGAAAGCATGATTACTAACTCTCAGAATGTGGTTGTAACAATAGCTCAGGTAATTGAGATGTTTAAATTCAACTTCTTTTTCGCACGGCTCAAGTCCTTGCAGAAGATTATGCTCCACTTTGAGACATTCAATCTCTTTGGTGTATGTGAGAAATGACAGACAGTTCATTCTCTTCAAATGGTTTACTGATAAGTCCAAATGTCCAATGTGCTGAGGACAATACTGAAGGGATGTGTTCGACAGTGAGCGGATCTGGTTGGAAATCAACTTCAGATTTGTAATATTATCTGCTTTTCTACCTAGGATTTTGCAAAACTCTTCCAGAACACTGTCATTTTCCAGACCAGTGCCAGAGAAATCAACAGAACTAACCATTATGTTACTACTGTTTAAAAAATCTATTATGTTGACATTTGTTGATTGCAAACGCACATTTTTCAAGTTTGTTAAATCCACTTGTTGAAAAGCCTCTGTTGAGAGTGGATTAAAAGACAAATCAAGATCTTTTAAATTGGTGAGAAATGAGTGATTGCACCCCAACGAAGACAAATTGTTATTGTGTACAAACAGTTTTGAGAGTGATAAGGGCAGTGAGGAATTAGCATGTCTGAGAGAGCTCAACATGTTACGAGAAGCATTCAGGCTTCTCAGATTATGGAGGTGTGAAACAGCAGAAGCAATTTGTGAAAAGTCAACTAGATTATTATCCTCCAGCTGCAGAGTTATCAGCTTTAATACTCTGAAAAATATCTGATTCGGAAGGACTTTTATCTTGTTGTTTCCTAAAGCCAGAAATGTGAGGCTCTCGAGATCTTTGAATAAATTCGGTTCCAGATGTGATATGTTGTTTGAACTCAAATTCAACAGATTCAGTCGATGCAGGTTCTGAAAGGCAAATTGTCCGAGGGTCGATATGTTATTTTGGTCCAACCGGAGCTGCCTCAGGTTTGGCAAATGTGAAAAGCTCTTGTCTGGGATGAGTTGGATGTTGTTAAAAGAGATCGTGAGGTTTATGGACGACTGCGGCAGGTCACCCACAATCGCAGATATAGTCTCCTCGCTCACACGTCGGAAACAAGTGAATGTTTTCCCATCGTGTTCTTTTATGCAATTCCTAAAGCTGTAGCCGGTGACAAGATGACACATGTGTAGCATAGCCGTTACTACCAGCACCTGGCTCAGGCTTGCCATAACTCTCTTCCAACTGTGCAGCTGAAATGTAAAAAAATATATATATAACCACAAGGCAAAAACAACAAACATAAGAAATACCAGCTTTACGTTTTGATAAATTCAGGTTAGTCTAATTACGATCATTTATCTGAACCTGTGCAGTGTGTGGAAAGTTCTTACCTTGAAAATGGCAGGTTCCAGCTATAATAAGGACTAGTTTCCAATAACGTGAGTTTTGCTCTGTCTTACTTCCTCATGATATAGTTTCAGATCACTTTTATCCTCACATGATATCACTGAATCATGTCAATTTCAATTCAAAGGAAAATATCAAAGGTAAAAATGTATTAAAAATATATTTAGAGACACACCATTTATTCCGACAGTTTCAGTAAAAATAAGGAAAATAATAATAAAGGGGAAAAAAACACACTACAAATACAGTTCTCTCTCACTTTATATATTTGTATTATTTATTTGAGCATTTGTTAAAACACAAAGACATTCAACTCACAGTGTGGGTCAATGATACATTTACTGTTATGGAGAACAATGAGGCTCAAAAGGAGTTTAAAATGAATCCTTCCTCTCATTAATTATCTAATGTATCTTTACATGATATTTCAACATAATATAATGTTACAATATAAAGTAATTATCAATACAAACACTAAAGTCGATCAGAAGTTTCTATACAAAATAATTCAATTCAGTAATGTAAATTAACTGAGTGTCAGTAAGTCAGCTGCTCAACCATGTCTGCATCTGTAACAAAACAATTTACTGTGACTCTTTCAAATATGAATATGAATATGAATATGAATATCTAGGTGCAGCCAGGGGCCGGAGGGGATCCGGTTCGGAGACCACAGGATTTCATCTCTGCTGTTTGCGGACGATGTTGTCCTGTTGGCTCCAACGAACCAGGACCTGCAGCATGCACTGGGGCGGTTTGCAGCCGAGTGTGAAGCGGCTGGGATGAGAATCAGCACCTCCAAATCCGAGGCCATGGTGCTCGACCGGAAAAAGGTGCCTTGCCCTCTGCAGGTGGGTGGAGAGGTCCTTCCTCAAGTGGAGGAGTTCAAGTATCTCGGGGTCTTGTTCACGAGTGAGGGAAGAATGGAGCGTGAGATTGACAAGCGGATCAGTGCAGCGTGCGCAGTGATGCGGTCGCTGTATCGGACCGTTGTGGTAAAGAGGGAGCTGAGCCGAAAGGCAAAGCTCTCGATTTACCGGTCAATCTTCGTTCCCTCCCTCACCTATGGTCATGAGCTTTGGGTAGTGACCGAAAGAACGAGATCGCGGATACAAGCGGTCGAAATGAGCTTCCTCCGCAGAGTGGCTGCAGCGCTCCCTTAGAGATAGGGTGAGGAGCTCGGTCACACGGGAGGAGCTCGGAGTAGAGCCGCTGCTTCTCCACGTCGAGAGGAACCAGTTGAGGTGGCTCGGGCATCTGTTCCGGATGCCTCCTGGACGCCTCCCTGGGGAGGTGTTCCGGGCACGTCCCACCGGGAGGAGGCCCCGCGGAAGACCCAGGACACGCTGGAGGGACTATGTCTCTCGGCTGGCCTGGGAACGCCTTGGGGTCCCCCCGGATGAGCTGGAGGAAGTGTGTGTGGATAGGGAAGTCTGGGCGTCTCTGCTTAGACTGCTGCCCCCGCGACCCGGCAACGGATAAAGCGGAAGAAAATGGATGGATGGATGGATCTTTCAAATATTATAGATTTCTTCCTTGAATTTCTTTTTTAAATGAGTTACATTTTTTTGTAGACGCCCTCCCTGTAATTGTCTGGATAATAATGTATTAGCCTATGTCACAAGATCGTCCAAATTGAGGATATTTGAGTGGAAATACATCTTGTATTGAAATAAACATTGTTTATGATTATGTACGCTCTTCCAGCTTTAGTGTCCTCTCGTCTTCTGTTCTCGTGCCATCTGACATAATCCACAAAGTGGGCAGCAGGCCATGACCATCCAGTCGTCACACACCGAGCCCTGTGTGGAAACACATTAACACAATACGCACAGTATTCCTCAAATAGTGATGGAACAATGAGCAGCAACTACTAACTATATTCAGAGGTGGAAAAGGGTAAAAGTCTTAAAAGTACAGATAATTTGAACTACTTTTAATGTATAAAGCTACTTACTATTTAAACAAAGAGTACTTACTTACTTTTAACTTTTAAAAGGTAAATCTCTAACTTTGTCTTTTTAAAAAAACAACAGTTTTTTACAAGACAATGGTTCACTGTCTGAGGTATTGACATTTCTATGCCGTGCCATCTGCTGCCAAAGTTTTTAAAGTAAGTCAGTTTTAAGAAAGAAAACACGCACGTTCCAATCCTTTGTGCAGCGTGCCAGACCAAGAAAGAATACCGTAAAGCGTATGGTAAAATCATGTCTGATAAAGGGCTGGACGCCCAAAACATCTCCTTGGTGTGAACCACAATAATTATTTGGGAGATAAAAGCTGTGCGAAAGCCATCTTTATGTTTTGAAGTTATTCCCTCATTTTTGAAAGTTAAAAGTAGAGATATTTTTAATAGTCGAATATACAGTAAATGTGTAGTTCTATTTCATCTTGTGACCACCAAGCATCGCCTCCAATGGTCATCCGACAAAATTCACAGAACTGTCATTACACAGTGTAACCTTTACTAGCCTACTTGCCATCTCTGTAAGTAAGACAATGAATTGCATTTGCAGTATTGTACTAAACTTACACTAATGTGATATCTGCTGCGTATGCTTGTCCTCAGAGCAATCATAGCACCGGGGAGGAAGGGGATGCAGCAGCTGTCCCCGTTGTCCTGGGCCACTCTACAGCCCAGAATGCAGGGGATAAAGGTGGCACATAGACCTGCAGGAGAACAAGGCGTCACATTACAAGAGTTCAGAGAGGAGAGAGCCTTCAGAAGAGTCCGTACAGATGCCGCAGTCTTCAAAGCAGTCACACATATTGGAGTTCCATTCAGAGGAGCCAGAGGAGACTGTGTACTGCGACACTGTGACCTGAGGCTGCGTGATGATCACATTTGGCTGGTATGACATAACTGCAATGAGAAATACCACCAGGAACCTGGAAAAGAAAATCACAAATTAAGTTGTCCTACAAAAATCATAAGAATTTTAGCCAACGTACTTCAGAAATGTCACCCTGCTGCTATCGAACTCCTGTCCAGTGCAGAGACGTTGTCCATAGCTCTTATACCCAGCGTGACATCACCTAAAGTTGAGTTTCTATGAGGACAATGAATAACCAAACCATTCAAAATACAAAACAAGAGTGTTTGATGAAGGGGTGTATATATCTACTCTCTTCATTGGAGATATTTTTCCATTAGCACTGCTTGGTCAACAAAGCCCTTATATATTTGTCTTTATGTGGCTAAAGTGCAGGTGTGCTATGTGTACCTACGGTGGGAACAGTGCCTTTCATCAGGGATTCTAGTGCTTAAAAGTATCTTTCTTCTTGCTCTGAAATTGCAATACACAATGATAAAAAGGCCGCTGTTTTGCAACGACTAGGTCAATGAGTCATCACGTCCTTCTGTTGGTTCTGTCAAATGAAGAAGTTTTAAAATGCAGCATTGGTCTTTTATTGTTTTGCTTTTAAACCCACTGGTTTTTTGTTGACAAAGATAAATAAGAGTCCCTGAATATTCTCACCATTATATAATGCATGCACAATATTTTATACTTTTAGTTTATTCATGGTACTTTAGAATTTTTTATTTTTTATTTGATCATGCATTTTTGGTTGCATCACTGCACACGCTGCACCTGTCAATCACGTTTGTTTATCTCAATCTCCATCTTCCCTCATTGTGAACAAGATTCTGAGATACTTGAGCTCGTCCGCATGAGGAAGGACCTTTGCACGTGGAGAGGGCAAGGCACATTTTAAGCAAATAAAGTATTAGTGCTCTGCTTGGATCATTTGACACAGTCGATTACAGCATACACATTTCTAGATATTCAGTATTTGATTACGAAGTATTCTCGCCAGCACTGAATATAGTGCGCACAAATGTCATTTGACTTCACTCTCGGCTAAATGTACTTTAATTAAAACTAATCGACCTCAGTACAGGATGTTCTTATTATAAATGGAATCTTTTATTATCTTACATAATTCCTGTTTGTTTCGCATATATCTGCATGTCAGTGCTGCTCAATGTATCTATTCTCTAGTGCTGGTTTCCTGTTAAAGTGAGGACAAAGTGAGTATGTGTTGGATTATATTCTATGTAATAAGAAGACAATCATTACATTCTAACATAAATTCTACCTTTTTTTGTTCGTATACAAAAAAAAAGAAAAACTTTTTCCTCTTACACTCATCCCTTCCTATGGCTGTGTTGGTAACTGTCTTAAGGATTCAGTTCCTGAAATTGCAACTTCTTCTTTCTGAACCCCTCTCTTGGACAAGTCAGACAAATATAGTGAACGAAAGGGGATTTTCAACTAGTTTGTTCAAGAACAAACTTTTGTCTCATACAGGTGTTCTTGTGATTACAGAAGTCATGGACCAGATAACACCAACTCCAGACGACTATTGGGTGAGGTATTTTTAAATAAATTCTGATCAAAATTAATATAGTCTGTCATGTTAAAACTGTCTTAATGATGGATTATGAAATCAGTTCATAGTGGTTTAATTAAAGCACATGTACAATAACATATCATTAGTTCATTCTGTTTTATCTTTCTTCCTGCAGCCTGAGGACTATAGTAACTATACGGATGTGAACATAGACCACAGTGCTGCTCCCTGCAGTCAGGCTGGTGCGTTTGGCTTTGCCCAGAAGTTCTCCCCGATCATTTACAGCCTGGTGTTTGTCTTGGCACTGTTTGGGAACATACTGGTGCTCTGTGTCATCCGCCGCTACAGAAGCTCTCAGAGTGGAGGGGCCTGTGCCTTCTCCCTTACCGACACGTTCCTGCTTCACCTGGCCATTTCTGACCTCCTGTTGGCCTTCACTTTACCCTTATTTGCGATGCAGTGGGCTCATGAGTGGGTGTTTGGACTGGCTGTTTGTAAGATCTCTGGAGCCTTGTTCTCACTCAATCGTTACAGTGGTATCTTGTTTCTCGCCTGCATTAGTTTTGACAGATACCTGGCAATTGTTCATGCCATCAGCTCAGGCTGGAAACGCAACACATGCCATGCTCAAATCGCCTGTGCTTTTATTTGGGTAATTTGCCTGGGCCTTAGTGCTGTGGACATCATTTATAAACAGGTTGTGCCATTGGATAGCGGAGCAAACAAAATTTTCGTTTGTCAAGTGTGGTTCACAGAGAAGTCGACACAATGGCAGATTGGTATGCAGCTGGTCAGTGTGATCTTAGGCTTTGGAGTCCCTCTGTCAATAATGCTCTACTGCTACATCTGGATCTTCAAGTCTCTGTGCAATGCCACGCGCAGACAGAAACGCAAGTCTCTGCGCCTAATTGTGTCCTTGGTGTCTGTTTTTGTCATCTGCTGGGCTCCGTACAGCTGCTTCCAGCTGACTGACAGCCTCCTGAGGCTGAAGCTGCTCACTCCAAGCTGTAGCCTGCAACATATACTGGATGTTGGGACTCTGGTCACAGAGAGTGTGGGACTATCACACTGTGCTCTTAACCCTCTGCTCTATGGCTTTGTAGGTGTGAAGTTCAGAAGGGAGCTGGTCCGCATGTGCAAAGGTTTACTCATTGAGCAAGGCTGGTTTGGGATGGAAAAATCATGGAGACCCAGACAACAGCGAAGAACCACAGGATCCTTCAGCTCTGCAGATAGTGAGAATACTTCTTATTCTGTGATGGTGTAAGTAGGATTCTTTAGGTTTAGAGTCTCAATATGAAAGTGTGTGAAGAACTACCTTTTATGTAAAGCTCACCATGTTATACTGTGATTTGTGATTGTGTTTTGTTGAATGCTGGGTGGAGTGTAAAAACAAAGGTTCTCATGGTTTTTACTAGCGCTTATGCAACTTTACTTTTGAATCATCAAAAATGCTTGTATGCCATATGTTGTGAAACTTCTTCATTTCATTTCTAGAAGGCTTGTTCAGCAGTTACAAGTTGCAGCTTTAGCTACCATTGCAACATTGTATTTTTTTATGTATTCATAATCAAAAGTTCTCATAACAGCATTTTTGAATTGTCAAACGTTTTTTGTTCTTTGTTTTTTTTTATATTGACACTTGTAAATAGGTCCATGAGTTTCCAAAAACATAAATAAAACACTGATTTGTGTATCCTATCCAACTATATTTCGATGTGACAGACAGCACGGGTAACAAGAATATATAATTCATTGTACTTTATTTGTCATCCTCTGCAGGTGGTTATCCCATATATATATTGTTCCTGTTAACTTATTCCCTCTCCGAGCTCTATTGTTCTACCTAGTGACGTATGTATGTTCTTGACCGCTGTTCTGGGTCAGTTTGTTGTCCTGTTTCCACCACCTCTACGTGGCCGTACTTTACTCTACTGTAGTTGTGTTTCCAATCCACTTTAGCATATGCTACCGTATCCTAAAATGTTCTAAAAATGTTACGATGAAATTACTCAAAATCGGGGTAGAGAAGAGCCGAGCACAGTAGATTGGGACAAAGTAGGGCTGGTGGAAATGGGGCTACAGATTGTATGGCACAATCAATGGCGTCCTTAATGCAACCACAAAATACATCCAAGAGGCCAAGAAGAGTGCTACTAAAACAAGATGACCAGATGTGAGAATAAAGTACACTCGGTTTTTATTATCATTTCAACTTGATGGTACTTTGGTGTGACAAGTTTGAGGTGATCCAATGATCTACAACTGTCAACGGTGTGTGCCAAAAGAGCCGAGCCACTGTAAGCGGGGAAGGCATGGTTTGTGCATGGATCTACACAGGTGTATGGTTGAACATGTCAACAGCGACATCATGTGGCGTGTTCGTGAACTGCATTTGGGTTTTACTGCCTCTGCTTTATGTCACTACTGAAATTGCAAGAAAAATTGAGGGATGGAGGAAATTAGAGCAACACAACCTATTTTTCGTGTCAGGGGACGTAGGTTGTTACCAGGATAAAGAAACAATAATTAAAGCAGATGTTCTCTATATCCTGCACATTGCAGCCGTTCTGCATACGTCGAACAAGAGACGAAGAACCGGAAATCAAACTGGTTTTCCTTCAAAACAAAATAGGTTTTGGAAATTAGTGATTGTTCAGCTTGTTATGGGCATGAACATACGGGTTCTATTCACGTCTGATGGTCTGTTGAGATGCTTATATATTCAACTCAAGTAAATAAACCAACCACAGTCGTAAAAAAATGGACTAAATGAAAGAGAGGACTTTATTCTGAAGTCTTATCCGTCAGGCAGAGTGCTCTTGTCACGTCTTGTTTACGTAAAATGTGGCGAGCGTACTGAAAACAAAACCGCGTTCATAAATAGACATTATTATTCACAGTGTATGGAATAAACCCAACGCGTGGTAAGTAATCTATCCTGAAATATTACACAAGACATGCCATAATCCTGACCCATGTTGCATACGGCTGCGTTTTCTTTGACACACGCTTTGTCTATACATTAGTAAACAATTCATTTAATCGCAACCCTAATCGCACACGTGATATACTGAATGAAGACTTATACGGTTCTCCTAATAAGGCAATGACTGAAAATAAGCTAAATGTTTGATTACCTGGCTTGCGTACCTTACACTTGTCTAATTAGCAGAACCTTCAAAGCTTTAAACATAAATGAGCTTTTTTCATTTATTTGCATTTATTTATATTGAATACACGTTTAGTTTCGATTGACGAGCGTGCGACAGCTGCGACGTCTCCCTCCAAAAGCAGAGACGTCCTTTATGAACCATATGTAAACCCTCCGCCCTTGGATTTCTGTTTACCTTGTTTACAGTCAATACGAAAGCGCAACTAAAAACACGCACTGCCTGTCTGATTGGTCTGAAAAGAAAGGATTGCATTAATGTGTTTTTTGCTTTCACTAGTATGAACTTATTCGAGTATTTATCATTTCCAACTTGCCATTAACTCACGAATATCATCTGACATACTTCCTGTTTCTGTACGTTATGATAATGGAGAGTTTAGAGCCCAATGCTGGACTTTCCAAGACACACACTATTCTACTGTGTTGCTTCATCCCCAGACACGGTGACCTCACTGCAGCATGTGATTGTGGATGGGAAGGGTTTGCGGTTTGCTTGGACAAAAAGAGGAGAATTCTGTAGGCTGTGTATTTATCCCACTTGTCTCTTGTCTTGACAGAAGATGGACCTGGATGTGGAACTTGGGGGCATATTTCTCAGCAATGGCAGCTATGATTATGACACCGACTACACGTATGAAGAAGATCCAGAGCCCAGAGGAGCAGCAGCTGTGCTTATCCCCATGGTGGTGTCCATAGTGCTGCTTGTGGGGGTCCCGGGACATGCCTTCATTATGGTGTTACTGGCCCTGAAGAGACGAAGCTGGAGCACCTCAGATATCTTTATTCTGCACCTGGGTCTGACAGATGTCCTTCTTCTTCTCACGCTGCCTTTCTGGGCTACTCAGGCTGCTCTTCCTCTGGGATGGTGCTGTGGGCTGTTCTGGTGCAGGATCAACGGAGCTTTGTTTAATGTAAGTATCGCACGGGCAAAAAGGAAATGAATTTATCTCTCAGGGTGTTGTTTAGTTAAGTGGGTCTGTGCTTTTCGTTGACATTAAAAAATTATATAAAAAGTACAATTATATCATTAGACAAAAGGTAGGGTTATGGTTGCCCTGAAATTTACACGAGACAGATGACAGTTATCAATCACATAAAGAAATAAGTAGTCTGGTAGTAATTCTGCTTTCGGTGCTTAATTAAATACAATCAATTCTGTGTTTGTATCTCCCCAAATCACAACAGCAGTCGTCTCAAATGGCTTCACAAAAGTCTTGTTGCCAACAGCTGATTATAAACCAAACTGAACCCTCTTGATTAATTTAGTGAAAGAAATGTAGTTGTAGATTTAGTCATGATTGTTCCTCAGAAAAATGTTATGAGTGTGTAATTAATTTACATATTTAAAGGGAAATGATATACAAGCTTCTTGAATGTTGAACTGTGCTTCCCATAGCTAATTTAAACCTGTTTTTGCTACCTAAGAGAGTTCACATAATTTCAGTTTCACAAACATGTAATAACAGGTCAAATCAAGTAAACAAATGTATAAAAAATGTGTAAGAGGCGTGTGAGTGTGGGTGATCCTTTCATTCACACGAGAGAGAGCGAAGCAAGTTAAAAGGATTTCTTAGATTTTTGTGTATTTACGGTACATTGATTTTTGTCCTGACTCCAGCTTGACCCCTGTTGCCTCATGAAACGCTTCCTGGAAGTAAAAGTGTGAGAAATGTAGAAACGAAAGCACAGCCAGTGTGTTCTAAAGTTGTGGTTTTTCCCCCCTGTAGATCAGCTTCTACTGTGGAATGCTCCTGCTGTTGTTCATCGCCGGGGAACGATATCTGAGCATTGTCCGTTCGGTTCGACTCTTCACCCAAAAGACACCACGTCTGGCCCACATCACATGCCTGCTCATCTGGATACTTTCTGTTCTTCTGAGTATCCCAGACTGGGTTTCAATGGTATATTTAGAGGGAAAGACGATAGAGGATAAAGATATTTGCTCCTGCTTTGCAAATATGTACACACCAAAGTGGCAAACACCGTCTAGAATCCTGCACCATGTGACTTTCCTGCTTCCAGTTGTCATCCTGGCCGTCATCTTCTACTTCATCTTAAAGCAGCTACAGGACGCAGAAACGCACGCTGGGCTACGGCCTGTCATGCTCATTCTAACTCTTGTTCTAGTTTTCCTTCTCTGCTGGACCCCGTATAACGTCACGCTCATCGTGGACACTTGGAAAAGCCGGCGGTCGAAAAAGTTTGTGCGCGCAGATGCGGCTCTCTTGGCGACTCTAGCTCTAGCCTGCGTCCACGCCTGCCTCAGACCCCTCATTTACTTTGGTCTTTGTGAAAAATTCCAGGAAAGGACTTTGGCGGCTGTCAAGTGCAGGGGTGAGGAGTTGAAGGGGGATTTGTGGGAGCTGGGAGTGGGGAGCGAAGATGTGCCAGAGCAGTGCAGCAATCCAGAAGAAATGAAGCAAATGAATAACGTGGAGCAGTCGCAGACAGAGCAATGCTAGTGAACGGGAAACCAGATATAAGGCTATTGGACAACACCGACCTCAAAAGGAAGCGAGAGGGAAGTCAAAACCATAAGGTGAAGGGTTTCAGCACAGTAATAGTGACTAATATTTATCTAAATTTATCTCACTTTGCACTTTACCTGGGGATGTTTACACAATACAGCAACAACACAATATAGTGACAACAGCATTCAGTTTGAGTCAGAATGCATTACATTTCTGTATAGACCGGAAAATGATGTGAAACCAGTATCTACATCTTGTTAGTATTATTATGACTCAATGTAGACAGCTGGTTTTATAGTTTTGTTTGTATTGTTGCTATATGAGATTTCAGGATCACATATTTAGCATTGAAATTAAGTTACGACGTTCTCTCATTATTAGCTTGTATTTAGATTGATTATAACATTTTGGAGTAGTATTATTTTCTTTTGCAGTGACACATGACACTTATTATTTTCAGATTTTCCTGCCCTCTGCAACACACCATTGTTTCTAATATTACAATATTACTTCTTGGGTCAAATTTCAATCTATAATTGTTAAGAATTTGTTAAGGTATAAATGTATCACTTATGTTTCAACACAGGAGTAAAATGCACTGGGAATTTCCCCTCGAGCAAATCCTGGTTTCATTCTGAGGGTCTGACTTTCAGAAAGTGATGTCATGATCATCAGACCATGAACAAACCTGGGGGACTCATGGCAGCTTATTCATCCTGCTGCAATGATTCTCTCGAAAATAAAGGGCTTTGCTGTGTATTCAAATGATAAACGCAGTCTGTGGTGACAAAGAAACATGCACAATTCAAGAAATAATCACTGTTTTACAAGTCACTATGTGGGCATTTATGTAAATGTTTGTGAATGGTACTTTTCTAAATAAAAATTGACAAGTTTTACAATTATGATTTTTTTTGTCAAAGAACAAATTGTTATAATTGAATCGAGCAAGCTTAACACTAGAACTCCCAGATTTAAGAAACCACTAGAACTCCCAAAGTCGTCATTTTGACTGCCTCATTCAAACTTAGAAACTCCCCAAAAAATTCATTTCGTTTTCAAGGTTTTTATTTTTACTATTTACTTACTAAATACAGCAAAAACAGTTTGGCAAAAAGTGAAAAAAGGTTAAGTGCTATTGTAACTATTTTCTAGAGAAATTTCAAAAGTAAAAGAAGATGATAAAAAAAGAAATGACATCGAAATCAACTACATACAGATACAGAAAAAGACACAAAGTTTTAAACCACAAATGCACTGAAAAGATACGCTTTGGAGATCTTGAGTTAAAAACTGCACAAAAAATCAAACACAAAAGACCTACATCCTGTCTGACGCAAGAGCAGGTCTGTCCAAACAGTTTTCACTTTTTTTCAGGGACGTACACTGAAACTAGTGAAACACACAGACACAGAAACAGACAGAATCGCTGAGGCTACTGCACTTGTGGATCTGGGTTTGTAACACTCATTTCAGGGGCGTGCTGTTCCCAGATGTGTCTCATTGTTGTACTTGTTACAGTAGTAGAGTATTTTAAAATGGCAGTACGAAGAGCTTATAAATGTGTTAAGAAATAATTCACTGAAGCGGGGCTCGGGGCCAAGAATGTGGTCTGGGGGCGTTGTCTGGTCTTGCCTCATCACTACAGAGACACAAACTAATGATTCCAACCCCTTATTACTTTTACTATGAACCACTCCTGAGAATGACACCAACTAACTTTCAAGTGATTACGTAATACGTTTGTAGAGTTTTCGTAACTTTAATCTGCTACTGTAGGGTTAGATAAAAAACAGTATATATATGTTTACAATTCAGTGCTATATGGTCAATAGTTTTACTTGTTATTTACTGGATGACTAGATGTACAAAGGGGAAAGAAGATTCACATTTTCTTTAAAGTGTTTGAAAGGAGTTGGGCTCCAACCACTCGGCTGATGTGGGCGCAAATGGTTTCGAAAGACAAGACAGATGTGTTTTTCAAAACCACAAGAACAGTTCCTTTGCAGCAAAAGTGTAACTTCTCATGGTAATCAGTTACTAACTTTTATTAAAAATAATAATAATATTTACAAAAGTCCCATCTCAGTAAAACAATAAAAAGCCATCAAATATATTGCACATTAACTTGGCTTTAGATTTTCAGATAAAGACCTTGTAAACTGGATAAAATTAGATTATTTTGTTGGGAAGACTCCAGTCCAGATCTACAAAGTTCCAGGAGGAAGTAATATCAATGTGCCTGTTTAAACAAGTTTAGGTGGAGACCCAAATCACCCCCACATACAGTGCATTGCGAAAGTATTCGGCCCCTTGAACCTTTCAACATTTCGCCATATTTCAGGCTTCAAACATAAAGATATAAAATTTTAATTTTTTGTCATGAATCAGCAACAAGTGGGACACAATCGTGAAGTGGAACGAAATTTGTTGGATAATTTAAACTTTTTTAACAAATAAAAAACTGAAAAGTGGGGCGTGCAATATTATTCGGCCCCTTCACTTTCAGTGCAGCAAACTCAGTCCAGAAGTTCAGTGAGGATCTTTGAATGATCCAATGTTGTCCTAAATGACTGATGATGATAAATAGAATGAACCTGTGTGTAATCAAGTCTCCGTATAAATGCACCTGCTCTTTGATAGTCTCAGGGTTCTGTTTAAAGCGCAGAGAGAACCATGAAGACAAAGGAACACACCAGGCAGGTCCGAGATACTGTTGTGGAGAAGTTTAAAGCCGGATTTGGATACAAAAAGATTTCCCAAGCTTTAAACATCACAAAGAGCACTGTGCAAGCAATTATATTGAAATAGAAGGAGTATCAGACCACTGCAAATCTAGCAAGACCCGGCCGTCCCTCCAAACTTTCATCTCAAACAAGGAGAAGACTGATCAGCGATGCAGACAAGAGGCCCATGATCACTCTGGATGAACTGCAGATAACTACAGCTGAGGTGGGGATGGTGTGTTCAGGGTGATGAGCTGTGTTGCTTTTACGCCAAACATATCGTTTTGCATTGTGGTCAAAAAGTTCGATTTTGGTTTCGTCTGACCAGATCACCTTCTTCCACATGTTTGGTGTGTCTCCCAGGTGGCTTGTGGCAAACTTTAAGAGACTTTTTATGGATATCTTTGAGAAATGGCTTTCTTCTTGCCACTCTTCCATAAAGGCCAGATTTGTGCAGTGCACGACTGATTGTTGTCCTATGGACAGACTCTCCCACCTCAGCTGTAGTTATCTGCAGTTCATCCAGAGTGACTGCCCAAAGTGCTTCATAGAAAGAAAATAATAGAATTAGATGCACTCAAAAACATGTAAAAACAGTATAAAACTAATTTGATGTTAAAAGCAAAGGCAAACAAATATGTCTTTCAACAAGATTTTAAAACCTCGAATCAAGGAGCTGCTCTAATGTACAGAGGTAAACTATTCCACAGTTTGGGAGCAGCAAAGGTTTCCTCGAGTTTTGAGACTAGACTTTTGCACATTTAACAAACGCTCTGACAGAAACAAACACAGCTATCAACATACGTAAACAATACATGTTGGTTATCTGTTAGTTATCTTTATTTATATACCGCCTTTTCACTGCACATCGGAGTCTCAAAGCGGTTTACAAATGTTATTTTTGGGAGTGGGGGTGCCAGTACAGGAGGCACATGCCATACCTATTGTACATATTTTTAGTGGTAGGGGAAACCAGAGCACCCGGAGGAAACCTACGCAGACACGGGGAGAACATGCAAACTCCACTCAGAAAGGCCCTGGTCCAACCGGGATTCAAACCCAGGACCTTCTTGCTGAGAGGCGAGAGTGCTATCCACTCAGCCACCGTGCCACCCATGTGAAAGAAAGACTGATGCTGGTTAGGGAACGTGAATCATCAAACCTGAAGTCGATTTGGATCAATAATAATGTGTATAGTTAATACAGTATAAAATAATGTATGGCTTAAGGGGCCCCCAGAGACCCATAAATTGCAACATTTCAGACATAACACCTTTGACCACTCAGACTGCAATGGAGTTGGACGTGTCTCTGGACTCGGACCACATAGAGCTCTTGCGACTACTGGTTGTGGACGGGAAGCGGCCTCTGGTCTTGACGTTGATGCCCATGGTGCGGAGAATGTCCAGGAGCTGTCGTCGAAACTTCACTCCCACAAAGGCGTACAGGATGGGATTGAGGCTGCAGTGGAAGTAGCCCAGGGATGACGTGATGATTAGGGCTCGCTCCATTCTACTCCGCCCATCACAGGTGTGGTTGCTGTCAGATGTGAGGGTGTCCACCATTAGAGTGATGTTGTAAGGGGTCCAGCAGAGGAAGAACGCAGCCACGACCACCACGATTACCCTGGACGCACGCTGCTTTTGAAGGCCGTTTGAGCCGCAGCGGAGCCGGTGGAGAATGCAGGAGTAGCAGAAGATGAGCACAGCAGAGGGCAAGAGGAAGCCGACCACGTGATAAATCAGATTGATCACCAGGGGTCCGACTCTGGACGCCAGCGGGCCAAACATGAGGTAGTTGTGGACGCATAAGGTTATGTTTCGTCTGTCGTCCCACTGCGCTTTGCTGAACATCCAGTCTGGGGTAGACAGGAGCAAGGAGGCGGCCCACACTACCAGGCAGCTCCCCTGGATAACAGAGGGCTTCCTCCGAGAATACATCTGCGTGGCGTGGACAATGGATAAGTACCGGTCCAGGCTGATGCAGGCCAACAGGAAGATCCCGCAGTAGAAGTTGATCTGTTGGAAATAAAACAGATGTATGAGGATTACAGGAATAGAATTGCAACAACACATTACACAAGAAACACATTTTTGACAATTTAAACATACTTTAAAAATAAAAATATAAAAATAAAAATATACAATACATATTTTGATCCGTAAACTCCTGATATTATTAGATAAGCTGTGGCCATTGTTTAGTTCGTCACTTCCAATAAATGATGCAATGTGTCATTTGCATAATTTTGATCTATATATATATAAGCCTATACTGTAGATGTTCTAATACGTAACTTGGCCTGTGTGAACAGAGGAGGAAAGTACATTGGGATTTTCCCCTGAAAAAACTTTTTGAGGGTCTGCAAGTGATGTCAATGACCTGACCATGAGCAAACCAGGGAGAATCATCACAACTTATCAAATAAATTCTTGGTAGACTAAATTCGATTTGATTTATCGAACATATGCCCAGTGTTCCAGTATTGTGTATGAATGTGTTGAATATAAGAGCACCTTTTTGAATGTCATAATAACCAAATAAACTTTGTAATTGTAGAACACTAAGGTAGTATCTTATGTTTATTATTATGTATGTTTATTACAAGGTTCACCCTTAGAGGGCACTGTATGTTAAGAGCCTCGTGTTTTTGAACCGCATAGATAGGGACTTTATATACCCTATACATCCATGTTCATATTTGAAGGCTATGATGCAACAATTAATTTTTTTTTATTTATTTGAATTACCTATGTTAGCCTTAACATTTATTTTTTTACATGTCCCTTTCGGGGGTAGCGTTGTTGGGAACAAAACAATAGTATAAATTGTCTTGGGTTAGGGTTGATTTCATCAATGCTATCTGCTCACCGTGAACACAGCCTCTGTAAGTTTGCACAGGGGGGTCCCAAAGGTCCAGCCGCTCACAGCCTCAGAAGCCCACAGAGGCAGCGTGAACAGCAGCAGCACGTCAGCCACGCACAGGTGCAGGATGAAGATGTCGGTCACACTCCAGCCCCTTCTGCTGCGGAACAAGACCCCCAGCAGAGCCCCGTTCCCCAGGATCCCCACCACAAACACCAGCGAGTACAACAGCGGGATGAACGTGGCCTTGAAGCGCATGCGTTCGTCCTGATCACACACGTCTTCTCCCAAATCATCTGTGTCGTTGGAGAATATAGAATCCCAATCATCCCCAACATCCTCTGAAGATATTATCGTCTTCTCCCTTCAGAATACAATAATTAGGATAATTTGATTAGCTCCGGGGGGAATATTGTTTAATATATATTAATATAAGTATTTAATTTTGAACAGGTATAATTTAATTTACTCTTCAAATGATGTGAACAATTAATCAATTATAGATGTAAAAGACTTCTTTTCACTTATAACGCTGCATAAAGATGATCTTTCTTTAAGATTTCAGTTCTGCATGTTATTGGTAGTCCAAAAAGAAGAAATGAAATATGTATACAGGAAGCAAACTTAAACTTTAGTATTAACTGATAAAAGTTAAGATGTTATGTTTAAACCACCACATCATACATAAGAGGATTACCGAAGCGTACAGAGCAAAGTGCAATACATTTACATAAGGTCAAATAAACACATTAAACATTTCTTACAATTCTACATACATTTTGAAGTTATAATCCCCCCAAACAGCTGTATGTTAGTATTAAAAGAATGATTGTCAAACCAGAGAAGTGTTTCCATTTTTCAGTAGATCAACGAGGAGCTTCAAAAGGTGTGTGTGAGGTCACGGTGTGTGCATGAAACTACACCCCCCATGTTGCCCGTCACTCACCAAAATGCGGATGCGTCTACTCAAACGCTATAAGTATCATTTGCCATTGCAATCTTTCAATGTTTTGTTTTCTAGTTTGGGACTTCCCCCCCAAATTTGAGAATTTCAAATTTGCTCCCGTTTACATAAAAAGTCTGATTAACACCACATTTGAATGGGTTATTTAACTTTGGGGTCTCGGTCAGCTGAATGTGAAAAACATGAAAATACAGCATCAGCACCCCTTACAAAGTGATCCAAAGTTGTAAGTTTTAAATTTTACAGTTTTTAAATTTTGCAGAAAAACATCGTTATGACATTCTGATCCAAAAGGTCACATGCAATATATGACTTATTTTTCACCGTAAGTAAGTACCAGTAAAGTAATAGTAAGCCCAGCGTCACAAATCGCTTTACAATCGTGGGTATGTGTCTCTCACTCCACACAGAGATGGAAACGGGGCCAGTACAGGAGGCAAATGCCAGATCTATTGTTCATGTTTTTAGAGGTAAGGGAAATCGGAGCACCCGGAGGAAACCATATATGCAGACCCGTGGAGAACATGCAAACTCCGCCCAGGAAGACCCCGTTCTGACGGTCATTGCTGTGTTAGCGTGGCAAAGACATTCACTCCCCATTCTGTCTCAATGGGGAAATCATAAAACATCTCAAATGTTCACCTCGCACTATCAACAAACCAGCCTCGACCGCTTCACAGATTTACCGATTCGTCTCAAAATTGGTCCACATCATCTCAACACATGCACTGGCCTCAAAAGTTAGCTACAGAATTATGTGCAAGCAGCAGAGCAGCACATTTGGACTTTTTCCTCAATTTTGACCACAGAGATTAAGTTGTGCTTTCAAATATCATTTGGACAGAGAAATGAATACATTTTAAATACTGGAGAGAACTTTCACCCGTCTCAGCTCAGTGGTAATTATAGATTAATTAATGAACTAAAATGTGGTTAAGACATGTATGACTTCACCTGAGAAAAAAACACAATCTTTCTTCTTCAAGTTGTAGATCCTTTAAAGCTATATTTTTGATTACCTTTCTTAAAAGCTACTCTAATGTGGGCGGCACGGTGGTCATGTATAGCACTTTCACTTCTCGCTTTTGCTTAGCACTTCGTTTACCACTTTTGCAACAAAGTCCTGTGTTCAGGAATCCAAGATGAAACAGGGCCTTTCTGAATGGAATTTGCATGTTCTCCCCGCGTCTGCGTGGGTTACCTCTGGATGCTGAGCTCTGAGCAGCTCTATAAAATAAAAAAATACTTACTAATTTATTAAAAAACGTTAACCCAACACATAATTAGAAGTTAGATAGTTAAATATAAATAACAATGATTTTAATGGCCTTTAATGTTTCTATCTTGTTTTGTTTCACACTTTGAGTTTCCTTGTGTATGAACTGTGCTGTACGAAACAGATCTTGCCTTTCCACAAATCATTGACCAGTCTTCACTTCCATCTCTTCTTTTTTTGGTCCAGTTTTGGTTTTATCCAAACAGGACCTGAACTTATTTTGTTCAAAAATATCTACTTGAAAATACCCAAAGTAACAGGAAATAAAAGTAAACTTGTTTGTATCAACAAACCAGCTCTTGTTTTTTATTCGACCCCTGACAAATATTAGTTTGACGCTACTGCTCTATCCTATGATTTCAATTTTGTTAATATTATGTAAATTAAATCATCTATCCTTTTTATTATGTTTCATAAATTGCCACGTTTATTTGTTTCTACAGAACTTTCAGAATATCAAAGAACAGTAAGTACAAGATAAAACATGCCTTATTCCCACTGTTGTCTTAATATACTTTGATATAACATTGTATTTGTGTCTCAGAACACATTGGACAAAGAGTGTCCCTCAGATTGAGCATAATTCAGTAAGTAAACAAGTAATCTTTATTTATACAGTGCATTTTTACAGACCACGGTCACCCAGAGCGCTTTTCAATGATCAGAAAAATATGATTATTAGTCATGTCTGAATATATTCTTTTGCTTTCCACAGTGACACCACCTTTCCTTTTGCATCTCAGGGACATATCAAACATCAAGAGTTTACTTTGACTTTGCTAAATGCAACACTTGTTTTCCTGTTATCTCTTAGAATCGGTTTCACACCTTTTTAGTCCTACATAGAGTTACACCTGCTCTGACTGTCACAGTTCCTGTTTTTCACAGAATTGGTCTTTCACCACATGTCTGGGTTCACCTGCGATTGTGTAACTATATGGCCACATGAACACATGTGCTAGACCTTTCAATATTTATGTAATAGTCCCAATAATATGAATTTATAAACAAAATTATGAAATCTCAAACTAAAACAAATGGCATGTGGAATGAAATATAGTAATCATATAATAAAGTATGTACATTATTTATTCCATAATCTATTACTTTCGAACACAATAGATAAATATCAAAATGTGTTTTTTAGAATAGAATAGAACTTTATTGTCCATTCAAATTGAGCAGAGATTTGTCTTTCAATATGGCACATTTAAAAATCATTCATTAAAACACACTTAAAATACATTTTGCAAAGACACAACAGTTCATAATTCATGCAGTGCTACTGGTTGTTTAGAACAGTGACTGCAGACGGGACAATCTCTTGTAGATGTTTTTTGGGCGGGGTTCTGAATCTCTTGCCTGATGGCAGCAGAGAGCAGCAGAGATCACGCAGATCAGTGTAGCACTGTATCCTACAGCCAATTTCTCTTGCGGACATTAAAGTTGATCTTATCTTAACTGTGAAATGTGTTTTATTCTTGTAAATTGTATTATTCAATGAAATAGATGTGGCGTATAATCGATATTCTAAAATTGAAATAATCATTGCTTTATTAAGAGTCATTTCTCTAGACTGGTCTTAACACAGAATCAAAATCATTTTACCCTTAATGAAATCACTCCAATGCTATTGGGCTTTAATCGATTAATGCATTTGTTTCTATTATTTTAGAGGAATATTGTGCACAATAAACCACACTGCATTTATAACCTGTTCATAACTCTAGAAAGGCTTTCAAACGTCTTGTTTTCTGATAATGTGTTAGGACCATAAACTGTAAATATTAAATACTGTTAGTACTGTCCAAGCAATGATGAGTAATGTCAATGTATTTTGAAAGTAGAAAAAAAAGGCTGACCCCATTGTCAAACTAGCCTGGCCTAAGCCATCCGTTCACTCCGGCCAATCATCATTTCCCTGCATGTAATTTGTTTATGGTGTGGGACAACCAGGCTATTGTCAAACTTTACCATACTCACTGTGTAGTCTTCTGCTCTTTCCTTTCACTCTAAGACAGCACAATTGTAAAGAACAGCTGTTCTTTACGTGTAATATCGCACTGCACTTTATGAATTTACCTGTTAAATGTCACATCACACTTTAAATTGCACTGTACACATATTGTCACATGCTAATTTGCACATATAATAAATTGCACACAACTGTTGGGTAGAAAGACATTTATTGAGGGCTTGGGTTGTCCAGAGTCCGGTCTGCGGAGACAAACAAAACAGTTTGAGTGGGGCTTTGTGCAATATATGTGGTGTTTGAGTTAGTTGTGTTTGGTATGGGTTCGGGTGTGTGTGATGTGTGGTTTTAGTGGGTGAATGATATAAGTGTGGCTGTGATATGTATTTTAAAAACGTGTTTACTCACCACTGTCTTGTGTCCAGGTGCGTGGGCCAAAAGGGTCCCCGGGCCACAAACACCGGCATTTATGGTTCCGGCTGGACCAAGTCAATGAATTGGTGGAGGGGGGATCTAGCACTGTTTTTAGTCATAGTTGGTGTAGATATTTTTGTAGGAGGGTGTTTTAGGAGTATATTTTTGTAGGGGGGTGTTTTATTATTGTAACTGGTTATTGGTATTTTAATGGAGGGTTTTAACATAGTTTTTAGAAGCTAATGTTAATGCTATACCCCTGGAGTTTTAATTGGTTTTACCCAGTAGTATATAAGGCGCCCATTTTTACCATTCCATTGCAGTGTTGCCAACTTAGCGACTTTGTCGCTAGATTTAGCGACTTTTCAGACCCCTATAGCGACTTTTTTTCAAAAAAGCGACTAGCGACAAATCTAGCGACTTTTTCTGGTGTTATTGGCGACTTATCTGGTGTTTTGGCGACTTATCTGGTGTTTTGGAGACTCGTGAAGCACGTATTGTTCTGCTGTCCTCAACGTGAGCCCCTCCCCCGTCCCAAAGCACTTACAGGCGGCCAGTCTCACAGTAGCCTTGCGCAGCAGTCCCAGCTACAGTCTATGGGCGGAGCAGAGAGAGAGAGAGAGGAGACTCAAAAGCACAGGAAGTTTTCAGGCTGCTGCAGACTGAACTTCAGCTCCACCACCACCACACATCCAAAGCTCCCCGGCCACTCCTACCACCGCCACCCCCCACTACCCCCCACTCCATCCGCGGCAGCTCTGTCCGTGACTCTGTTTTCTCTCAGTAGTGGGTCACATTAAATCATTTGTTATGCCAAACTATGAAAAAAAAAAAAAAACTTACAAAAATAGACCTAAGTAACTCTGCCAGAGTGTGTCTTTTGGGTCACTTTGCCGGTCCCAAGCCCGGATAAAGGAGGAGGGTTGGTTGTAGAGCTAGCAATTTCACCCTACATAACAATCTTTTGATTACATTTGCTGTTATAACATTTAACAATACAGGACAAAACTGATGTGTGTAATGTGGATCTAGACAAAGCATTAAAATCATTAAATGTTGTTAATGTTGAAATTATTTTTGTACATTTGTAGTTCTAAACATATTTAGGGTGTTTTTACTCACTTTTGTCTCTCCCACGACCTTATTCCTCTCTCCTACAGCGTCCGTTACAGTTATTTGCAAATGGCAAATTATGCAAATTAGGCGATGACGTCATTTAGCGACTTCTAGCGACTTTTGGGACAGCCAATAGCTACTTTCCTTACTGAGGAGTTGGCAACACTGTTCCATTGTCCTGCTGCTGGGGAACACATGCTCCTGTCCTTCATCCACTGTGTTGGTTTGGTTTGCATTTTTGCACCCTTTTCTTTGTCTGCACTGGTCACTTTAAAAAAAAGGAAAAACAGAAAATAAAAATAAGTGGACCAAGCTGAAGCCTGCCTCCGTCAACTTTGTTTGGGTTTATCTCACTGCCATCCAGCCGCTCAAAGCCAGGCCTGCTAACAACAATATACTATAAAAGGAAATGCATATTGCTACTCTCTGCGCACATCTATCTTCTTTTAAATTAAAATTGTTGTTTGAACAAATTTTATTCTTATTGTGAATGTGTATTTATTTTTTGTGCACAATCAAAGTCTGAAAGGTTTTTATTATTATGTTATTACTATTATTATTAATGCAAACAATACAAACACAATACCTTAAATAATATTTACATATAAAGACAAAGCAATACCAAATCAACTAAAATAAAAATAATTTCCATGATCTCTTTTGAAATGTGAGTAGTGCGTCCCTGTGGCCGCTAGGGGGCAGTGTTTCAGCGTCGCGTCAAACACGGAAATAAAATCTAAAGTGAAACTGCAGGTTGGTGGTTAACTTTCAAACTAGATCTGAGTAACATTATTAATCGTCTTCGTGCGTTATTTGCGTTTACATTATAACATTTTTAAACTTGCAATTGGTGTTGTGTTGAAAACGAAAGTAAAGCCGTGTGTCATGAGTTATTCCGATGACATGGAGGTGGAAAACCAGACCTCGGAGGCTCTGCGACGGGAGCTGTCCTGTCCCGTGTGTAAGGACATCTTCAAGGACCCTCTGCTCCTGCCCTGCACCCACTCCTCCTGCAGGGACTGTCTGCAACGGAGCTGTACGGCCCACAAGAAGTGCCCTGTCTGCAGAAATCCTTTCACCGAGGACCAGGCCATAGCAAACCGCGATCTGAAAAACGCGTGTGAGACTTTTGAGAGGCAGACCAGCTGGAGAGACCCCCCCAAACTGAGCGAGTTTAGCTGCAGATTCCACTTCAAGCCCCTGGAGCTCTACTGCGAGTACGACGGGAGGCCTGTGTGCGTGGACTGTGCCACTCTCCACAGCACGCACCGCCTGCTCAGCATTAAAGACGGGGCCCCTCTGTGTAAGGTATGCATACTTTACTTTATTCATTAATATTTGATCACAGTACGTTTTGATACATCTCCACACATACAGACTGTCATTCACTCAACAGACTCATGTGTAGCAATGAAGTGTCTTGCCTAAGGACACAAGTACAGAGTCACAGTCACCTAACTGGGGCAGGGTTTCCTCCAGTTCCAGCCTTCTCCCATCCAGTGTTGCCACGATCCTGAAATCACACACTCGATTCTGATAAAGAGTTCACTGTGGAATCGAAATAACACTTTCAATACCACTATGACAACACAGTACTTTTTAAAGGTGTTTTATACTAGTTTTGAGATCAAACTTGTGCAAAATTGTCCTGACTATCTCAGATGTTGTCCTGATCTTTTCAGTATCAATGCTTTCTGGAATGAGAATATGAATGTCAACACTCTTGAAAACCTTACTCACAGCGCCACCACGGCATTAACAAGCAAGTTTGGCCGCATACTTTTTGATGCTGGGTCCATCACCTGCTTGTAACCAATTTTTAAGCTCAATTATAATTAAAGCCGCAAGCAGCGTCGAACGGCCCTCGCCGCAGGGCGGGGGCCATAATAACTCCCCGCACCGCGCGCACCACCCCGTGCCAAGCCACCCCGCATCACGGCGCCCTGCATCACGCTGTGCCGCACCAAGCCGCCCCGCACCAAGCCGCAACGCGCCGCACCACACCGTACCACGCAGCACTGCGCATAGGAGGTGGCGCCGCCGTGTGATGATTTGTTCCCGTAGCCATAGAAGAAGTTAGTCAAATTGTAATGAATATGATAAGTAGAGCTGGTTTAGCTCCCCATGTAAACTTTGACTCAGTCTGTAGGGGGAGCTAATGGGCCAATTTCAAATATTTCACTTTCACCTGACCTAAACCCTGGAGTTGAACAATGGATTCAAGTTTAATGCAAATCAATCTTTGTTTGTGCACACGGGAAAAAAATGAATGTTGTCAAAAACGGCCAAAAAAACCCTCACATTTTGCTGCTCAAGCAACGTTTCACTGATCAAAATTCACTGAAGTCATTTTGAAGGTAAATGTGTTGATATGATTTGGAACAACACAGCCAATCGGTGAAACGGCCGAGGAGTCGCCGCTTTCAAACCGACATGTATGAAAATGATTGCGGATAATTTTTCCATTTTGCAGTGAAATTTATGGGCCTCCTGTTTGTCATTTCGGTCGTATCTTGACTTGAGGAACATGTGTACCGAATTTCATGGCTCTACGACAAACTTGACCTCTGAAACTCCCATTGGCTGTTGTAGGTGGCGCTGTTCTGGCATTTTTTGAGTCCCATAAAAATAAACACCCAAATATCAAATTTTTCACCAGGTCTGATGTTTGGGCAAAATTTTACAACTTTTCATGCATGTTCAGGGGGTGAAATTAAGGCTCAAAGTGCAGAATTTGCACATATATCCATCCTTCCAGGTCCCACAGTATTCAACAACTCGGCTCTTCCCTTCATGTACCATGCCTTGTCATTATTAACATTTATGTTAATGGACCATTGGCTATGTGTTTGTTATTAGTCTATTTCCTGTGTTCAAACCTCTTGATTCTCTGATCTGTTGTTGGTGAAGTACTTCAAGATGACTTCTGTTGTGATTTAGTGCAATCCAAAAATAAATTGAATTTGGCTTGAAGTATGTCTCTAATTTCTGCAAACGTTGGGAGGAAAAAAAGGAATCCCTCTCGATCATCTGAGTTAATGACAGAGATTAAATTGTACTTTTTGTCAAATATGGTTTCTTTTTGACAGATAAATTAATACATTTGAAATTTTCACTTGGCTCAGTGGTAATTAGAGATGAATGAACTAAAATGCTTTAAAAACATGTATATTGACTTCACCTGAAAAAAACAACTTTTATCTTTTATACAAGCAGATGTTTTTACCAGCGTTCACACACTAGTTCTCTCCTCTGTACTGTATGTGTGTCTGATAGCCTGTAGCCAGACAATTCTTAAATATTTTTCCTGTTTTGTTTTTCAGAGCGAGCTGAATGAGAAAGTCGGGAACTTTGAAAAGAAACTTGATAATTGTGGAAAAATGAAGCAAAAGCTCGTCAAAACTGTTGAATATATTGAGGTAGGCCTGACACCATATCCTCGTCATGTCACATCCAGATCTGCAAGACTGTTTTTAGTGACCCCCTAAATGATTTTCAATTATACTGTATATAGAAGGATTTTCTACTTCCGGGTGGATCATCAAGACTATTGGCAGGCCCGTCGGAAGGGCTGTGCGACCTGTGCCGTCGCACAGGGCCTCGCACCACACAGGGGCCTCGCAATCTTCCTTCCTTTTATTTTATTTTATAAATACACTAGTTCAAGGGTCCCCAAAGGGCAGACTGCACTCCAAATTTGGAACCCTAAACCCCTTTCTCTGGACCTCTTTGATTTCGTTTGATCAAAAGAACATTTTTACAAGTAAAGTCAAATTTTCACCAAAAGCGATTTGTAAACAGGCAGGCGCGCGGGCAGCTATGTATGCAGCGGGTCCTCCGAAAAAACTGTCAGATAACTTTAGCAGTGTCTGAGTGAGATACAAAGAAAGTAACGGGAATGATCGCAGTGTAGGAGAGATGGATACTCGCGGAGGAGGAGCAGACCCCTTTGTGTGAGCAGAGGAGGAGGAGGAGGAGCAGCGGTGTGACAGGTGTGTGAGCGCTGCTATTGCCAATGTTTAGTCCGAATATCCACATCAAAAACATATTTTTAAAAGCATTAGCAAACACACTGTATGTCTAGCTTTAGCTAGCTGGAGTGTTTTTGTTGTGGTCAGAGTGTGTGGAGGAGGAGGTGAAGAGTATTTTGTTGTTGTCAGTGTGGAGGAGGAGGAGTGTATGTTGTCAGAGTGTGTGGAGGCATGGCAAAAACGTTATTTGATGAGAAAATAATAATATTGACTCCGCCTCATAGCCATTTTGGCGCATTTTGCCAAAATCTAACTATTAGAAGAAAAAGACTCCTTTTGGTTCAATCTTTTGAGTTGCTCTACCATTTTGCCACAGGACGAAAGAGACATGTCAGCTAAAAAGACCGCGACCAATATTGCACGTAGAGTGTGTGTGCGTGTGTACGTGCGCGCGCCAAACGCTGCATAGGAGCGAAGACACTCGGTTACACGCGTGCTGATCTCGTCAAGCACCGCGCGAGGTGGTGCTGAATTCATGTCAAAGATTATAACAGGAAAAACTTTCCTCAGATCTGGGAAAAAAGTGTCAGGGCAGGGCCTCGCGTTTCGAGTTCGCACAGGGCCCCCTTGCGACGGGCCTGACTATTGGTCAATCATTCTGGTGATACGTGCTCGTCAAATAAGAACGGATAGTCAAAAAGTGGAGAGTGCGGCTCTTTCCTAAAATATGGGAAAATCCTTGGACATGTTGTATATAATTTAAAGCTAATTATCTTTCTAAAAAGCTAATTTAATGTATTCAATAATGGTAACACGACACATATTTACAAGTTAAATAGTAAAACATAAACTGACAATTATTTTAGTGCCTTTTATGATTGTTTATATCTTTACGCACTTTGAGTTGCCTTGTGTATGAGCGGCACTCTCGCTTCTCAGCAATAAGTTCCTGGGTTCGAATCCCAGTCGGAACAGGGCCTTTCTGAGTGGAGTTTGCATGTTCTCCCCGTGTCTACGCAGGGTTCCTCTGGGTACTCCAGCTTCCCTTTTTGGAGTGAGAGGACAAATTCCCAAAATTGTAAACTGCTTTGTGACTCTGGTCTGAGAATGGCGGTATAAATCAGTCTTCAATTCCATCTATTTTTTTGGATCCAGTTTTGGTTTTATCCAAACAGTACCTGAACTCATTTCGTTCAGAAAGATCTACTAGAAAATATCAAAAGTAAGGGGATGTGAAAAACAATTTCACAAAATACCTAAATATGTTTTTATCCCCCAACCAGCTCTTGTTTTTTTATTCGCCCCTTGACAAATCTCATCTACTTTTTTTTTTCATTGCAGAAACAAGCGGTGGAAGCAGAGAATCTGATAAAGGGAGAATTTGAAAGGCTCCATAGATTTCTTCAGGCCGATGAAAACGCACGACTCAAAGCCCTGGCTACTGAGAAGGAAGAAAAGATCGCAACTGTTCAGGAATCCATTCGGAAAACAGAGGAGTATTTGAGCAGTCTCCAAGATCATCTGGACACTCTGAGAAAGGAACTAGACAAGGACGACCTGCCCCTTCTGATGGTAAGACGCAATCACAGACAGCTAATTGACTGCATAACTTTGTTTCATAAATTGACACGTTTGATTGTCTCTACAGAACTTTCAGAATATCAAAGAGCAGTAAGTACGAGAAAAAACCTGCTTTATTCCCACTGTTGTCTTAATATACTTTGATATAACATTGTATTGTGTCTCATAGAACACATTGGACAAAGAGTGTCCCTCAGATTGAAAAGAATTGCCTCCTTCCATTGAGTAATCATGTGGGATCGTTAGGCTTCAACATCTGGAAGAGCATGAAAGAATGGGTCCAGTATTGTAAGTTTATATACTGAAGTACATTTGTCCGATACGATAATAGTTTAACACCTTCCCTTCTTCCTCGTCCTACTAATGTATGTTTGTGTCTGCGATCTATCTATGAAACGAATCTATGATCTGTATTGGATATTGAACATTTAAAGCTGGGGTACCTTACTTTAAAAAACAATTTGATAAACTGGCATACTATGATATCGTTCTCGTCTCTCAAACAGTTTCAAATGCCTGTATCTTGGGCTCTGTCACTTATTTGATCAACTTTTTCAGACAGAAAAGTTTAAGAGAAAGGACCACCCAAAATCAGCAAACCCACAGAACAATTGATCATGTTGCACTGTATACACAACTAGAGACTTTTATAACAGTTAAAAGGTCATATTAAGAGTATATTTTTCTTCATGGTGTCATGGGGTCTTGTCTTTTGATCAGGGTTGTGTCTACAGTGCTACGTACATAGGGCTCACCCAGAAAAAAGTTTACCAGACCTATGAGATTAAAGTCCAAATGTTTTGACTTTAAAGTAAAAAAATATTAGATTAATCTTGTAAAATTATAAGAATAAACTCAAAATATTATAAGAATACGCAAGAAATGATCTTTTTACATTCATGTCAAAATAAAGATGACATGTAATCACAAATGCACAAAGCGCTTCCCCATCCAGAGTTTGTAGAACCTCTCAATGGATTTACTCTTTTAACTGTTATAATAGTCTCTTCTTGTTGCCTCGCAAAGTTGTTTTTAGATTCATCAAAGATTTTACTAAAAGTTAGTATACCCCTACTGCTCTGTATTTACTTTGTTTTTCAAGGTCAAATACACAAAAACATAAACTTGTTTCCACATACACCCCTAACGCCCCTAACATTACTTCTTAATTGCACAGATCCCGTGGTTCTAGATCCCAACACTGCCTCCGCCTGGTTGGCCTTGAGTCCAGACCTGACCAGTGTGAAGGAAAACCCGGAGCCACAGTCTGTCCCCGACAACCCAGACCGCTTCGACCCGTGCGTGTTCGTCCTGGGCGCTGAAGGATACTCCTCCGGGAAGCACAAGTGGGAGGTCTCCATTAGGGACAACCCCAAATGGATTGTGGGAGTGTGCAAGAAATCAGTGGTCAGGAAAAAGATGTTCATAATTTCATCTGCAAGTGGAGTTTGGGCAATAAGGCTCAGCAACGGCATGATCAAGGCTTTAACACCCGAACGCATACAGGTCCCCGTCAGCTCTTGTCCAGAGACGGTGCGTGTTCGGCTCAACATGGACAAGGGAGAGGTGTCTTTTTATGATGGATCAGCAGAGAAACACTTGGTCTCTTTCAAGTTTAAATTAGAACAGGGTGAGAAGATGTATCCAATATTTGGCCCGGGCCTCCAAAATACACCCATGGTTATTGTTCCTGGAAAAGTTGCAATACACACGTCCTGATGGTATTCAGAAAATACAGTAACACAGGAAAAGGTAATAATAAATAATTTATGAAATGGCTATGAACAAAGATTGTAAAGGAATTGGGATTAATAAAGTCTGTTTTCCACTTGTTTGTTATTGATTAGAAACTTGAATGGGGGGAGTTTTAAGGTTTATATTTCATCAAATTGTATTTATTTTCTGTTTGTGCTGTTGTTGTTTTTCTGAAAGGGAATCAAAAAGAGTTTTGTAACAGAACGTGATTGTTTCGTCTTACTCTAAAACTAATAAAACATTTTACATTCACTATTTGACACTTTAGGCTGAGCGCTCAATGGTCCTCTCATGTTTTTCTTTCTATCTGAAATAATTCAGTCTAAAGATGTGAGAGCTATGCCAAAAAATAATATTGAGTGTTAAAACTAGGAAATAGTTATATGGATTCTTTTTTTTACAGTTTACGTAAAGAAGAATAAAGTGTATATACAACATTAGCCCGTAAACCTGTGAGGATTAGATAGCTATTTGGCCTACGTGCAGGACAAGCACAAGACACTACGCAGACTCTGATTGTGCATCCATGTTATGACTGATATGTTCTGAGTGTCTCTGATTTGACACGTACTGTCTTTCGATGTGTGACGTAACAATGACTGAGAAATAAACAACAGAAACCACTGAAACTTGAGAGAAACATGATAAACTTCCAGAGCTTGGCGCACCACGATCCGTCTCTGTCTGGTTCATTCCTGACAAGCCATAGAAAAGAATTTTAGTCACAATAACAATCATGTTTTCAGTATAAATATGTAGTGATGTCCGGTGCTCGCTAGAGGGCAGTATTGGTCCTTGGTCACGGCTTACACACGGAAATAACAAGACTCGCGTTGACGTCTCTGGTTGACATGGCTGTAAGTTACTTTTATTAAATATATAGTTTTATATACATTAAACACACATTTGATGTTTTTATACGCTGCCCTTCAAATTGTCCTCTCGTTATGCTTACTATATTGTCAGGGACGTAACGTTGCATGTATTTCTGTGTGGGTTGAAAACGAAAGTAAGTTTGATCTCCATTATTTTTTTAGGACAGCATGGATGAGGACGTGACAGACGAGTCATCGGAGGCTCTGAGACGGGAGCTGTCCTGTCCCGTGTGTAAGGACATCTTCAAGGACCCTCTGCTCCTGCCCTGCACCCACTCCTTCTGCAGGGACTGTCTGCACCGGAGCTGTAAGACCAACAAGACGTGCCCGGTCTGTAGACAGGATTTCACCGAGGACCAGGCCATAGCAAACCGCGATCTGAAAAACGCGTGTGAGACTTTTTTGAGGCAGACCAGCTGGAAAGACCCCCCACCGTCCCTGGAGTTTGTTTGTAAACTGCACCTCAAGCCCCTGGTTCTCTACTGTGTGAAAGACGAGGAGCCTGTGTGTGTGGACTGTGCCATTCTCCACAGCACGCACACCCTGCTCAGCCTTAAGGATGGGGTCCCTATTTGTAAGGTATAATGGATGTGTTATAAAAATGGACTATAAACCAATCCAATCCACTTTAATATATAGTACGTATTATAAAACAACACATCAAAGTGCTGCACAGAGATAAAGGTAACACATTTAAATATACAGGTTTGCCAGCTTGATATGTATAAAATAGTGTAAGTAAAACAGTATGATGTAAAAACAAAAAATGTGAGAAACTCAAATACCGGTTTTCCAATTAAAAAATAAATGTAGTAAAAGGAAAAGAACCCACAGTTATTTTATGGATCTCTCTTTCAGGTTATGTGTAAGTAATACGTCAATTTTTAGTCATTTTCTGGCTTTACGTGGCATTATTAAATCATCCTAAACACTGTAGAATTAGAATCAAGCCTCTGTCTCTTGACGACAACCTGAATTGTTTTATTTTCACACACCGGGAAAATCATCCGAAAGGTTTAGCTTGCCAACCATATTTTAAAGTGAAATGTAACAAAGGAATTTAATGATGTTAAGTTATTGTCACTGGAATTACTGGCAGAGTTACTAAAACATTTTGTACAACTGTTGATAAATATCTTCCTTGTGTAAAAGTATAGTGCAATATCTTCAAAGTATTATTCAAGGTAGCAGTGCAGATAATGTGTAGTAATGGACTACTACCCAATTTTCTAACAATATACATAATAATCATATCATTATTAAAATGTCATAACATATTTAGTTTGTTTGTCTATTAACACAATATTTTGTTTGTTCCCCTTTAGGATGAGCTGAATGACAAAGTCGACATATTTGAAAAGAAAGTTGACTTGCACAGAAGAATGAAACATAGGTTTGCAAGAGCTGTGGACCACTTGAAGGTAACAATAACGGCACCACATACCCCCATTTTAATTTACTAACACTTGTTTAAATAATGCAGCAGCAAGCAGGAGACGCAGAGAAACAAATCAAAGAAGAATTTCAAAAGCTTCACAACTTTCTTTTGGCGGAAGAAAATATGCGTCTTGAGGTCTTGGCCAATGAAGAAAAGGAGAAGACAATTAATTTACAAGAAAAAATATCCAAAACAGAAGAGGATTTAAAAATTCTTAGAAAACATTTGGACACTCTGAAAAAAGAGATGGGAAACGAAGACCTGCCTTTCCTGATGGTAAGAATTGACAAAGACTACAATGCATTTTTATTATTTCATAAACCATATATAATTTGTTGTTCTCTTTATCTACTACTTTGCAGAATTTCCAGAAAGTAAAACGAGAGTGAGTACCTGAACACAGAAGATTTGATTGTGGAATATATTGTTTATTAAATAAATATGTCTTTATTTTTTGTTAGAGCGGAATGGACCAAAGATGACCCCGCAATCTTTCATCATGACCTCCTGGATATGAGTAAACACGTTGGGGCTTTAGGCTTCACTGTCTGGAAAAAGATGAAAACTGTTGTTAATTATAGTAAGTACCTTTTTGGAAAAGGCATGTCTCTGAAATATGTAGTCGGTTTGACTTGTTTTCTATACTTATCTCACAGACCCAGTGGTTCTCGATCCTAACACTGCTTCCCCATGGTTGGCTTTAAGTCCAGACTTGACCAGTGTGAAAGAAAACCCAGAGCGACTCAGCGTCCCTGACAACCGGGAGCGCTTTGACCCGTGTGTGTTTGTCCTGGGAGCTGAAGGATACTGCTCTGGGAAGCACAAGTGGGAGGTCTCTGTTGGAGACAACCCTAAATGGATGTTGGGAGTGTGCAAAGAATCAGTGTTTAGAAAACGAAGGTTTACAGTGTCGACCAGCCGGGGAGTTTGGGCCATAGCGCTTAGCAAAGGGGTATACACTGCATTAACACCTGAACGACCAGAGCTGCCTGCGAGCTCACGTCCAGAGAAGATCCGCATTAAACTGAACATGGACAAGGACAAGGACAAACATGAAGTGTCTTTTTGGGACGCAGGGGCAGCAAAATGCTTGATTGCATTTAGCTTTGAGTTGGAAAACAATGAAAAAGTTTATCCAATTTTTGGTCCAGGACTCCACAGCACACCTATGTTTCTAGTCCCAGGGAAAATTGCTATTCACACATCCTGACATAATGGTAAAGTAAATTAGAAAAAATAAAAAAATCATGTAAGATAACATTCATAATTGTGATATTGCTGTTGGTAATTTGGAAGTCCGTAAGCCACAGGTCAAATTTAACTTTACATTTACTGGAGGATTGCTTTAAATATGATGTGTGTAAGTCTAATATTATGGTGGTGTGCTAATAATATCCTGAAATTAAATGTTGTCATGTAACCATTCACTTGTCAAGCACCTGTGTTATGGATTGTCTCTACTCTACTCTGAACAGTTGTAATGATGGTAAAGCCACTAGATGGCAGTATTCAGTGAGTATTCTCCGCTGTCTATTGTTGGGAAAACCTGCCACTTTAGCCCCGGCGTAAACAACGGGCATCTTTTCATCAAGCAAAGCATTATGCCCTTTATTTAGTTGTGACATTTATCATTTCCACGACCTTCTCTTGGTACGATAGCAGGCATTGAGAACAGTAACAAGAAACATGCTATGATGGACTTGACGTAGTGATTTTGCAGTCACTGAAGATCGATTGCGCATCTGGATTTGGCCGAGGCAGCTAGCATTAGCAATAGCATTAGCAATAGCATTAGCAATAGCATTAGCAATAGCATTAGCAATAGCATTAGCAATAGCATTAGCAATAGCATTAGCAATAGCATTAGCAATAGCATTAGCTCGTGTGTAGCGGTGCTAGCTGAGCTGCTAGTTCACAGAGCTGCTGCAGCAGCAGCTAGCTTCTCGGTTTTGGTTGTTGTCTGGGAGCAGAAGCGAACCAAGTCAAGCCACTTGAAAATGTAAACCTAACATGGCCTCGAAGAGACGGGACCCGGTGAGTGTCAGAGACTACACATACTTTAGATGGACCATTAAAACGGATTAGGGCTGCTAGCATGCCTTTGCATTAGCACTGTTATGATAACCTGCAGGGAGACCAGCGATTGTCAACCAACCAGATGTTCTATTCTTGTTATTACAACACGGTAATAGCAACTTTATTCCATCATACACGTTAAGTTAACAGTGTCGTGATACAAACCTGGTTGTCCCATGTTTTGTAAGTCTAATTCTGTCTCACCACGAGTAGTCTTGGATTGAATTATTAGCACTGATGAAGATTGTCTGTTTGGAGAAACAACATACATTTGACACCAAAGGAAAAATAATCGGAAACTGAATAACGTTTGAAATCCTGACATGCAATTTTTAACATGTAGGTCAGCCCACACAAGCATCTAGCAAGGCACATTATTATTCCGAATGGGGTGGGTGCAATGCATACGTTTATTACATCTATATTAATACAAACACAAATGCTGTGTTTTCTAGGCTGTGCCAGCGATGGCATTTCCCCTCCCTGTTTCTGTCATCCTCTTGGCTTTGCTGTTGCTGGAGCCACCAGTATGTCACACCGGTGACTGTAAGGGCCACAGACAAGTATTAAGAGGACCTCCAGGTTATGTCACAGATGGACCAGGAAACTACTCTGTCAACGGAAATTGCGAGTGGCTCATTACAGGTATGTAAATATCATTGATTTGATAGATTTAATCATGATAATGCTAACCTGTCCTTCTGTACCCATCCTCTAGCTTCCAGTAACAGTCACAGGATTGTCCTGAATTTCACCTTTATGGACACAGAGTGTACCTATGACTACCTGTTTGTTTATGATGGAGACTCTTATCAAAGCCCACTGCTTGCCAGCCTCAGTGGCAACACACTACCACAACCGATTGAAGCCAAATCGGGCAAGGTATTATGAGTAAATGTTTTGAAAAATAAATAAAAAATAAAATAAAATAAATAAATGAATATATATATATATATATATATATATATGATCATCATAATTTTTCTGAATAACTCTGTCTTGTTTCAGATGCTGCTCCATCTATTTAGTGACGCCAACTACAATCTCTTAGGTTTTAATGCAACATACACCTTTTCTCATTGCCCTGGGGCTTGTGGTGGTCATGGCCGCTGTGACAGCTCAACGTCAAAATGTCAATGTCATCAGGGCTGGGGTGGAGCATCTTGTACAACACCTCTGTGCTCTGTAGCCTGCTCCATACATGGTCAATGTGACAAGGTTTGAACAATTACTTAATTGGTACATAATTCAATCATTTATTGGCAAGATATTGAGCATTAAATAAAGTGTTGTTTACAATGTCTTTTTAGAAAGGTGAGCGATGTCTGTGTGAGCCAGGCTTTATCGGCCACAGCTGCCAGCTAGGCCTTCGAGAAAATGATGGATCAGGGCAGTGGTTGCACATGAGTGATGGAAACCCTTACACCCCTGCCAGAACAGGTTCTGCTGGTGTTTACATATCCTCCACCGGATCCATGTACTTGTTTGGTGGTGAGAAGGATTGATTTAGTTTTTAAACTAACATTTCACCTTACCAGTACCATTAGTAAGTGTTTTTTTTCTCCTTTGTTATTAGGATTTGACCTTAACAGAGCACTTGGTGACCTAATCAAATACAACATCACGTCTAACCAATGGGACAGCAGGTCTTATGGTCACTCACCTGTAAGTGGCATGATCAACTGAAATGATAATACACCCTCTGTTCTCCTTCTGTGTATAAAAGAGGCATGAGAAATAATAATGACTTATTTTACAGGTGGCTCGGCATTCCCATACAGCTGTAGAATGGTCTGGTAACATGGTTATCTTTGGGGGTGAACTTGCTAACGGTTCTCTGTCAAGTGATGTCTGGATGTACCGGCCTCTTCAAGATGACTGGCAGCAACTTGGATTTTCCTTTTCCCATGGTGCTCCTAGACTGGCTAACCATGCAGCTGCTGTAGTGGACAGCCATCTCTATGTGTTTGGAGGTAAACCTTTTTTTTTGGAAAGAGATTTTTATTTTACTGACATTTTAGCTGTTTAACTTGGTCTACTTCTGCTATCCAGGTCGCACTGAAGAAGATATGTTTTCTTCTTCTTTGTTTCGCTTTGGTCTTCATGGTTCAGGCCGGTGGGAGACTGTTGAACCCACAGGAGGGAAACCCCCTGCAACAGCTGGTCACTCAATGGTGTTCCACAGCCCCTCAAGAACGTTGCTGGTGTATGGTGGCCACAGACCCACCACGGCCAGGTATAACTCTACTGGCCTATACACATAGGACACTCTTTTTTTTTTTTTTTACACAGACTGACTACTGTCACATTCAGACAGCTATAACTAATGAAAACGTAGAGAATGAAATACTTGTATGTATTGCAATATTTTTTGCCAGTGAGAGCGGCGATGAAACTCTCTATAATTGTGCTTGAGGTAAAATGTCTTTATTTGGTAATATTTCCTTAAAAAACAATAATTCCAAAACTGATTTAAATATAATTATTCATCTGAAACTTTTGAAAAAATTTAGGAGCAAAATCAGGAATATAGTTGGAAGAATGCCCACAAACACCTGGAGGGACTGCTCTATAGTACGTTGCTATTGATGCTGGAGCATATTTAAAACAGATATTTTTAATGTTTGACTTACGTACTGTAATAAGATTGAGTAACACCTGCATAGCCTCTAAAAAAAAAAAAAACATTTTAAAACGTAACGGATTGATTTATGATATGGTTGATCTATAAAGCAAAAGCAGATCTGTAGAAGGAGAGGACTAAGTTTTGAGAAACATTTTGTGCTGAACATTTTTGAACAATATTTTTTGACATTTTGTTTAGGTTCAGTGTGAGGGTGAACAACACTGACATGTTTCATGTGGACCGACGCTTCTGGACTGCTTTGCGTTCCCGCTTTCCAACAACAGGGCCCAGAGAAAGAGCCTTCCACTCAGCCACAGTCATCGGAAACTACATGGTGGTCTATGGTGAGCAGAGGGATATTCTATCAGCTGGTCTTGGCTTGTGTAAGAATAAACACTTCAATATATGATTTGTTTTTCAGGTGGAAATGTTCACATTCACTACCAAGAAGAAAAGTGTTATGATGAGGAGATATTCTTTTATCATCTTGGCTGCCATCAATGGGTCTCTGCTGGGGAAAGCTCTCTGCATGGTATATATAATCAATAGCCTGCGATTTCAGAAAACCATTACCTGTAACGAGTTGCATAATAATTATTCTCTTGTTTTTTCTTACTAAGATGGCGAGACAGTGAGAGGTCGTTACTCACATGTTGCTGCTGTGATGGACGGACGAGTGTTGCTTGTTGCTACCGGTTACAGTGGCGTTGCTCGTGGAGATCTTGTGGCATACAAAGTACCATTGTTTGTCACTAGTGATCAAGGTGACAGGGTGAGACAACACTCTTTTCTATTGAAATAAATGTTTTGTGAAAAAGTGAAAGCGGTACTTGTCTTGAGGTGGTGTGTGGTTTTAGTCCCCATTAAGTATGCATATGGATACTTATTGTTATGTTTTTACAACAAAAAATACATTAATATAGGTTGAAAACTATTTGCTTTACAGGATGCCATCTGTGCTGAAGCTTTAGATGAAAGTATGTGCCTCAAAAATCCAGAATGCAGTTGGTGTGAAGGCCGTTGTCGAGAGTACCAGCCCACAAATCTGGTAAATGATCTGAGGGAAAATAATGTTTAGTAATGCTGCATTGCTAAACATGACATCTCATATTATGATTTTGTCTTTCCCTGTAGTGTGGGAGCACAGGTTGCCTGGGATTAGCGCGCTTCCTGTCTGACTGCCAGTCTTGTGTTGTGTTCAGTGGCACACCAGCCTCTCTGGCCCGGGCCCCTGGTGAATTTGGCTGGTGTGTTCAGAATGAGTCCTGCTTACCTGTGTCAGGTGAGACCCAAGAAGGAAGGAAGGAGAGCTGTCTGAATAATTGAGCCCAAAGATACAAATTACTATTACTCTGTGGAGAATTTGGGACCACTCTTGTTGCATGTGCGTCAAGTGAAACATGGTGACTTTACTTAACCAACCTGAAATGGCACTGGCAACTCAATCCCGTCGCCTTTCCACTTCGGCGCGATGGTAAAGTTTGGTCATTTTGTTTCACCTCTCGTGTTGTGCACATGTGAAGAGTACAAGTCCATAGTCCTGTTACAGAAGAGTATGAAAGACAGAGCTGTTTGTATTGAGGTCAGATGTAGCTATATGTGTGCTGACCTCTGCCTCTTGGTCTCACAGAGCCAAGTGCGTGCCGCGTGGACCAGATCTCAGGGGCGTACGGCTGGTGGGGGGAGCGTACCCTTTTCTTAACCTCCCTCCACTCCTGTCGCACCGAGAACTATGTCCCGGGACTGCACCTGCTCACCTTCCAGCACCCTCGCAACGACTCCCAGCCTGACAAGGTATGGAGTTGAAGTCATAAATATCTTTCTTCCGACGTATACTTGTCCCTCCTTCCTCCTGCTTAACTTTTAAACTGTTTAAAGTTTATTGCACCTGCTTTAATCATTCAGTATTGTATCTTTAGAATTTGTAGAGAATAGTGCTTTTGTTAATGTGTTTCCATCCAACCTTTGCTATCCTTCAACTACACCCTTCCCACTAGGTGACCATTCTCCGCAGTACCAACATCATCCTAAGCCCAACTACTGAGATGGACGTAGCTCTTCAATTCAGGGGCTTTATCCACCCGCTGTGGGGGGCTCCACAGCCTAACTCCCCTCCAACAGAAACGGTTTCCATGTGGGCTCGCATACAGAGATTACATTTTGAGGCGAGAATGGCTTCAGGACCCAACTCCAGCCAATTGGTAAATTTTTATTATTAAGTGAATATAAAGCTGGAGTACCCAACTGTTTGATTCTATCAGTAGTTTTTACATACATTTTTAAATGGCCTGAAAATCGTACTTGCCTCCACTCAGTCAATCAGCTCTCGGTATGTAAAAGATCAAATCTTTTAAAATAGGATAAAGACCAAAAATTGTGGTTTGATTTTTTCCCCAAACATTACTTCAACAAGACTCTTTCTGTAGGGAAAACGAAATGCATTTATGAAACACAAAAAAACAAAGTTAGGTACTCCAACATGCACACCTTTTTTATTTATTTTTCTTTCCGTTGCCTCAATGTTGTTTTAATTTTGTTTTCACGTTTCAACAGGAAGTAGTGGGTCGTTGGGCAGCCCAGCAGGAAAGGGAGTTAAAGCTCCTGGCTCGTCCAGATGGAAGCAGACTGTTTTCAAATTTAACCAGAGGGAACCATTATCTTGTTCAAGCTGAAGGATATTTGAATAACTCTGGCTCGGGACAAACCAGCGAGATGGCTCTAACCTGGAACAGAACATTGCCTGGTGGGAGTGTAAGTACTGGATGGGTTTAATCTGTTACTTGTGTCTCACTGTTTCTTAGCACTTACACTTGACCATTTTCCATTTTTTCCCCTAGGAGATTTCCTTCCTCTTTCTTGAGCCTTATCGGTCGGGCATCTGCTCTGGCTACATGTCCTGTTTGGCCTGTCTCTCTGACCAGTCTTGTGGCTGGTGCCCCTCCTTGTCTCGCTGTTTGCTACGTGACAGTCCAGATTTGGAACCTTGTCCTGAAGCAGATGGCAGAGTCGGTCAGCGCCATCTGTTGTTGGCTCCTCAGCACTGCACCCTGTGTGAAGAGTATAGGGACTGCTCAGCTTGTGCTCAGGTATAGTATGACCAGTGATAGAACTGCCTCAAACATTTAACTCTTAGCATCTCAGTCAGGAATTATTTAGCACTATTTATATTCCTATTAGACACAAATTAGTTATTTTTTCTAATTGTAAAATGTATAAATATATTGTGACCTAATGGTCATAGAAGAAATACACGCTATGACTACATCTCTCTTACATAATTCTTACTCTGTAACTCTTCGGCATCTCTTCATATGCAGGATCCTTTCTGCGAATGGCAAATAAACTCCAGCAAAAAAGGTGACTATCAGTGCAGCCGTCGCGGAAGGCTTGATGGGTCCATACGCGATCCAAAAGGATGTCCAAAAGTTTGCAACCAGTGAGTGAGAAAATATCTATTTTGTTGATATGATCATTCTTTAACCCTTCATCTATCACAACAGGAGAAAGACATGTGGAGAGTGCCTGTCTAACTCCAGCCAGTGCGCATGGTGTGAGTCTGCCCAGGCCTGCTTCTACTTTGCTGCATATCTCACCAAATACCCCTATGGAGAGTGCAGGGACTGGTATGACAGGTATATATGTTATTCCTCCTCCAGAATGTTTTTCCTCTCTATAATGACATGCTCTTTTCTTAACATTATTCCTCTTTATTGCTTTTGTTCTGTTCAGTGTTCACTCAGTTCCCCAATGTAAGCAGTGTTCAGCTTTGAGCACATGTACGGACTGTTTGCGTACATTCCAGTGTGGCTGGTGTGGCGATTACAACAATCCTACTATTGGAAAGTAAGATTTGTAAATGACTTAAATAGATCACCTATTATCTTGCTTATCAAAATGCATTTACAATGATTTTTAGATGTCTAAGAGGAGACTGGGCTGGCATGGACGATCCTTCTGTGTATAATTGCAGCGTTGCAGTTGCTGAAGCTCGAGCAGCAAAGTAAGTCTGACTAAAATTGATAATAATAATAAACATGAATTAACCAATACTAATTGTTTCTATTATTATTAAACCTTTTAGCCCTGAACCCCAAACATCAGCCCCGCCACGACCTTTGGATATGGAGATTGACCTCGAACACCTGGAAGATCAAAATCAGGATGCTATCTGGTCCTACCCCACCTGCCCCGATGTAGAAGAATGCAGATTGGGTCTTCATAACTGCCACCCCTTTGCAACCTGCATTAACACCCCAACATCTTATGAGTGCCATTGTGAACGAGGATTCACCGGAGATGGTACATTACATTGCAATCAGACGTAAGTATAATTTGCTATTTAAAACACACACACACACACATGCACACTCTCCTTGAAAACATAAGGATTATTTCCAAAAGGTAACTTCTCCTTTGTTATTGTTTTGTTCCCACAGCTGCTATAATGAGTGTCGCGAGGGCCAGTGTAGTGGGAGCCCACGTTTCGAGTGTGAGTGTGCTCTTGGCTGGACTTCAGATCCGGCCACCCTCGTTCTGAGCGGTGTTGAATGTGATGTTGACTGTGGCTGCAATTTCCACTCCACATGTATCACTGCCCCTGGGATCTGTGATGAATGCCAAGGCAAGTCTTCAGTTCTACAGTTTTACAGTTGTTTCCTCACAATAAGTCTTCAGGCATAAACAGTTGTTATGCTTTGTTCAGACTGGACAACAGGCCCACACTGTGAGCACTGTCGGCCAGGCAGCTTCGGCTCCGCTCTGGCCGGAGGAGGCGGCTGTGTGCCTTGTGATTGTAATGGGCATGGAGACTCACTGCGAGGCTACTGCCACAACCAGACAGGCCAGTGCTACTGTACTCACCACACTCAGGGACCACATTGTGAGACCTGTCTGCCTGGCTACTATGGAGATCCCAGGTAGATCATAGGAGAATTATTAATCACAATAATCCTACCACAGACTGTCTAAATGAAATTCATGTTTGTCACAGAAACAATGGAACATGCTACCGCCAGTGCCAAGGCCGTTCTGTGCTGCTGTCTCCCACTTCCTCGGCTCTCCCTCTGTCCTCTTCTTTGGGCTGGAGAAGTGGCGCAGAAGGGAAAGGAGGTCTCTCACATTGCTTGTGGGTGCTTTCTGTGACCCCAAATTTGTCTCCTTGTCTGCCGCGACAGCTCTGCCCCCCTGTAGCCATCACTCTACATCCAGACTCCCATACACATTGCAAAGTGAGTCTTTTGTTAGATATGATGACAATGATCATTGTGCAGTTTTTTCTAGCAACCATTATGTAATGGAATTGTATGTGTTCCAGAACTCTTATGTTTACGTTTTTGATGGCCTGCCTCGGTTTTTATCCAACGGTGTGGTTCACTCTGATCACAATTTGATTGGCGCCTTTTGTGGAACTACCAGAACTGAGCCCATTACTGTGGAGGCAACATCGGGTAAGGCCTTTAGAAAAAATTATGTTTTGTGTTTTTTTTTTTGGCTATGCTCACTTTGATACTCTTGTCTTTTTCATTAGGTGTAATTTCAGTTTACTATGAAGCAAACGTCTCCTCAAACAAGCCTCAAGGATTCAATGCATCTTTCTGGATTCACCGGTGCGACTTGACTGCAGAAGATGGGGCAGCAGTCTGTCCTGGGGGCACACAGTGCATCGGGGGCATCTGCCAGTGTCCTCAAGGATTTGGAGGACCACGCTGTGACCGACCTATTTGCCCAAATGATTGTGGAATCGTAGATGGACGTGGAATTTGCAATACGGTTAGTAAACTTAAAATGTCTCAGTTTTGTTCACAAACATAAGTAAAAAAGGCGTCCTACATTGTGTTCCACAGACTTTGGGAGTGTGTATGTGCTCACATAACTGGGCTGGCTCTGACTGCTCTGTTTCTCGGGACTCCAACAGTCTGACTTGGGAAACACTACTTGACACTCAACTCACAGTGGTATATAACATATAACAACATCAATACAGGCTTTTGTACAATTAACAATTTTAACATTAACATACAATTAATATTTTTGATGTTTTACACTTTATAGAATCATGCTCATCGATTTCTTCAAAGAATGGGGCATTCTTTGTTGTCTGGACCACAAGGTAATCTATGGCTGTATGGAGGGCTATCACTGTCAGAAGGCATACTGGGAAATGTGTACAGGTATGTTTTTATTATTTTCTTTCATCCAAATCTTTTATTTGTTGTATAGTTTTCTTCATTTAAAAACATACATTATCTTGCCATGTGTTTCGTTGCAGATATACAGTTGCTGACCATCGCTGGACCCAAATGCTAACCAGCTCAGTTGAAGAGGGTGCGACTCCGAGTCCACGCTATCACCATGCGGCCGCTCTGCTGACCAGCTATGACTTTGGTTCTGGAAGTCACAACTTCATGCTGGTGGTCGGAGGGGTTACTCACAGTGGTGTAGCCATGGATACCTGGAGTCTAAATCTCAGCAGCTTAGTCTGGCGGGAGCACAAGGTTTGACACAGACTTGTACTACTTAAAGTAAAAAAAAACAAAAACAATCTAATTTATCTTATTTCTCTAGATGTTTTGGCTGTCAAACTTCACAAATTTCACAAATCCTAAATTTTTTGCATTTGTCTGTAGTATTCTGCAGATAAACAAACTCCTTCCAACTTTCTCTAATAATTCTAATATTTTTAAGCTTAGTGCTTTGTGCGAATAGAAGATTAGCAGGTCAAGTTTTAGCAAATAATGTTTTGATAATAATAATAATTATTAGTAATAATAATCTACTTTTGTGTTCTTCAAAAAATCCTAATGTATGGTCTCATATATTAAATTTTATATTTTCATAGTGTTCAGTATACCTTAATTATAATGTGTAGAAATGATATATCTTGTCCTCTTATGAGACACTCTAGACCAGTGCTGGGCTTAAAGGGGATCAGGGATTGAAGTGTTAGTCTTGTTTAGAGTTTGAATGAAACACAATTACAGTATATGTGTTACTTTCTTTGACAGAGCTCAGTTCTCCCTCCAGTTGCCGGTCACACTCTGACTGTGCGCAGAGACTCTTCTGTGCTGCTAATAGGGGGCTACTCTCCAGAAAATGGCTTCAACCATCATCTGCTGGAGTTCAGCCCTCATTCTGGAAACTGGACAATTGCTCCTCACACTGGCACGCCACCTACAGGTGTTTAAAATGCAGCAGCTTGTTCGTAGTCATGAATCCCACGTACTGACACACTTTCTACACTCTTTAGGTTTATATGGTCACTCTGCAGTGTACCATGAACAAACAGATGCCATCTATGTTTTTGGAGGCTACCGCTTTCATGTGGAGACAGTAGAGCCTTCTGGAGAACTTTATAGTTTGTACTACCCCAACCTTACCTGGTCTTTACTTGTTCCATCACAGGGTAACAAGGTAAAAGTAAATTTCAGTGAATGTCAATCTAATAATTGTGAGTTACTGAGTTTAATCCTTTGGGTTTGGCAGCCACTGTCGCGTTTCTTCCATGCTGCTGCCCTTATTAAAGACACCATGGTGATTGTTGGAGGCAGGACACAGGCAGAGGACTACAGCAACTCTGTGTCCTTGTACCAGATCAATTGTAATACTTGGATACAACCTGGTAAAATTTTTTAATCTTTATGTTTAGTTTTATTCTTAACATAATCTTGATCTTTCACTAAATTACTTTTCTTATATTTTGTTTTGTCAGTTTCTGTTGTTGGAGATTCAGTAAATCGTTCTGTGTCTCTTGCCATGACCCCCTGGGGTGGCCGTCTTTTTTTGTCTGGGGGCTTTAATGGAGTCACCCTCGGGAGACTACTCACCCTGACTGTCCCTGCGGACCCCTGTGCACTTCTGCCCACTCAAGATGCTTGTAACACCACGACAGGCAGTTGTATCTGGTGCAGAGGAACTTGTGCCTCTTCAGACATCGCAGAGAGGTAGACCCAGATATCAAATTTGACGTTTTATCTGTATTTTTATATTATTTAGTATTGACTTGAAATTATTTTTTTAGAATGGGGTGTTTTACGGGCCAGTCTCCATGTTCACCAACCCCACGGCAGGCAGATCAGTGTCGAAGATTGAAGACCTGTAGTGAATGTCTTGCTCGGCATCCCAAGACATTTGCAAGCCCATCTCAGGTATTGCAAATAAATCTTATCTCCACTGCTATTAATGAAAAAGTAGTTGATCATATTATTTGACTGACTCTTTCAGCCTGCTCTACAGTGCAAATGGTGTACAAATTGTCCAGAGGGCGCTTGTATCAGCAGTTCTGTGAGCTGTACATCTGAACACGACTGTCGGATCAACCAGAGAGAGATTTTCTTGTCCAGCAACTGCACAGAGACCAGCTGTGAGGCCTCTGACTGCCCCAAGTGCACCGCCTCCGGGAAATGCATGTGGACTCGCCAGTTCAAACGCACAGGTACTCAATATTTACATTTGTTCACAACTACTTCTGTACTTAAATAAGAAATTAGGAATGATTCATTGATTCTATAACATGTGTCACAGCAGACAGTATATTGGTGCATCTCTACGCATTCCTAATGGATAAAACATTTAACAATTAAATTGCACAGATACTGCTATAGACAGTATGACTTTTATTTAAATAAGCCACTAGTAGTTTTATATTGTATTTGTCTAAACTGCACATATCGAGTTATAAACACACAGTTGAATGTAGTTGCGGAAGACTTTTTCAGCAAAAACCTGAATTATTGACTGTGATCCTTTGTCCTCTTTGTTTCAACAGGAGAAACAAGGCGCATTCTTAGTGTAAACCCCACGTATGATTGGACATGCTTCAGTTACGCTCTGCTCAACGTCTCCCCGATGCAAGTGGAATCTTCTCCCCCTTTGCCGTGTCCTCCCCCCTGTCACACCCTCCAAAACTGCAGCCTCTGTCTGGGCTCGCGCGGCTCTGACGGAGGATGGCAGCACTGTGTGTGGAGCATGGCTTTGCAGCAGGTGGGACTAAAGCTTTACTTTTGTGTGGTTTTTTTATTCTGACTTTGTTGATAAACTTGAACAATTATTATTTGTTCTTAGTGCATGAGTCCATCTTTTGTGCCTCTGCGTTGCGAGGCGGGTCAGTGTGGTCGTCTGCTCTCTGGTGGGGACTCTTGCTCTCCTCAGTGCTCCCAGCTCACACAGTGCTCACAGTGCATCGCTCGGCCTCAGTGCGGCTGGTGTGCGGCAAAGGGAGGCAACGGTGCCGGCCGCTGCTTACAAGGTGGACTTGAAGGTGGGTGAAATCACAACAACCATAACATTATATGGTTCCACATTATTTTACTTTTGTTTTTACTAGCACAGGGGTCAAATCAGACCCTGTGCATCAGTTTCATGTCGGGTTATTCTGTCATTATTATTTGGTTGGTATGGTTGCAGTTTAAATAAGTTTTAGTATTTTTGCTGTTATAGTAAGTAACAATTGTAGCCCTTTGATCAGGATAGTTTCAAAAAAGCTCTTCTTACATTTATGGCATCAAGTATAAGGATAATATCACACACATTATTGCATTCACCATTGTGTTATCTCTTGTTATCTTTTTGCCAGCTGTGGGTATTATGTGTTAAATACTGTCAAATGTATTGCCATACTTTATTTTTTATGCCATTACAAACTTAATGGCCTAAAATCTGAGGCTTACAATGATTGTTTTCATTTCCCTACACTGCCTTTAAGTCTTAAATGTCATAAATGTCCCAACCTGGAACATAATCAATGGCTTGAATTTCAGGTGTCAGCGAGGGTGTTTGTCCTCAAAGAAACAGCAGCTGGTCTTTTTTGCGCTGCCCAAAAGAGGATGAATGTGCAAATGGGCATCACCACTGTAACAGCACTCAGGATTGCCATGACCTGGCCGAGGGATACCACTGCACGTGCAAACAGGGCTACATACTGAACAGGTACAAGTCACATCATGGTAAAAGAAATAATAATAATAGTATAATAAAATAAATACCATATACTTTTGTTTCAGTGTTTCAGGCCAATGTGAGCCTGTGTGTGCCCAAGGCTGTGTCAATGGGACATGTGTATCCCCTGGAATCTGTCAATGTCACTTTGGCTTTGTGGGAGACAACTGCTCTTCCCAGTGCAGCTGCAACAAACATAGCAACTGTGCGGGTGTCAACAAGCCCGATGTTTGCCTTGAATGTCACAACAACACCATAGTGAGTGTCTAAATTACAACATAAGTATCTCACTATATTTATTGTATTGTATAACAATCGTTAATGTCTCATAATTTTCCACGGGTCATTATCAATTACTAAAACAGTCAGACTCTTCTGAGGGGTTTATTACAGAAGTGGATCCTTCCCTTGTTTAGGTCCTATAGTTATAGTTATAAAAAATCTGTAGATATAAGCAAAAGGTTGTTAGCAGTCTTCACATACAGAGCTCAGCTCAATTTTCCTAAGCAGAATTCAATTTAACTGTCCCTTCTCCGAAAGAAACGAAAGAAAACAAAAACATACCCTCTTAATACTTTCAAAACTCTTATTGTGAAATTGTAGTCCTGGAACAGAACAAAGCCTCATTACACTTGTAACAACATATGAATGTTTTTTGTTTGTTTCTTTAGGGTAAACACTGTGAAAAGTGCAAGCCATTATTTGTGGGTTCAGCTAAAGGAGGAGGCACTTGTCGTCCTTGTCGAGAATTCTGCAGAGGAAATAGTGCAATATGTTTGTCACATGATGAACTTAAAAAGGCGCAGGAAAGTCCCAGACTTTTTCCTCTGGATCCAAGCAGCGTATGTACTTTTTAAAGTCTGTTAATATATTAAATACTCGATGCATTCAGATGTTTAACAACAACAACATTCTCTTTTAAGATTCAGAAATGGGTCTCTGAGGGACCAACTGAAGAAAATGCAGTTTGTGTAAATTGTCAAAACAACAGTGTTGGGGACCGGTGTGAAAGCTGCCTGGGTGGATATTTTCTGTTGCAGGGGAAGTGTGAAAAGTAAGTAATGCACTTTGGATTTGTCCAACTGTGATTGATATTCAACATTATGGGGCCTTTCTCTAAATGTTCTGCTCTGTTTTGTAGATGTCAGTGTAACGGACATGCAGACACTTGTAATGAATACGATGGCACTGGTTGCCCGTGTCAAAACAACACTGAGACGTCATCTTGTCTCAGTAGTTCACAGAATGATCGCAAAGATTGCTACAGGCAACAGGCATGTATACATCTTTATTTTATGGTTACAGTCACAATTAGTTTGGTTAAATGTGTATAATTTCAGTGCTGAATATGTGTATTTAATTTGTTTGCAGTGTGCTAAATGCAAAGACTCGTTCAATGGCACCCCGGTAAATGGCAGACAGTGTTACCGTCAGTTCAACGTTGACACAGAATGTTGCTTTGACCCAACATCACAGACAAATTGCTTTCATGATCCCAGCATTCGCAATCTGCCAATGGGGCGCACTGTGTTCTTTGCTGCACAACCAAAATTCACCAATGTGGATATTCGGGTCACAATTGACGTAACATTCGGTGAAGTGGAAGTGTATGTGTCCAACTCCCATGACACCTTCATAGTGGATGTGGATCGCAACACAGGTATTCATGCCATCAGCATCGACAGGGGAGAAGAATCTGCAACACGTTTAACAACTACTGGAATGGACAAAGACGCTCCTCCATCTCCTATAAAAGTGTATGCAAATGCCTCCTCTAGTCTTGGTGGTCCTGTGCTTTCCCACAACCCCCTGCAGCTGCAAGCAAAACCTCCAGGAGATAGAGAAATGCGTGAGGAAAGAGCAGAAGGACTTATCAGCTACATTACGGTGTGGAAACCACAGAATGTTTTAATTGTCCGTGGTGTTCGGGATCGAGTTGTCATAACTTTCCCCCATGAAGTTCATTCTCTCAAATCCAGTCGTTTCTACATTGCTCTTAAAGGAGTTGGAACCAAGGAGCGATATGGAGAGTCTCAGGGACTTCTGTTTCTGAGACAGGACCAAGCTCATATAGACCTCTTTGTCTTTTTCTCTGTTTTCTTTTCTTGCTTTTTCCTGTTCCTGTCAGTTTGTGTGCTCTTGTGGAAAGTTAAGCAGTTTCTGGATTTCCGTCGGGAACAGCGGCGGCATATCCAAGAAATGACCAAGATGGCATCAAGGCCGTTTGCTAAGCTAACTATATACCTGGAGCCAGAGGAGCCACAGCTGGTGTACCTCCCTTCAGCAGGTGGTGGTGTGGGGGGCACTACTGTATCTCTTACTCATGCTCGTGCAAGCAAATTAGGAGGAGTGGTGCTGGGGCAACGAGGCCGTGCTGGAGCAGTTACCTACAAACATGAGCCAGGATCTGGACCAACAGGCCATCATCACCATCACCTCGCCTTGAGTGGAAGTGGAAACAGTGGACAGCATTTACCACTGCACTACTTGAACACACACCACTATGCCGGTACCACATCAGGCACGCCTGCGTCTCACCACCACCACCCGTCCACGTACAGCGGTTATCAGCACTTTTGCCGCTCTGATCCCTTCCTCTCTCAGCTTATGGGCTTTTCATACTCCACTTTTAAAGTTGGGCCTATCACGCTGGAGCCTACAGATGACGGTATGGCCGGTGTGGCTACTGTACTCTTTCAGTTGCCTGGAGGGCTCTTGGCTCCAAATCGTGCCTGCTTGGGTTCGGCACTTGTTACTCTGCGCCAAAACCTACAAGAATATTGCGGCCATGGTAATAATGGTGGTCATCCGGGGGCAGGAGGAGGGCGCAAGGGTCTACTGGGGCATCAACATCTAACCACTATGGCAATGTAATCAATATTTAAATTAAGATACAGCAGAAATGAAAATGAGGTTAATGGTAATACTAAAGATCTCTAAAGGAAACATAAAGGTCTATGCTTAGTCAGGTGTAAGCATTATGAACAAATTTGTACACACACTGTAATAAGTGTCTTTGTGTTTTGTTATGTTTGTCTGTGTGAATGCATCACTTGACCAAGTTCTGCAACTGCTAATCATCATCAAAGAGAGAGCATGCCTTCATAGTTTCACACAGAACCAACATGTGCTTTATGCCCTTAGGAAATGACAATCACAATCACCATTTCAAACAAGTGTCTTGTTTTGACAAATGGTAAGGATTATGATTCTCATTGTAAGAAAAATGCTGGTTAAAGATTTAGAATTTACTGTATGACCATCATTTAGTGTTAAGTTCAGCAGACCTAAATCTCTACATATTACTGTAACTTAAGTTATTTGCTTTATTATTTTCTTTGCATCACACTTGCCTTGTCAGTGGGTCAAATGACTTATTTTATTTGCAATGTGTAAAAATGAAGAAATAATGTGGCATTATCCAATATTGATCACACGTTGCTGGTGTGAGGCTGGTTTATCTGAACAGTTTATTGCTAGCACCTTGCTTGTCTTAATGAATGCGAAAGTCACGCATTGCTAAAAATCATGCCTCGCAAATAGGTATAGCAAGAATACAGAATAGATGTGCTTAGTCTGTGAAATTACACTGTTAATATTTTTTAGGAGTTTTTTTTTCTCCTGGTGAGAAAAATTAAGAAACTTGACAGCAATGTGTTTGCTTTGATAGACTGAACCTGTCCACTGTTTTGTTACTGTTAAAATAAGTTTTTGATTTCTTTTTTGCACTGCATGGTGGCAAAGAGCCCCAGGATTCATTTGAAAATATACCAAGTGTATTCCTATAATTAATGTAAGTTACATCATAAAATGTTACCCGCTCACAGCCTTCGAAACTTTAAAAGCAGCATACTTCTGTTGTGAATGTTCTGTTACCATATTTTGTACATACATTTGTGTTTTGAAACAAGGGAGAAGTGTTGTAAAAATGTGAATAGTACAGACTCTTTTTAGGGTCAAATAAAATCTATATAAAACAAGTTGTTCATTTTGTATCATGTAGTTTAACAAAGTATACTCTTTGGTTTAACCTATAGCCTGTAAGTATTACACTTGTTTTTGACTGTAAATATTTTAATACTGTTGTTAGCTACTTTATGAATTATCTATTTATTTGTTTTGTTTGGATGGATGGATGTGTTTCTGCTGCTACTGGACTCCTGATTTCCCCAACGGGGGATCAATAAAGTATCTAACTATATGAACCACAGAACAACAGTTCTGTCCGTTCCCCGTTACTTTGGCAACCGAGACCTGTTCTGATTGGCTAAAACCAAAAGGAAGTACAGCCTCTTCCTGTGTTTATCTCGCCCTAAGCTCCTTTTCCCTGGGGATTGGTGGCGTCTCAAACTGGGCTTATGTGCCTACAACACGAACCACAGCTGCTGAAATAATATATCCATGTCACGCAGGTCTGTTTCCTCTTTTAGTAAAGTATACTCGTCTGTAGCTGCGTGTTATCTCACGCACCATGCGCTAGTTAGCAATTAGTTAGCTAACAACTTAGCTACAGCTAGCTCGAGCAGCTTCATCAACGCACAATAACATTATCTGTATTTTCTCATTCAGTCTTGTGCTTGAGACCCAACTCTACGAAACCCTGCACAGTCTAAACGAATGCTTTAAAAGATGACAACAGACAAGATCAAATGTGAGCCAGAGGAGATGTGCATCAGTGAAGGTGATCTTGACATCCACATCAAGGAGGAACCTCAGATGCACCAAATCGACCAGGGACAAAACGGAGAAATACAGGAGACTGTCAGCCCAAACTTTGACAGTCCACTTTCCAGATGTGACCTGAAAGAGGAGGAATCAAGCGAGACTGCGGTGATCAAGCAAGAGCCAGAGGCGTGCGTCAAAGAGGAGACCATTGACCCAGAGCCAGACGCAGACGCAGAGCCAGACGCAGAGCCAGACGCAGAGGATTGCTGCAGCAGCTTCCAAAACGTGAAGGAAGAAGCTTGTTCAGGTGAGAGGTCACACACTCCTAAATAGTTTGTTCTTAGGATTTACCTTTTTGTATTTATTAGGAAATTCCAAATGTATTCATTGTTTGAGATGATTTTGGTTTGACCTCACTGGTAAATAATGTTTGTCTCTTTTCCTTGTTAGAATCATCAGACTTCTATCCATGTACGTTCTGTGACATTTCCTTCACTGACCTTGGCTTTTTAGAGAAGCACGTCAAGTGGGTCCATCAAAAACAATATCGAGAAAGCCTGAAGTGTCCTTCAACACTAAATGAACCTAAATATGTTTGCACAATCTGCAGCACTACTTTCCTATCAAAAGTGGAGCTTAGAAACCATGTCAAGGCAACCCATCCTTCTCCTCCCCCTCGAAGACTCTACCCATGTCCAACTTGTGCACGTAGCTTTCAATATTTAAAGAATCTGAAAAATCACTGCCAGAGTATGCATGATATGTCCGTAACTACAAGAGGTGGGCATCTCAGTTGTTCTGATTGTGGCAAGAGCTTTAAAAAAACATGGGGTCAAGGGCCTCATCAATGCAATGCACCCAGCAATGAAGAAGATGAGGAAAAGCCCATCTGTCTTGACATCGGAGTGAAGTGCCCCGAATGTGATAAAATATTGTCTGGACCCCAAAGTCTGGAGGTGCACATGCGCACTCACACAGGAGCTCGGCCTTATGTCTGCAAGGACTGTGGAAAGAGGTTTGTGGAGCGTACTGCTTGGAGTCACCACATGAAAATACACTCAGGGGAGCGTCCTTTCAAATGTGAGGTCTGTGCAAAGGCCTTTTTGCGTTCAAATCATCTCAAAAGTCACATGACAACACACTCGGGAAAGAAGGAGTACGCCTGTCCCGAATGTGGCAAAGAATTTGGACTCAAGGCAAGTCTAAATGAGCATATAAAAACTCATTCTGATGAGAAACCTTTTGTGTGCCCAATGTGTTCAAAAGCTTTCCGACTGCGTAAACATTTACGAATTCACAGCAAAGTGCACTTTACAGAGAAGGCTCACCAGTGTGGGGATTGTGGGCTTAAGATCTCCGATATCGGGGCTTTACGGAAACACCTGCGCTCACACACTGGAGAGCGGCCGTATCACTGCACGGTGTGCGGAAACCGCTTCATACGCCTCACTCATCTCCGAAACCACCAGCGCACTCACACAGGAGAGCGGCCCTACAAGTGCAACGAATGTGACAAGAGTTTTGTTCAGTCTGGAGACCTGGTGAAACACAAGAGAATCCACTCTGGGGAGAAGCCTTTTGAGTGCCCCGATTGCCACCGGCGTTACACTTCCTCTGGTGACTTGGGCAAACACCGCAGGATCCACTCTGACCTGCGGCCCCACACCTGTGAAGAATGTGGGAAGACGTTTCGCTTGTCGGGCCATCTGAAGGCTCACTCGAGGACGCACACTGGAGAGAAGCCCTACACATGCCCCATCTGCTGCCGCAGGTTTGCCCGCTCCCATCACCTTAGCGGCCACATGGCAAAGTGTTGCTGAACCTGAAGGTCTAGAATGTTTATTTTGCTGTATCAAAACCGATTTTAAATCGGGTATTGTTTTAGTAATTACATTGCAAAAGAAAAAAAACACAATTATTTCTTGAGCAGTGTTAGAATTATTTTTAACTATATCAGATTTGGAATAAAACACTATGCCAGATAAAAAGACATTTATTGATACCTATGAAATTGGTATCAACAAACCCTAGTTTGTGTACAGTATTTAATAAAGTCAGTGGTATCTGACTTTTCCCCTTGTTTAGCCTCTGTATGAAGCTATGTGATAATATTGTTTATTTCTTTCTGTGTGCAAAAACATGTATCATGCATTCATAACTTTGCAGTGAACATTTAACCTAGATTTGAGAGATAATGTAATGAACTTGTATTAGATGAGTAAAAGTTGTGTAAATCACAAGAGAACGAAACCCAAACTTGCATTTCTGTTGTCCGTGTCATACATGTCATAATAAAATTAAAGTCATTATAAATACTGAAGTGTTGCCATAGTGATTGTCTGATGCCCCACCACCCACAAAAAAGAATCATGAATTATTCATCACTTATTCTTTTCATTATAAAGTTAAGCTCACATTAAAACCTAATATTCGTGATTCAACCAAGTACAACTTTCTACATTATTTATCCACGTTTCCCCATTATTAATCTGGAAATAAGTCCATTTTACGCAGTTAAAGAATGTAGTGGTCTGATAAATTCTCCATTCATATGAAATTAGAGCTCTAAAAGAATACAGCCAACATCTCCAAGTTTGATATTTAAAAAAAATCGAATTATTCAAACACCATTGTAGCTGTCTGAATAAGGAAACCTTTAGTGAGGCATTTCTAGTCAATGGGGGTAAAAACAAAACATTTACTTAATGACTGAATTAGTCTGCAGCTAAACGTAGCGTTCATAATCACTGATTCACTTGTTTCAGCCCTGGTGCAATAATAACATTCACACACCCATCACTTTTATACATTATATTTATATTGTAAAGGTATGATTTGGTGTAAAAATGAATCTCAAATTTTATTTTGATTGCCAGTGGGAATCCTGTTCATAAAATACCATAAATTAGGGTCTAAAAGGGTCTAAATCTGTTGAATCGACCTGTTGTTGACTATTGAGCTTTAAACTATGTTACAACATTGTTCCTTGTCTAAAAGCAGACCTGAAGTTTGTAGATTCATCGCCGCTAATCAGGAACTTCTGGCTCAAATGTAACTTCACCCTTTATGTCTAAAAGCTCCTGTCCTGCAATAGAATATAATTTTACCACTTTTTAAAAAAAGGTAGTATAAATCAGTAATTCATCTTTATTTATCTACCGCCTTTCACAGACCAGAGTCACAAAGCGGTTTACAATTGTGGGCATTTGTCTCTCACTCCACACAGAGATGGAGCGAGGCCAGCACAGGAGGTGCACGCCAGACCTATTGTACATGTTTGAGGTGGTAGGGGAAACCGGAGTACCCGGAGGAAACCTACGCAGACACAAGAACATGCAAACTCCACTCAGAAAGGCACTGATTCAAACCCAGGACCTTCTTGCTGAGAAGCGATAGTGGTATCCACTCAGCCACTGTGCCGCCCGAATAAATATGAATTTATTTTGTAAATGTTCCTATTTTTTTCAGCTAGTCAATCAACTAAGTAATCAACTTTCCCCTCTGGTGGTAGCGTAGGGAGTTACAGACAAAAAGCGTCTTCCCCTTATTCTATTTCTGAGTTGGGGGGTGTCTGTGAGAGCACCAGCCCCTCACTGATCCTCCTGCAGGTGGTGAGTCCACAGGAGGATGGCTGCTCTGTCGGTAAGAGCATAGCCTTGATCTTTCAGAGGGGGCTTCAGGCAAAGTGGGGTTAAGTGTCTTGCCCAAGGACACAACGACGGCAGACATCAGTGGGAGTCGGTGGTGAAGGTTTTGTGATCGGCTCGAAACCAAGCCCTTCAGGCTCAAAGGCCAATGCTCTACCAACTGAGCCACTCTCGTCCCTTGCTTTTTAAAATCCATAAACATATATTTTCAATTTATAATATTATTTCTCATTATCATTTTATTGTTTTTTGTTTTTTTAATGACCAAAATTAAGGCATTATAATTGTCCTTTAACCCGCCTCTTGTTATTCCCCAATGGAAGTGCTACAGAATAACAACATGCATACATATTTAGAAGTCAGGGTGATTGTTCTGGGTAAGTTTCAGGCATTTCTAATGTATTTACACTCTTATGCTGCAACTTGTCTTGGTCCATTAGAGGAGGATTGGCCTATTATTTTTTATGTCCGTAATTACGCGCACAGAGCAGTAACTACGGCTCCTGCACAGATAACAAAGATATATTTAGGAGTAAATAATATCGACTGTACCTTTGTTTAAAGCTGGAATCAATACTTCTTAAAGCGTGTCCATTTTTCATTTAGCCGCGTCATGTCTGTGCGGAGGAGGGGCCGAGAGATGAATGGGGTGGATCCTCTAATTCCCCCTGTTGCAGTTATCATAATTGTTGAACAACCACGGTTTTAAAGATCGGGCTCCGGGAGAGGCAGGCCGCACAAAGAAAGTTAATAGATTTTGAAGATTGAGATGGATTGCATGGCGCTCGTTTTTGGTCTGTTCCATCGGCGTGGCAGTCAGATGGACACATATGATCTAGGGTTTGAGTTAAGGGGACCAATGCAGCACTCAAAAAGAGCGCAGCACAGATTGTATCCTGGAAAATGAAGGTGTTAGTGTTTATTTTCTCTCTGCACAGTGACAGGACACCGGATACATCAGCGTCAAAGGGCCCGGGGTACAGATGGATCTTCCCCAAAGCAGCAGTTCCTCTAATCGGTCACTAGGGGGGAATGGATCCCTGTGCAAAAGGCAAGTTCCAGAGGACAGGGAAGGGAAGTTTACTCTTGAACTTGTGTTGTGCTTCTACAGTAAGCGGGCGTCCTCTGTCTGAATAACCCTGATTTTTCTGCAGAAGATGGCTTTTACATCACAAAGGAGAGAGGGCCCTTTGTTTCCATCCGTTTTGATATCGGTCATTGTTTTCACATTTGCAGGCTTTCTCCCTGTCACAGGACCAATTTTCACCTTTCCTCAGTGCAATTTTCTGCTATATTTTTTTGTTGATTATGTTATGGCTTCCTTCCCTAATTTTAGATTTTAGCTCCCCCAGCTTCTCTCATTTGTAGGTCATAATATCAGCAAGCAGGGACATACACATGATTTTTAAAACTACTGAGGTATATTTGCTCTATATAGTAAATATCAGTATAACTTTAAGGCTTTACTTTTATTTTTTTCCAAGGCCCTTCCATGGGATAGTCCCTGCCTTCCTGCCCATGTCCAACTGTTTTGGTGTCCTCTTAAACAAGTCAACAAAAAGTAAGCCTTTACTTCCTAGCTTTATCTGAGGGTGTTTTAAGCAACAACTTTGATGTCTGTTATAATGTTAGAGCGGTCAAATTAAACGCACTTTATCATCAACATCCCCAGTTAATTGAAAGTGTAGACAAAAGTGTTCCACAAACTTCTTTAGGTAGAAAACAGCTCAGTCCTTCATTATTGAATAACCAACAAGACACACAAAATTAATCAATTTTCTCAAATGAACAGATCTCATTCTGTATATTCACCATGAGGTTTGGGAATCCCACGTTATTTTCTAGATTAACTTCTAATAAGGAGCAATCATTATTAGAAGTTACTTTAGAAAAAAAACATATAGATTTCCTAACCTCCTGTGCCTCAATACAGCGTATGGCCATGTGAGAGAGGACAATTTGTGTGATCAGACTAAACATGAGTCTAAGAACCAGATATGGCAACCGTAAATAGAAACATGAAACATTTCTTAATGCTTCCTTGTTGCAATACCAAGTGGCAAAACGCATTTTCAATCTTCACCTCTTGACAGACTGTTGGTCGTGTTTTAGTTTGCAGTGAGCGAGAGGATTGAATTACCCCATATTGGATCCTATAACGGTCCAGTTGCAAGGATTTTCTTTTTGTGATGTAATTTGAGCTATCCAATTTACCTTGTATTTACTGTCTATATTTTGTCAATTTGGCATGGAGCGCCCGGCGTGCGTTGGCGCTGGATGTCACCGGTGTCGTCGCGCTACAGTAGTTTTGGTGTTGGATGGCCTCGGAGGTCATCGTGTGGGAAGAGGAGGTGGCTCTGCAGGGCTTTGCTGCGGCTCTCGTCCCGTCCCTTTGGGCTCCGCCAGGCCCACATGCACTTCTCTCATTCATGAAGAGGTCAGAACACGGGTCAAAACACACTGTTTGACTCTCCACAACACACCAGTGCATGTGGGCGTACATGAAACCGGGTATTTTGTGGGCCTTTGGAAAGCTGCAGCTGGTAGCGACTTCACTCCTCTCGTCTCAAGTCCAAATGTGCCTAAAAGCATGGATCACACAATGGAAGACGAGAAAAACGCCATTAAATTGTGCTGAGAGAGAGTGGGCTGAGGAGGTATAAAGGGATAGAAAAACACTGTTTATTCTCTATTAGTATCACCGCGTTGACAGGTTAGTGGAAAAGCTAGGAAGACTTCTCTCTCCTCACTGCTGCTGGATTATGGTGAAAATATTAACACAATTATTGGGCTCAACATTCTCTGCTGTCAAAATGAATATGTAAAGAGATCTTTAAAAGCATGTGTATAGTTGACGTCTTTGCTCCATTTTGAATTGAAACAAATGTAAGTATTTAACCTAAACTCACAATAGGCAAGGCAAGGCAAGTTTATTTATACAGCACAATTCATACACAAGGCAATTCAAAGAGCTGAACAAAACAAGAAAGCATTACAATCATAAATAATCACAGAACATTAAAAAGAAAGATAAAAATATATAATCCCTCAGTTGTATGCACAGTTAAACAGAACTGTCTTTAACCTGGTTTTAAACATTGTCAGAGAGGAGGCTTGTCTCACATCTTCAGGAAGACTGTTCCAGATTTTAGCAGCATGAATCTGAAAAGCAGCCTCCCCATGTTTAGTTCTGACTCTGGGCACTAACAGGAGTCCAGTCCCTGTGCTCCTCAGAGTCCGGGCTGGTTCATATGGGACTAACATGTCACTAATATATTTTGGTGCGAGGCCATGGAGAGACTTGTACACAAGCAGAGCTGTTTTAAAGTCTATTCTCTGAGCCACAGGAAGCCAGTGCAGGGACCTGAGGACTGGACTAATGTGGTCGTACTTCCTGGTTCTAGTCAGGACTCGAGCTGCTGCATTTTGAATGTACTGCAGCTGTTTTACAGCCTGTTTGGACAGACCTGTGAGCAGGCCATTGCAGTAGTCTAACCTACTGGAGACAAATGCATGGATAAGAATCTCCAGGTCTGCTTTAGACACTATGTTTTTGATCCTGGCAATGTTTTTTAGATGGTAAAAAGCTGCTGATGTTACTGATTTGATGTGGCTATTAAAATTTAAGTCTGAGTCCAGTATTACCCCTAGATTTCTGACCTTGTTTGAAGGTTTTAGGGAGAGAGACTGTAGGTGACAGATGACGCTCTCTCTTTGTTTCTGGGGACCAAAGACAATCATTTCAGTTTTGTCTGCGTTTAGCTGAAGGAAGTTGTTTTGCATCCACTCACTGATCTGTTGGATACAGTGAAGGAGTGAGTCCACTGGTCCATGTTCTCCTGCAGTCAGTGAGACATAGATCTGAGTGTCGTCTGCATAGTTATGATAGGACACTTTGTTTCTGCGTATTAACTGACCTAACGGCAGCATGTAGAGATTGAACAGAAGAGGTCCCAGGATCGACCCCTGTGGGACTCCACAGGTCAGGGCCATATGATCTGAGACACAGTTTCCAATCTCCACAAAGTACTTCCTGTCCTCAAGGTAAGACCTAAACCAACTTAGGGCGGTGCCAGCGACGCCAACCCAGTCCTCTAGTCTCTGTAAGAGGATCTCATGGTCGACAGTGTCAAAGGCAGCACTTAGATCTAAGAAGATTAAGATTGAGACTTTGCCTGCGTCAGTGTTCAGCCGGATATCGTTTGTAACCTTAACGATATAGAGCTGTGTATCTTTTAAAGTAGGGGTCTCAAACATGCAGCTCGCAATTACTGTATCTGTTTTTTGCCCCCCCCTAGTGGACATTTAAGTTTAATGTCAGTTCTGGCCCTACTAAAGTCTGGGCTAATCTGGCATGTTATACATCATTTTAAAGAACATTTCTATCAAGAACTCAGCCCAGTAGTTTACAACACTGAGCTTTCATTGCATTTGGTCCAGTTTTGTTTCAAGTAGCTGCACTTGTTTTGTTCATAGAAACATATAAAAAGTAGTTTTAGTGGCTTGGTTCTATATCTGCATGTGCATCGATTGCCTACAGTTTGCTCCAATGTCCATATTTTTTTCACACACAAACACAGGATATATATAGTAAAATACCCTTTAATGCGGCCCAGCTTCACCCATTTGTAGCTTCACTTTACCAATACCATATAGTATTTCCAAGATATTTGTTAAGAAATAGCAAACAACTGTATTAGTGCATTTATGTTCAATTTATTGAAGATTGATTGCTGAAAAGTCTTCCCAAACTCGTGCTTCTGTTTGCTATGTGGTCTCTGACTATTACAAATATCAATATAATTTAAAACATCTATATAAAACAGCAATATTATTTTAAAATAATCAATATTGTATCTAATTATAGCATGAGTACCTTGTTTGCTCCATAAATACATTTTCTTTGTTTTGTTTAAGTTACATTTGATCCTTTACACGCTGAAAGCTGGGTGAGATTATAAAACACAATGATAAAACCAAACCCATTTTGTAACCTAGAAACATATTTAACGAAATGTATTTTATTACATAGATACTCCGTTGTTGTTTTAAAGTTAGGTTTTCCAGTTTTAATAAATATTGCTATTAATCTAAAAAAACAATCTATTTTGATAGCTCACCCCTTACTCACAATAACAAAAACAACCTCAGCCATAATACCAATGCGTTCCCCGTCCAGTTATCTGGCACAGTGGCGACCAGCGGAGTGGATCGTTTGACCGCAGCCACCCTCTCTTCTCATCTCGCCGTAACCTCTTGCACCTTCTGTCTCTTTAGCAAAAGGGATAGAGATGTGGCAAGCGCCCGAGACTTGACAGTGTGCCCGCCCTGCTCAGTAAATATGAACTGCACCCAACAGACAGACTCATTCATCACAGGGGAAAGAGAGGGGAGGGAAGGAGGGGCCGGGAGGACTAAGAGAAATGTCCCAAAGACAAGAGACATAAACAGGGGATGGTGGGTGGACCAGGAAGCAGATGGGAAGAGGATGGGAGAAAGGGAAAATGTTAGGGTGACCGGAGTGAGTGAGAGGGGTGCGAGAGGCCGGGCTGACTGAAGGAGAAATAAAGGGTAGCGGATATACACGGAGGGAAGAAAAGAAGTTGATGGAATACACCAGGACATTTTCTATCTCATCGGCAAAACATCTTCTGTTGTGATTGCTGCCCGTGAGCGCTGTGTCGTGCCAACATTTGATTGTGATGCCTCCAGCCCGCCAGGCGCTTTCTCAGTCTGACTAGATGCAATTTGACCTTGATTTCTGACTTAAACATTTGCCATAGTATCATCAAAAGTCCTCCAAAAGGCTGTAAGGGAGACCTGCTGACCTGTATGTTCTCAGAAAGAGGGTTCTGGGTTCAAATCCTGGTCAGAACAGGGCCTTTCTGAGTGGAGTTTACGTGTTCTCCCTGTGTCTGTAAAAAATTGCCATAGTATCATGGTCAAAAGTCCGTCCAAAAGGCTGTAAGGGAGACCTGCTGACCTGTATATTCTCAGCAAGAAGGCCCTGGGTTCGAATACCGGTCGGAACAAGACTTTTCTGAGTAGAGTTTACATGTTCTCCCTGTGTCTGTAAAAAATTGCTATAGTATCATGGCCAAAAGTTCTCGAAAAGGCTGTAAAGGAGACCTGCTGACCTGTATGTTCTCAGAAAGAGGGTTCTGGGTTCCAATCCTGGTCAGAACAGGGCCTTTCTGAGTGGAGTTTACATGTTCTCCCTGTGTCTGTAAAAAATTGCCCTCGTCTCATAGTGAAAAGTCCTGTCTCTATTGCTTTTGCTTAAAGTTCAATCACTGCTATGATGAAACAGGATAGCACTCTCGCTTCTCAGCAAGAAGGTCCTCGGTTCGAATCCCAGTCGGAACAGTGCCTTTCTGAGTGGAGTTTACATGTTCTCCCCGTGTCTGCGAAGGTTTCCTCCGGGTGCGTCTCTCTTCCGTCATCACCGTGTGTGGAGAGAATGGAACAATATTTGAACTCTGAAAATTGTAAAGCGTTTTGGGTGACCTTGGTCTGTGACAAATATGCCATATGAATAAACATTACTTACTTGCTTACTAAACACTTACTTACTCTTCCAAACGCTTCCAAAAGCTGCAGATTTTCAACAACATGCCACACATTTAACACAAACATTTAATTAGCATTTCATTAACCTGCGACAGACCTGCCTGCTCCCAAGTAATCTGATGAAGGCCGATAATCACTCCGGAGTCCGCGTCGAGGCAGTTTGCTAAGTGAGCAGTTTTCAGACACAACATTATTTTTGTAGTCTATAATCATCTGTAAGTAAGGGCTGTAACTAACAATTATTTTAAAAAATCAATTCATCTAGTGCAGGGGTATCGAACCAGTCTTCAGTGTTTTCATTCCAACCAAGCAGGAGCACGCCAGACTCCACCCATTTCCTCCGGTGAGTCCAGTCTTATCCTGAAGACCTGAGGAAATGGGTGGAGTCTGATATGCTCCTGCTTGGTGGGAATGAAAACCTGCAGCTACACCGGCCCTTTCTAGAACCGGTTTGAGACCTTGGATTTAGCGATTATTTCTTTGATTAATCAGTTTAGAATGCAGATGTGAGGATTTTTGATAAAGACAAAGTTTAAGTGAAGACGTTGGAGGGCGATAATGTTGCCAGACAAAAACTACTTTATGTAATCATATTTTTTCTCTTTTGTAATTCTGATTTTGTCACAGCATTCACCTGTTGAAATCTGTAGATAGAGAAGTTAACGATTAATCGATTAGTGAAATAGTTGTTGATTATTGGAAAAACTTGATTAGTTGCAATTAATCTATTATTAATTACATCCCATTACAGTCTCTCTTGTTAGTTTAGTAAGTAAAGTTTATTAAATGTTTTCACTTTTATTCCTATATACAGTAAAAGAATAGTTAATTCGCCAAAGCAGATAAGTGCCAATAGATGTAAA